CGCAAGGCATATATGTGGGTATTTGTGCACACACAACCGGCACAGGCTCGACAGAAGCATGGCCGCCGAGCGTGATGATGCGGATCTGTGCGGCGAGCACGGTGGTTTGGGCGTTATCTCTCTGATTGGCACTGCCTGCCAATCCCGTAGGCTCCCTGCATACAGGACTTTTACCATGCACACTGGCCGCTAGGTCGATTTTACAACTGCAACCTGCTTTCGGGGGCAGTTGGAGCCACAGGGATTGGGCTTGCTATATAAGCCTCTGCCGATGTCGGGGCGACCGCGTGCTTAATGGGATTCCGTTGCGCAAGCACCGGCAGCAGAATCAGAAAAAACGGTGTGCTCTCTGGTTGCTTGCTGACGAGTTCTTGGAAGGACCTTGCTTCAGGGCTTCGGGTGGCTTGCTTTCGTGTCCGGCGTTCTGTTTTGGCCTTTCTTGTCAGGCGTTGTGTTCGGCCTTTCTTGGCAGGCGTTGTTTGGCCTTTCTTGTCAGGCGTTGTTTTTGGCTTTTCTTGTCGGGGTTGGGTTGTTTGGTTGTCGGGAACACTGTTTTGTTGTTCTTGTCGGGGTTTAAGCCCCCTGTCGGGACCTGTCTGTCTGTTTATGGACATGGAGCTTTCTTCTGTCTCATTAGATTGGATGAAGCTTTCAGTCCCCTCTTGTCGAAGATGAGGTAGAAGGCTTTTCGAGAAGCCAGGGGAGATCTGCCCTCTCTTGCCACGGGGTCTCTTCCTCCACCGAGGGATAACGGAGCTCTCTTCTAGAAAGCAGCTGTGTTCTCTGACCAGGAGTAACTTGGAGTGAGTTCTCTTCTTGTTTCAGAGGATGAGGTAGAGGGCTTCTAATCTCCTGTTTGAAGGCCGGACGAAGGGAGGACCAGACGTCTCTCGTCAAGGTTGGAAGTTTGGAAGAGCTCCATGCTTTCTTCTTGATCGTAAGCTCTTTTCCTTTGTCTTGTAGAAGAGAGGGAGTGGGGGGGTGGCTCTGTCCTCTCTTGCTAGGAATGAGGTCTCTTCACTGTTTTCAAGACTAAGACTTACCAAGAGGTAAGTAATGGAGCTCGCTTCTCTCACCACGAATAACTTGCAGGGGAGCCCTCTTGTTGTTTTAGAGCATGAGGTGGAGGAGTTCTCTTTCTTGTGCAAGGTTGAGGAGAGGACCAGACTTCTTTGTTTGAAGGTTGGGGGAGCCCCACCCTTTTTCTTGAGCGTAGGCTCTCTTCCATTTTCTGAAGAGGTAAAGTTTTGTATAGGCAGGATCACCTTCCCTTACCTAGAGAGAAAGTTGGCCTCCTCTTGATGACTGAGGAAACTACAATATCTTTAAAAGGGCGGCACGAATCAAAAATACAGGGCGCCGCGACCGTAAAACCACACAAGCACAAAGGGGCTAAACCCGCTCAGGGCGAAACCCGCACAGGGGGAAACCCGCTCAGGGGCGAAACCCGCTTAGGGAGCGAAATGCGCTCAGGGGCGAAACCCGCACAGGGGCGAAACCCGCTCCGGGCGAAACCCGCTCAGAGGCGAAACCCGCTCAGGGGCGAAACCCGCTCAGGTGCGCTCTGGTCTAAACCCCTCCCGGTTTAGATAGTTTGGGTAGTTTGGGCCCTTCCCCGTGCCACCCCGAACTATCTAAACTATCTAAACCCCTCTCTCTCCAGACCGACGGGAGATCCCCAAACTATCTAAACTATCTAAACTATCCAAACTATCTAAACTATTTAAACCGGGAGGGGTTTAGATAGTTTAGATAGTTTGGGTGGCACGGGGGAAGGCCCAAACTATCTAAACTATCTGAGCCGGGAGGGGTTTAGATAGTTTAGATAGTTTGGATAGTTTAGATTGTTTAGATAGTTTGGGGGCTCCCGCTGCTCTGGTCTAAACCCCTTCCGGTTTAGATAGTTTAGATAGTTTGGGTGGCACGGGGGAAGGCCCAAACTATCTAAACTATCTAAACCCCTCTCTCTCCAGACCAACGGGAGACCCCCAAACTATCTAAACTATCCAAAGTATCTAAACTATCTAAACCGGGAGGGGTTTAGATAGTTTAGATAGTTTGGGTGGCACGGGGGAAGGCCCAAACTATTTAAACTATCTAAACTATCTAAACCCCTCTCTCTCCAGACCAACGGGAGACCCCCAAACAATCTAAACTATCTAAACTATCCAAACTATCTAACCTAAACTATCTAAACCGGGAGGGGTTTAGATAGTTTAGATAGTTTGGGTGGCACGGGGGAAGGCCCAAACTATCTAAACTATCTAAACCGGGAGGGGTTTAGATAGTTTAGATAGTTTGGATAGTTTAGATAGTTTAGATAGTTTGGGCTCCCGCTGCTCTGGTCTACACCCCTTCCGGTTTAGATAGTTTAGATAGTTTGGGTGGCACGGGGGAAGGCCCAAACTATCTAAACTATCTAAACCCCTCTCTCTCCAGACCAACGGGAGACCCCCAAACTATCTAAACTATCTAAACTATCCAAACTATCTAAACTATCTAAACCGGGAGGGGTTTAGATAGTTTAGATAGTTTGGGTGGCACGGGGGAAGGCCCAAACTATCTAAACTATCTAAACTATCTAAACCGGGAGGGGTTTAGATAGTTTAGACAGTTTGGATAGTTTAGATAGTTTAGATAGTTTGGGGGCTCCCGCTGCTCTGGTCTACACCCCTTCCGGTTTAGATAGTCTAGATAGTTTGGGTGGCACGGGGGAAGGCCCAAACTATCTAAACTATCTAAACTATCTAAACCTCTCTCTCCAGACCAACGGGAGACCCCCAAACTATCTAAACTATCTAAACTATCCAAACTATCTAAACTATCTAAACCGGGAGGGGTTTAGATAGTTTAGATAGTTTGGGTGGCACGGGGGAAGGCCCAAACTATCTAAACTATCTAAACCGGGAGGGGTTTAGATAGTTTAGATAGTTTGGATAGTTTAGATAGTTTAGATAGTTTGGGGGCTCCCGCTGCCCTGGTCTAAACCCCTCCCGGTTTAGATAGTTTAGATAGTTTGGGTGGCACGGGGGACGGCCCAAACTATCTAAACTATCTAAACCCCTCTCTCTCTCCAGACCAACGGGAGACCCCCAAACTATCTAAACTATCTAAACTATCCAAACTATCTAAACTATCTAAACTATCTAAGGGAGGGGTTTAGATAGTTTAGATAGTTTGGGTGGCACGGGGGAAGGCCCAAACTATCTAAACTATCTAAACCGGGAGGGGTTTAGATAGTTTAGATAGTTTGGATAGTTTAGATAGTTTAGATAGTTTGGGGGCTCCCGCTGCCCTGGTCTAAACCCCTCCCGGTTTAGATAGTTTAGATAGTTTGGGTGGCACGGGGGAAGGCCCAAACTATCTAAACTATCTAAACCCCTCTCTCTCTCCAGACCAACGGGAGACCCCCAAACTATCTAAACTATCCAAACTATCTAAACTATCTAAACCGGGAGGGGTTTAGATAGTTTAGATAGTTTGGGTGGCACGGGGAAGGCCCAAACTATCTAAACTATCTAAACCGGGAGGGGTTTAGATAGTTTAGATAGTTTGGATAGTTTAGATAGTTTAGATAGTTTGGGGGCTCCCGCTGCCCTGGTCTAAACCCCTCCCGGTTTAGATAGTTTAGATAGTTTGGGTGGCACGGGGGAAGGCCCAAACTATCTAAACTATCTAAACCCCTCTCTCTCTCCAGACCAACGGGAGACCCCCAAACTATCTAAACTATCCAAACTATCTAAACTATCTAAACTATCTAAACCGGGAGGGGTTTAGATAGTTTAGATAGTTTGGGTGGCACGGGGGAAGGCCCAAACTATCTAAACTGGGAGGGGTTTAGATAGTTTAGATAGTTTGGATAGTTTAGATAGTTTGGGGGCTCCCGCTGCTCTGGTCTAAACCCCTCCCGGTTTAGATAGTTTAGATAGTTTGGGTGGCACGGGGGAAGGCCCAAACTATCTAAACTATCTAAACTATCTAAACCTCTCTCTCCAGACCAACGGGAGACCCCCAAACTATCTAAACTATCTAAACTATCCAAACTATCTAAACTATCTAAACCGGGAGGGGTTTAGATAGTTTAGATAGTTTGGGTGGCACGGGGAAAGGCCCAAACTATCTAAACTATCTAAACCAGGAGGGGTTTAGATAGTTTAGATAGTTTGGATAGTTTGGATAGTTTAGATAGTTTAGATAGTTTGGGGGCTCCCGCTGCCCTGGTCTAAACCCCTCCCGGTTTAGATAGTTTAGATAGTTTGGGTGGCACGGGGGAAGGCCCAAACTATCTAAACTATCTAAACTATCTAAACCCCTCTCTCTCTCCAGACCAACGGGAGACCCCCAAACTATCTAAACTATCCAAACTATCTAAACTATCTAAACTATCTAAACCGGGAGGGGTTTAGATAGTTTAGATAGTTTGGGTGGCACGGGGGGAAGCCCAAACTATCTAAACTATCTAAACCGGGAGGGGTTTAGATAGTTTAGATAGTTTGGATAGTTTAGATAGTTTAGATAGTTTGGGGGCTCCCGCTGCCCTGGTCTAAACCCCTCCCGGTTTAGATAGTTTAGATAGTTTGGGTGGCACGGGGGAAGGCCCAAACTATCTAAACTATCTAAACTATCTAAACCTCTCTCTCTCCAGACCAACGGGAGACCCCCAAACTATCTAAACTATCTAAACTATCCAAACTATCTAAACTATCTAAACCGGGAGGGGTTTAGATAGTTTAGATAGTTTGGGTGGCACGGGGGAAGGCCCAAACTATCTAAACTATCTAAACTATCTAAACCGGGAGGGGTTTAGATAGTTTAGATAAATACCCCAAACAGGAACGCCACATTATACATAAAGGTTTCTCTTACATATATATATATATATATATTCTTCTTCTTCTTCTTCTTCTTATTGTTATTACTATCATATTTATATATTTCATATATGCATGCATGCAATATACCCAGCAAAACCGATAATCTCATGCTTTGGGCCCTCGCAGGTTTGGTTGCGGCCGGGCGATGGCTTAAGCTTGGCCTCGCGCCCTGAAATTCCCTCCTTGCTTAGGGTTTGGGTTTACGGGTAAGTTTAGGGCTTTAGGGTTCAGTAACAAGGGTTATAATTAGGGTAACTATACTTCTTTCTTAGGGTTTGGGTTTACGAGTTTAGGGTGTCGGGTTTGGGGTTTACGGGTTTAGGGGTTTAGGGTTTAAGGGTTTAGGGTTCTGGGGTTCAGGGTTTAGGGGTTTAGGGTTCTGGGGTTTAGGGGTTTAGGGTTTAGGGTTTAGAAACTAGGGTTATAATTAGGGTAACTAGACTTATGTCTCCTGATAACCCCAAGTAAGCGACCTTATAACCTTACTAAGTCCCAGGGTTCAGGGTTGAAGAGTGGGTATTGGCAGCGCCTCATCTCCCCAGAAACTGTGGATAACGCATGTGCAGATTCTGGCGGACGACCTTTGGCTCATGTGAACGGGGTCATTACCGGGGCAGAGGCTATGGCTAAGGCACTCCTCGGGTTTGGGAGCTTCCAGGGCCAGCGATGGTTCAGGGAGCTCAGGTGAGTCACAAAAGAATCCCCAAACCTAAACAAACACAAATCTTCGAACCCCTAAACCCGGACCCCGAAACCTCAGACCTCCATCTTCAAACCTGAAACCGGGCCGTATGTTTATGTGTGCGTGCGATGTCTATGGTGAAAGCAAGCCCTCGTCCCAGGATCGCTGGCTCATCTTTTGCAGCGTTGACGACGAGGAGGGCCAAAGTTGTCGATCCCATGGTGGGGCTTTGGGGTTTTGGCGTTCAAAGTGGGGAGCAAGCGAAAGGGATATGAAGAACGACATCTTGTATGTGGCTGGTGATAGAGAGTGGTGGGTGCCGTATTAAGCCAGACGAGACATAGCCGAATCGCACAGTCTGCGCCCATTGCAGCTGAGCAGTTGAGAGTTAACGCACCCTAAACCACAAACCCTAACCGTCGTCTTGACCTTGACCCCAAGCCCAAGGCCTTTACTACTTCCCCTGTCGGTCAATGGAGGTGAAGTCTCCTATCGCCTTGCTTGGTGTTTGGGGTTCGCTGGGTTTTCCGGGTTCAGTCTTCTTCGACAACTGTCACATACTACTATTGACTGCAGTACACATGAGGCCCTGCAGCAATGTGCATTGCCATGCCTCAGCATTGGAAGCACAAAAGCACGGCTGTCACGTAATCTTGCCTCATAGCATACTCCGCAGCAACATGCAGATGTTGAAGCTTCTTATGTGAAAGGCCCCAGCTCTGCATCAGCTAGCCCGTGGGAACAGCACTTTAAACTGCAAAGCACAGGCAAACGAAAGCCTCCAAAGAATCAATCCCCAATGCCCGAAGTGTGGACCGCAAATCAATGGTTGAGGGGGTCGAAAAATCGTAATGCTAGTCCTTACAGCTCCGAAGCAGGAAGCAGTCGACCGCTTCGTGGAGGAGTTGGAGCCGTGTCTTAGCCTGCACGGAGAGCCGTCCGAAAAGTAACATATCGTTAAAATGAAGCGTTCCTATGCATTAACTACATTAGAGTCTGTCTTCCTGCACCATCAGACCATGTAGAGCTTTCCATGCAACGTAGCATATGATGGTGCGTATGCATGCTGGAAGCTCCAACCTCTGCACTGCCGGGTTCAGTTCACAGCGCAGCCGTTGAGGATGTCACTCTTGTGGGAATCCGAGCAAGAAGCCTGAAATAACGAAGCCAACCTGTGTGTAACCCGCAAAATCGCGAAAGGTGAAAGCCTAAGGTCCGGTACAGCGCTCAAATCATCGATTTGTGGAAACTGCCTTTTCGTATTCTGCGGGGAACCTTGACCTGCCCAACATTCGCGTGGCCTGCGTGCATTCCCAAACTTGAAGCAACACCGAACCATGGCGCGGGCAGCCAGGATGTGTTACCTGACACCTCTTAGGGGATCTATAAGGGTACCTTTAAGGTTTCCTTTAAGGGATCTATAGGGTTTTAGGGTATATATATATAGGGTCTTAGACGCGATGTTTTCAAGAGGGGAAGAGCCAGCAAGCGCCGAGGATGGTTGGCGAAATTCTCGACGCTTCGAAGGACAGCGGCTGCCATGCGCTTGAAAACTAAATATAGGCAATCCAAAGCGCGAGACCCTAAATTTCTAGCTCCCCACCTCCTGAACCGTAGACTTAAGTTTGGGGCCAAAACTTGCTGAGCGGGAAGAAGCCTGGAAATCCAACCGACCTCCCAAAGCCACATATGAAACCCTTAGCTTCGGCTCCCAGCCCCGGGCCAGCTTGTTTGGGTTCCGGGTTCAGGGCCAGTCCTCTTCGGGTTTAGGGCTTTAGGGTTTAGGGGTTTAGGGGTTTGGGGTTTAGGGTTTAGGGGTTTAGGGGTTTGGGGGTTTAGGGGTTTAGGGTTTAGGGTTTCAGGCTCTGAGTTTCGGTGGTCTGGGTTTGTAATATAGAGGCCTAAGCAGCTATAGTAGTACCATAAAAGAGCCCTTATCGACCCCTTTGAAGGAACACCATTCTAATTATTGAGGCCCCTACATTAGTTCCGGGTCGATGCTTGGGATTGTGGGTTTTATGCGGGTGCCAGGCACGGGCCGATCCAGGGGCCAGCAGGGGATATCTGTATTATACTACACTCTACGGTAAAATATCTTCCTATCTTTTTTCTATACGATACTGTACTATACTGTACAATACCGTGCTGTGAAATATCAGACTAAACTATACTATATGATATCATGAGACATCGTGTGTATTCAAGACGATGCCCTCAGAGCCACGTCGCTGGTCTCCCCACCGCCCTATAGCTTTCTAGTGGGAATCTCGCATGACAAGCCTGATACTTGCGCAAGTGAAGCAAATTCTGCAGGAGTGTCAGATTCGTGAGCGTTAGCTGTCGAGTCCCTGATAGGCTTGCCTGGAAATTGCACGGCCGACAGTAGTGACGGTCGCCGCAGCTTGATGGCATTTGGCACAAGATCCGGAAAGACGGCTGGGCTTCGGGCCTTGCATTTCAGGTTTGCCGCACTTCATTCACTTCAGGTTTTGTCTCTGCGTTTCGTGGCGCAGCTTCACCTGTGATCAGAGCAAAGGTCAGTCTTGCTCAAATTTCGCCGCCAGCCGCCCGAATAACTTACATCTGTGCGCGACCCCCAAAAGTACACAGCGCAGATTTCGAGTCAGTAGTTGCCTTGGCATCTTTTCCTGACTCTCTGCTTCTCAAAGCTCCGTTGAATCATGTTACACCGTACCCCAAACCCCATTCTACATTCTCTCTGTACCGATGTCGTGATTAAGCGATCGCGGCTTCGGGGGACTGAGCCTGGCAAGGCAAACTCGCCGGCAGGATGGGCTCCGCGGCCTGCAGTCGGATGTTGCGGGAGAGAGAGCTGCACGATTTGGCTTTTTGGGGGCGGTTGGAAGGTACTTAGAGGATCATGGGACTTAGTAGGTTGGGTTGTAAGTACGGTAATTATACTTATAACTACTTATAACCACAATGAAGGTACTTCTAACCTTACTTACTAAGTCCCATGATCCTGCAAGTATTGAAGGGTTGAGGGATTTAGGCCTTGAGCGCTTTCAGATTTGGGGAAAAAGGGTTTGGGCGGGAAGAGAAGAACTGGGACAACCATCCAGTACTGGATTGCTGGCAGAGGATTCGCCTAGCGCTTGAACCTCCTCTGTCTGATAGACATTCCAACTAACACGCAGTGGCAGTAGGGAAAGAGGGGTATGAAAAAAAGAACCTGCTCTGAATTTTGAGGCTTTGAGGATTTTGCTTTCAGGTGAGGCTTTGGAGCTTAGATCTGGGATTCAGGTCCCAGGGTTTGGGGTGTCGGCATAGCTGAAGCTAAGAGCTCAGCCCTTAACCCTGAGCCGACCTCTTGGGCCTCTCGCCCCGACTTGAAAGGCAGAAAGCAAGAGTCTCTGAGGTGCGAAAGCTGACAGCCTTCGAGCCGCCGTGGCGAAAGGCGAGGGAATCCCCCGCTGGTTTAGAGTTTAAAGGGTTTTTTGACTCATGGTAGTGGGCGCTTGGGGATGAGGACGGGAGGCCTTGAACATCCACCGGGAGCGAAGACCTCCCAAACGTAGGGGAACTTAAACCCAGCGACACAACGAGCCTGCAAAGGCAAAGCCCACACCCTAAACCCTTTCGGCACCTTTCGGATAGCGGTAATGCCTCGGTTGATTGCGGAAGCACTCCTGGTCCGTGGGTAAGACTAACAAGGAAACTGGCAGGAATGGCCAGAAGCCAGCCTGGCAGTAAACCATGCTTCCACACGGAAGGGGAACTCCGGAAGCTTAAACGCAGTTTGGGAAAAGCAGCCGGAGGGCGCTGTCCAAGCAGCACGACTACAGTAGATCGCCGCATCGCGCAGCTCACTTCATTGGTGGTGCCTGGACAGCGGAAAGGCAAGCACAAAGCGCTTGCGCAGGAAGGGTACTACAGGGGTAGACCGCATCGCGCAATATACCTCATTGACACAACCTGTGCAGCAGAAGAAACGAACCCCTTGAAGTTCGAAAAGTTCATGGTGGCATCAAAAGCAGTACTGGCCACCGAGAAGTGCGCACTGCAACGCCGAGTTTGTAGCCTGGACAAGCACACGATAACGAAGAACTCCCCGTCTTCCTGTCGTAAAAGGATGCCATCTTGGGAAGCGAGGATAACGAAGTTGAGCCGGACAGTGTCCACGACGAGAGAGACGACCAACCACTGAGCAACCAACAAAAACCAGCCACATATGCCGTATGGGCCGACCAGCCGTCCCCATGGGCCATGCCCCAGATGGAACTGAAACAGAAAGGGCAGCAATGGGACCTCCAGTAAGCTGCAGGTTGCAGGCCTTCTCCCGACAAATGTTGACCCTGATATAGCACAGCAAGATGGGATGCAAGTCATCCCAAAAGGCAAGAAGATCCAGGTAGCAAGAACCGAAAACCGCCATGCTGAATGACCACATGTCCTCTCCCTCTGTGCTTCAACCACGAAAGCGTAAGTGCCACCGCAGCTCGTCAAGCAAATGACCTGCGTCGACAATAAACGGTGCAAGATGCCCATGGCGAAAGAAACTAGAAGGAAACCTACCACCCGAGCGATCTGCCTGCTCCGCCACACCACTGGAAGGAGCTCGGGCCACCGTGGCTCACACCCTAAACCCTAAACCGTGGCTACGCTCCGAGGTCATTCTGCCCGAACGCCTCGCGGAGACGAAACCCTGAAGCAACCCTGGAAGAGCCTTTTTTCACAACCCTGTAAAGCCCTAAACCCTAAAGGCCCTAAACCCTAAACTCTGAACCCTAAACCCTAAAGGCCCTAAAGGCCCTAAGCCCTAAGCCCTAAACCCTAAGGCCCTAAAGGCCCTAAAGGCCCCAAAGGTTCTAAAGGCCCTAAAGGCCCTAAAGGCCCTAAAGGCCCTAAAGGCCCTAAAGGCCCTGAACCATAAAGCCCGATAAAGCCCAAGCGGACCTCACAAAGCGCGAAGCTCCGAGGCCCCCCGGAGCCCCCAAAGTGCTTTCGAGGAGCTCACGCGCTTCGCCTTGGTCGTCTTGCCAAGGACCAAGCGCCGCGAGCAGCCGGGGTCCCAAGCAGTGATTTTGGGGACTTAAGTGGGGTTTTGGGGATGTAGGGGTTAGGGTTTAGGTTTGGTTTTTGGTGTTGGGGGTTTTGGGCTCTAGCTCAGGGTTTCGGACAGGGTTGTCCGATAGGATTTTCAGTGGGGCATGCGAGGTTTTGAAGGGTCGTGACATCTGGTGTTGTTCGAAAGCATCGTCCTTTCACCATCTTACCTTTGGGCACAGCAAGAGGGCCCCATATCGAGCTGAGCCCCAAAAGGGCTGCTGAAAGCTGCTCAGGCCTCTAGACTCTAGAGCCAGGAAGGGCAAAGAAAGAGCGGAAAGTATCGCGGCCTCAACTTCATCGGTGTGCTGGCAGTTTCTCTGCTGTTCCCACAACTCCAAGCCCCTCAATCCGTGACCCAGCCGCAAGTAGTCCCTAACCCAAGAGCTACAAGTTCACTATGCGAGTTCGGGCAAGATAGCTTCGAGATGGGGCTCCACTAACTCTTCCCCGAGTTCTCAGAGCAAGGTTCAAAGCAAACTGGGTGGCCCCTCAGGGCTTTGAAGCAAGCAAGCCTCGTGGATTTTGGGACCCATAGTCTTCGGCGTTGGATTTTGAGACCCGTAGTCTTCGGCATTGGGGAGAAGCCCTGAGGAATCCTGTCTGAGGTACTACTACCAGCTGAAGAGCTTGCTGACCTTCCGTTGGGACCACTGTTCCTGGGCGGATTTCTTTCGTTGAAGTTGTAGACTGGCCACCCGCCCAAGAGCCTGACAACGCTTTGAGACCCTGACCTCAAATCTTAAGCTTCCCACATGAGACTTCCTAAGTGCAGTCCCAAGTGTGGAGGAAATCTGGTTCCACTCCAGGATCCTTTCCATATGGATTGAGAGGAGTTCCGGAAAGTGGACCCTTCTGCCCTTGACAGGTCTTAGGCTCCTTCGCTTCAGGTGCTGGGATGCTTTGCGGGAGTCATCTTGAAGAGTCATCTTGTCTCGAATACCCTAAACCCTAAACCCTAAACCCTAATACCACGGAGGCCCACAAAGCAGATGTCTAGGAAACCTCAGCAAGAGCCGACGTGGTTCCGTCGCTCCCCAAGTCGAGCCTCCCGGGTTTTGGGGTTTCAAAATCCCCTCACCCCAAAACCACAGAATTAGGGTTTGGGGTTTAGGGTTTAGAACTCCTAAAGCCGTAGTCGAAGCCTGGGGGTGTGGAGCCATGAATCGCAAAGCCTCGTGTCTCAGGCTGCCCAACTCAGATGGTATTGGGCAGCACACTCCAGCGCGAGTTCCAGAGACCCCAGGCCTGTCTGGAGGGTTCATATATATGTATGTATATGTATATGTCTATGTCTATGTGTATGTGTATGTGTATGTGTCTGTGTATGTGTATGTGTATGTGTATGTGTATGTGTATGTTTTTGTATGTGTATGTGTATGTGTTGTGTATGTGTATGTGTATGTGTATGTGTATGCAGATAGCGCCGTTAGCGGGGTGGGGGGGGTTCGTTCTCTCGGACTATTGAGGGGGGGGGGGTCCTTACCTATTGAGGGGGGGGGGGGGTCTACTCCAGGAGTATTGAGGGGGGGAGGGGGGTTCATACTTCGGAGTATTGAGGGGGGGGGGTCTCTATTGAGGGAGGGGGGGTCTCTTTGGGAATGGTTGTTGTAGTATTTTGTCGGGTGAGGAAGAAGGAGCAGGAGAAGGAGTAGTAGTAGTAGTAGTAGTAGTAGTAGTAGTAGTAGTAGTAGTAGTAGTAGTAGTCGTAGTAGTAGTAGTAGTAGTAGTAGTAGTAGTAGTAGTAGTAGTAGTAGTAGTAGTAGTAGTAGTAGTAGTAGTAGTCTACTACTACTACTACTACTACTACTTATTACTACTACTACTACTGCTGCTACTACTACTACTACTACTGCTGCTACTACTACTACTACTACTCCTTCTTCTCCTGCTCCTTCTTCTTCACCCGACAAAATACTACAACAACCATTCCCAAAGAGACCCCCCCCCCTCCCCAAGAGTACGAGTCCCCCCCCCCTCAATAGTCTTGGAATAGACCCCCCCCCCTCAATACTCCTGAAGTATGAACCCCCCCTCAATACTCCTGGAGTATGAACCTCCCCCCCCCCCTCATATTCTTTCCACCCCCCCCTCCCCGCCTCTGGGGGGGGGGTCAATACTCCGGAAGAAGTAACCCCCCCCACCCGTGTCCTAGCGGCGCGGTCTCTGTGTATGTGTGTTTATATGTATATGTATGTGTATGTGTATGTATATGTATATGTATATGTATATGTACACATGCACATGTGTATGTAGATATATACACATGTATATATATATATATATATATATATATATATATGTATTACACATGTATATATACACATTTATATACGCACATCTCTATATATGCATATATATATATATATATACATATGTATATGCATATGTATATATATATATACACATGCATATACATTTATGCATATATATATATATATGCATGTATGTACATATCCATAGAAATAGACATATATATATATATATCTATCTATATATATATAGATATATATGTCTCTTTCTATGGATATGTACATACAGGCATATATATATATATATATATATATACATATACATATATATATATATATATATATATATATATATATATACACATATACATATACATATACATATACGCATAACTTCAGGGTTTAGGGTTTCATGTTTGTTTTTTAATATTCATATATTTGAGGGGATTTTTGCATGCATACTCCAGCATACTCACAGGGTCAAGTGGAAGTTGTTCGACAGCTTCACCAGAGGTGTCGGCCTGAATCGGCATCACTTGGTGGACTCTGCTTGTTGAGATGGTCTCATGCTGAGGGCTTCTGAAGTAAAGCTTCATGTTCCTAAAACCCACAACCCTGAATCCTAGACAATGTCAAGGTCCTGTGACCTCGGGCTGTGCTAGGACAGGGGTGCCTCACGCTGTCACGCGGAGGTCTTCAGAAGCATCCTCCAGCAGATCTTGGTGAAGATGGGAGGTTTTCTCTGGGTGTGGATCTCGGTTATCGGCATTTTGGGTATGACTCATACCGTATGAGAGTTGTCTGGATTTACGGCCTAGGGGCCTGAAGGTTTGGGGGAGTTTAGGTTTGGGTGTTTAGGGTTTGGGATTAGGTGTTTAAGGTTTAGGCTTTCTTGGATTGAACTTGTGGGTTTAGCGTTTAGGGATTGTGGTCTGAGTCAGCGGGCAAGCTTCAGGGCTTTAAGGGCTGGAGAGAGAAGAACCGCAGCGGGCATGTTAGCCGAATCGTGGCACCTGCTCAGATGCCCTGATAATGTAGGACTCTGACTAAGACTCCTCCAGTTGGAAATTGGGATCTCTGTATTTCTTTGGGGATTTAGAAGCCCGTAGCCCTTCTGGGGATAGAGAACTTCCCATCCCCAACCCCTCTGAGGATCTACCTCCCCAAGAGTACCTTGAACCCAACTGGTTTAGAGAAGCCCTAAACCCTAAACCCTACACCGCAACCCTGAAGCCTCGCTGCCTTAGTTCGCTGAGGCCATCTCTCCGTTGCCTTACCTCGGGCGGTCCATGCCACTGGTCAGTCGTTAGAGCTTCGAGTGCTTGGGGCTCAGGTTTTCGGGCTGGTTTGGGTTTCGTGGGGCTTAGGGCATTTGGGTGAAGGTTCCTACTCCAAGAAGCACGACGTGTTGAGGCCTGGTTGACATCCTAGGATGCTAAGCCCTAAGCACATCTAAGCACTAAACCCTTTAACGCATGACGCTATCTGTCTGATGCACTTGGGCTGCGAGGGGTTTTGGATTTCATGCGATTTCATGCTTGAGGCTTTTCTTGATCATTGTCAAGGGCTGAATGTTGTGAGGGCTTGAGGTTCAGAGTCTGGGGGCTGCTCCGAGGGGTCTAAAGGTGTAGGATTCGGAAGTTGATTAGGGAATGCCATCAGGGGCTCAACAGTGAGGCTCTTCGGTTCCTTAGGAACTCACTAACTTACACACCGTGAAGCTTTCAATTCTGAATCCCAGACCTGATTCCCTCAACCTTCAACCATCGAATCCTAAGCCACCCGAACGTCCCCGAGGCATTCTGCAGCATATGGGATCTAGTACCCTAGATACTAGGATCCTTATTATACGAACCCCAAATAAGGTACCCCTACTTAGACTTTTCGGAAACTCCCATATCCTGCTGCAACCCCCAACCCGCCCCCGAAATTTCCACCGGAAGCCTGCGCTCCTTAGGATGGTCCTGGGCCTGGACACCGTGAAGGCCAGCAATATCTTAGGGGTACTTAGATAATTTTTTTAATTTTTGGTTATTGTAATCTGTAAGAAACAGCTAAAATTCTAATTTTGCTAGGGTTCTAAGTTCAGTATAGTGATTACCTATACGATTTTGGTGGTTCCAAATTATTTTTATAGTATAATGGGCTCCTAAACCCTATTCTAAGACTAAAGCCTCTATCTTAGCACGATTTGATATCGGTGCCAGAACAGTGAGAGTAGGGTTGTAGCAGCATCTATTCTCGTATAGTTAGAGGTACAAGGAGAAGATACTGAGAAGAAGATACTGTTACTCTTTGAACAGACATCGATATTTGGGGTTTTTCGGGTGTGGACGAGCCCACATGAAAATCCCTAGCCGGTTCAATTTGAGGGCAGAACAGCTCGGCAGGTGTAGGGAAGATGCAGGCAGCTTTCCTCCCAAATGGTCGCCGGAGCCTACCCCTCTTCATCCTCGCGCTTGCAGGTCTCACGGTCACAAGACGGCTCGAATTGAAAAACTTATCGTTGTGAGTCTGTGGCGTGTTTTTTTGCCAAGCTTTAGCTCTTCAAAACCGAAACCAGCTCCTGACGCAAGCGCGAGTTTACACGACAGACTTTGCTCCCCAAGCCCCGCACCCCCTCGTGCTCACTGGTACCATCTTCAGGCAACGAAGGAATCGCCGATGCTTCAAGCGCTGAGCGCCTCGTGCAATGCCAGCCCGGCTGGCTTTTGATCGGCCCAAGCATTTCAGCAAACCGCTCGGTGTTGAAAGTACTTTGTCCCTGCTCCGGAACCCTTCCGTGGCTGTGTTTATCCGAGCCGATTGTTCGCCCAATGGCCCTACCCCTCAGCCCTATGCCCCGGAAGCCGCGCTGCAATGGGGTCCGTGCTTGCTTGCTTGTAGCTTTGTTATGGAGCAGCCTTCCTTCAAGAAACAGGGTATCGAGCCTTGTAGGGACTAGGCTCTACGCCTGCGCAGAAAAAGCTCACCACAAACTTGCAAGCTCCGGATCTACTCGTAGAGCGAGCAAAGATGCTGAAGAAGCGATCAGAGAAAATGGGTTAGTATATAATGCATGTAGTATGTATACTGTATACATATCTATCTATCTACCTATCGCAAAGTACGCAATATCTTATATATATAGTGTGTAGCATATATTGTAGAGTAAGCAGTATATCGTGCCAGGTCTACTTTACCAGCTACTTTACAACCTGGCGCATGGTCCCGCCGGGGGAGCCCGTGCTGCGGTCTGGCAGCAAGAAGCAGGAAAGAATATAGGGGCCTTGATAACTACCGAGATTATTTTGTGGGGTTCCTTAGAATTATGGTATAATGGGCCCCCCAAATAGGGGCCTTGATAACTACCTACATTACTTTGTGGGGTTCCTTAGTATAAATATAGCATGATGGGCCCCAAAACCCTATTCCAATTATCAAGGCCTCTATAGTAGGTGCGGAACGGGAACGAAAATCACACCACTACGAACCCAAGTCAGGGGCTTGGGCGGGAAAGATACCAATCTACTGGTTCCGTACCTTCAGTAACTATTCATGAGGGATGTGGGGTAAGGCGTCTACAGGCTTCCGACTTTGCGAGATGAAAGGGGCAGGAGCAGCAAAGATACCTGAGGACCAAAACCTATAAGCACTTAAAGGGGTTTAGGGTTTAGGGTTTAGCCCTTTCAAACCTTGTTTCAAGCTTCCTGGATTCGTCCGGACAGGCCTGGGCCCCTAGTTCGCGAGGCGTTGCGCCACTTCGTCACGGTGCATCCTGGCCTGACCCGAAATGGTGGGCTTTCCCACAGGTTCTTAATGGCCTCGCGGGTCCTTGAAAGGGTTTGCAGGCTTCGCTTTGGGGTGTTGTGGGGCTTGGGGCTTATGGTGTAGGGTTTAGGGTGGTGGGGTCAGGTTGCCTTGATTTCCAAGCATTTCAAGCCCTGCACGCCGCATGATATCTGAGAACTGGCCGGCCTCCGGACACTGTCGTCGTGTTCCGGGGAGGGGCGAGCGAGACTTGACCGCAGTTTCGGGCTTTGTCGTGCGAGACGGAGGACCGAAGTAATCAGAACAGGTCTCTGGGTGTCATATAGTCTGAACCCTACGCCATCATCCGTCGGCCAGTGACTCCAACAAAGGATTACTTCTATTGGATGTTACCGGAGTTCCCTCGCAAAGCAGTATCGCCTCCCCGCATGTGAACAAGACCATAAACTTGAAGGCCGCGGGCTTTTGCAGGGTTGTGGGAAGCTTTGGGATCAAGCCTGTGCAGTGGGTTTTGCACATCTCCGCTGACACTCTGCTGGGTTCATGCCTGCACTTCGGTAAGAAAGCTAGCCGTAAGTGATGGAGATAACCCGAACCCTAAACCCTAAACCCTAAACCCCAAAAACCCTTAACCCCAAAAGCCTAAATCCGAAAATCTCGAGGCAGGGGCCGGTTGTTGCAGCGCACAATCCCCTCCCCCCCTCCCCCCTTTCCGCCCCCACCTTGAACCCCAACACCCTAAGCCCCTAAACCCCCAATATTTCTAGCCTTGAAGAGGCATGTCGCCTTGCTTCACCAGGCCCTACACGAACCAAAAGCCTTCCTTTAAACCTCAACATTCTCGAAGGCGAAGCCGCCCTTCACCCCCCATAGCCAGAAACCCCGAAAGCCAGGGCCCAAATTTTCCTTCAAAAACGCAAAAAGGGGTCCCAAAGCCTCCAACGAGCCCGAGGAGAGCCAGGAGTCCACGCTGACGGAGCGCTGGGTCAGTTTAGGGGTTCAGGGCTTCAGGGGTTCAGGGTCTAGGGTTTAGGGTTTAGGCTTCAGGGTTTAGGGGGTTTTATTCGGCGTTCTTTCGCTTGTAACACGGTGGGTTTTGGACCATGGCCGTCTTGGGTGTCGACAGCTTCCTGAAAGGCTGTGAAGGTGTGGACATGAAGCATCTTGTGCTGGTTGAAGTAGGGCCTAAGTAGGGCCGTTTAGGGTTTAGGGTTTAGGGTTTAGGAAGATGGATTTTGAAGGTTTGCTTCCCGCAGGCCTTGGCCTCACAGGTTTCGGGACGGTGGCCATGGGTTTCAAGTCGCCCTAAGGGCTTCAACCCTCAACCCCTGAACCCTAAACACTAACCCCTAGCCCCTACACCCTTAAGCCGTAAACTCTCAATCGTTCCTTCGTGGCTGGCCCTGAATGGACGGCTTGCTGTTGTTCGTGCTCAGGATTGCAGAGGGATCTGAAGATGGGCTTTGAGGATTGATCGACCTCAAGCCGACCCCGGATTTTGGGGATGGACTGTCTAGGATATGCGACACGTGATACGGGTTGTTTGATTCTGAGAAGTCGGAGTTTAGGATCTGGCTTGCGGGCTGCGAAGGAGCAAGAAGTCCATCATCCAACGGAGGGACTGCTGGTGGCCCTTCACGACGTGGCGAAGGAGGTCGATGCAGTGCAGGGTTTTGTGATTCAAGCCTTCTCGGTGCAGCGGTTTAGGGCAGAGGATGTAGGGTGAGTGGCTTCGAATTTCTTGGGGCTTGTGGTCTAAGATCCACAAGCACACCTTTTCAGCCGAATGTAGGGGCCTGAAAGTTGGTGCTTAGTATAATATACCCCTAAACCCTACCCTGATTATTAAGGCCCTTACTTTCACTACACAGATTCTCGGCCAGGTGTCGAAATCGGTGGAGTATGAGAGCTGGGCTTCGCGGCTTTCGGTTGCCTACATCATGGCGCGCAGGAGGGTGTAGGGTTGAGGGTTTAGGGTTTGGGGTTTAGGGTTCAGGGTTAAGGGTTCGCGGCTTCGGGTTTAGGGTTCTGCTTCAGGTGCTTGTTGCCGAGCTTTAGTCTTGGTGTCGTGCGGGCTCTCAGGAGGCACTCCACCCGCTTGCGTAGAAAGTTATGTTATGGTTCTTTGTTTTTCGGAGTTGTCAGCTTCATGTGTGTGCCGCCGCTCCAAGCAATCAGTGTCATCCTGGCCTCACCTCAAGAGCGTACAGGCAGTGGTTTCGGAATTGAGGTTTCCTGGGTTCGTGCCGGAAGCAGGGGTTCCCGTGTCGGTGACTGAAGGAGCATCCGTCCTGCATGGAGTGATTAAACTTTGTGTCACTCACAGATGGTCAGCTCAATAATCAGATTTCCTGTTGAAGACCGATACCCAGAACAGCTCACTCGCAAAGAAGCCTTTCATCCTCGTATGCTCTGAGCCCTAAAGCCGAAGCTCGGCTACCTCCTATCAGGAGTGTGAGCACCCGCTTCATGACCGAAGAGTGCGAGAACTTGCCGAGCGGCAGCTACTTGAAGCGACCAGGGTGTAGGAAATAAGGTTTGGGGTTTAGGGTTTGGGCTTTCGAGTTCAGGGTTTAGGTTAGTTCCGGTTTGGGGTTCAATGGGGGCGGTCGGACGGGGGAGTGGAGGGTGGGGGGGGGGAAGGTAAGCCTGCACTTTGAGAGTCTCGGGTCCAGGTGGTTTCCGGTGCGGAGTGCGAAGGGCGACTGCAGGAGAAGAAGAGGGAAGTTGCTGGGATGTAGCACGGCTGTACCGGGACCTTTTTCTACCATAGGGGAATAATTACCTATACTATTTGGGCGTTCCTCCTTTTTGTATAGTATAATGGGCCAAAAAACCTTATGATAATTATTAAGAAAGGGTGTGTGCAGCAGTGGATTTGCGCACACAGCAACAGAAGCTGGCCTTCAGTGCACGGCGACAAGGGGTCCGCAAGCCGGGAGAAGTGAGCCATCTACAAGCGTGATGGATGTGTGCTTGTGCACATATGTATATACACATATATATATATATAGATGTATATGTATATGTATATGTATATGTATATGTATATGTATATGTATATGTATATGTATATGTATATGTATATGTATATGTATATGTATATGTATATGTATATGTATATGTATATGTATACGTATACGTATATGTATATGTATATGTATATGTATATGTATATGTATATGTATATGTATATGTATATGTATATGTATATGTATATATGTATGTGTATGTGTATATGTATATGTATATGTATATGTAGATGTATATGTATATGTGTCTATGTCTGCGTCCATGTCAATGTCTGTGTCCATGTCCATGTTTGGTATATGTGTAAAGATGTATATGTGTATATGTGTATATGTACACATGTATCCACCTAGATGTAGATGTAGATGTGGATGTAGACGTAAGTGTAGACGAAGACGTAGATGTATATGTATATGTACATGTATGTAGATGTTTCCAAACACATACATATACACACATACTCTCTCTTTGTTTATTTCTTTGTTTCATTCTTTCGTTTTTTCTTTATCTCTCTCTCTCTCTCTCTCTCTTGCTCTCTCGCTCTTGCTCTCTCTCTCTCTCACTCTCTTTGTGGATGCCTTCCGCATCTGAGTTTCCTTGTACATTGCGCAATGTTTTTCACTCCAAACGAATCTCGGCTGTAAGAATCCTCGTAACCAGCTACCAGCTATCATAGGTGGCCTAGGTTCGTAACAGTGCCGCCAGCAGCCTACCTGTGCCAGCCTACAGAACTAAGAAACGCCTTGCATGAGGCTATGTGGATGAAGGTCTGGTGCCAGGCAGCTGGGCAACGAAACCTTGGCCCCAAAGCACATACCTCAAAAGCAGGCTTTGGTTCAGGGTTGAGCACGGTTATGCCTAGTGGGCTCAACCAGGCCTGTGCCTACCTTGCTGATGAAAGGCCCCAGTCTCGCAAGCGAACCCGAACACAGCCCCACACCCTGCACGAGCACTTCTGGCTACCTTAATGTCTCAAGCGTTTCTCGGCTTTGGCAGCGTGGTCCAAGACTCAGGAGGGAATCCCCAAACACGAGACCGAGCACGCCCAGAAATCCTTGAACCAAAGCACAAAAACCTCGATGCCTAACTCCAAAGAACCAGGTAGACCTGCACTCCACCGAAAATTTTATACCCCTTACCCCATTTCCCCGAGGTCACTCCTCCGAGGAAGGCTCTACACGTATCTCGCCAGGGTTTATGGCTTTCGGGTTTGTTTGGGTTTAGGATTGGGGTTTTGGGGGCTTGGGGGTTTCGGGTTGAGTCTGGTTTGTTTGGTTTATTGTTTGTGCCATTCTCCAGTGGCTCAGCGGCCATAACGGTACTTGTGGTAGAGTTTAAACTAAACGCTAGGCCAAAATATTCATTTTCTGAGTTGCTTGATTTTTTGAAGAAGATGTATTGGGTTCAGACGTTGAAGAGTGGAGAGGTTGAGAAATTTGGGGGTTCAGGGTTAAAGGCCTAAACGCCTAAACCCTAAACCCTACACTCCCAAGTAGTTTTATATGGCTTAGTTCCGGCTGGAAGCGCTTCGATGGGTCCGGCGGCTCGTGTATGGCTTATATAGGGCTCCAACCCTCATAGAATCTATGCAGTAAGAAACAATATATGACGAGATATTCATCATAGACTTTGAGCCACGCATAATAAAAGACAACAATAAGGCGGGTAATGAATACCAAAAAATAATCATAATGATACGGGTAGTGGTACAGAGAATGACGATAATGATATCATGATACGGATACTTGTGGTAATGGCAGCAGTGATACTGGTAATGGTTTTTAATGACAAAACTAATCACAATGACAGAAAGAATGATACACAGGCAAATCATAGTCATCATTCCAATAATGGGAACCAGGATAGTACTGGGAGTAACAAAAATGATAGTCATGACAAGATAGGTAAGAAAGTTAATAGTGATGATATTGATAGCCATGACAATGATGTAAGTTGTTTGATCAGTGGTGGTCATGATGATCATGAGTGGTCAGAGTGGTATTCATGACAGTCATGATACCAAGGATAAGGATGATGGTAAATATAATATAGTGATGACGACAAACGATACTGGTGTTGGTGGTAGTAATAGGAATGAGAGCAATTATACTAATTATAGTGATAATGGACTACGTCAGTGAAGCCTCGCGAAACATTCGTGACGGACTCTGCCACTGACCTCCTCAACGAAGTGGTGCGGTGCGCCTTGCTCGCTTGTGGCTCTTCGATGCTTCGGGCGATGGTCATTTGTGAGCACTTCCGAAGCATCGCGGCATCTCGCGGAAGCGAATTTGCTCAAGCACAGCACGGCGCGAGATTGTGTTCTTCGGCCCCATGGCGCCAGTGCCGCGGATGCTGGCAACGCTTCTTGTGGCAGCATCATGCAGTACAGCGTTGGCTCAGCTTCGAGGAATGTCGGCCCACAAGAACGAAACTAATGCAACAGATCAGACTGCTCTCCGCTCAGCATGGGGAAGCTGTCAGCTGTACGGTTGCCCTTCGACCTACATGAAGAGGCAGGTTTGCCAGTGCAATAGCCGATGCCACGACTACAACGACTGCTGCTCGGACATCGCCAGCTGCAGTGCACCACGTGATGATGCATGGGTGCCCATTTTCTTGAGCAAATCGGCCGACAAGAACGAAGCTAACGCCACACAGCACAAGGCTCTACGCTCAGCATGGGGAAGCTGTCGACAGTATGGCTGCCCTTCGACATACAGGAAGAGCCAGGTGTGCCAGTGCAACAGCCGATGCCACAACTACAACAACTGCTGCTCGGACATCGCCAGCTGCAGTGCCCCAGCATCACGTGGTGGTGGATGGGTGCCCATCTTCCTGAGCAAGTCGGCTGAGCAACCGGGCCCCGGCAACTCCACTCCTTGAGTGGCGCTGCTCGTGGCCTTGCCCCAAAGTTGATCTGGGGCCCTTTTCTGTCACATCCAGACAGGGTTGGGGGATCTGTTTCGTCGAGAGGTACCCTCTAGTGGGGCTCGTTTCGACAGGGAGGCCCTCTTCAATTAATTCGAGCAAGTTTTGAGAAGGCAGTGCCATAAACAGACTCCTTGAGTCACGATGTCCACAGGACTTTCAGCATTTAAGGCTCCGTCGTACGCCTGGGGCTAAAGGAACGTGTTTGTCCCTTGCTTCACATTATCTGATGTGGGGGCTCTGTCCCGGTCCAGCCCTGGGGGCTCTGTTTCGTCAACAGGTACATCACTCACGGTCCTTCTGGAATGTTTCAATTTTCGTTTCAAAGTTCTGAAACGGGGGGCTCGTTTCGACGAGAGGTACCCTCTAATTCGAGCCAGTTTTTTGGAAGGCAGTGCTATGAACAGACTCCTTAAATGGCGGTGTCCACAGGGCTTAGGGCATTTCAGGCTCCCCCATGAACAGCATGGCACTTTGGCCTCTTGTCGACCGTTCGCTCACCAAAGCGTAACGGAACGCGCCAAACCACATTCGTTACCTCATGACAGCAGTACGGAAAATGGCGAGACCTGCATGCAGCCAGGTCCTAGCCATGCAGACATCCTGCACCATGGAAACTTTCACCTGAACATGGCAGGTAAACAGCGACGTCCGGGACGTCCAGTGCACCCAGAGCGGGAGGCTTCGTAGGGGATCATAGACACGATGTTCTCTGTAATGAACCCAGGCAAGACAACCGAAATGCAAAACAAATTAGCTACCGAGCATCAGGCGCAGCATGCCGCATCTCAGGAAACCAGAAAAATATCAGAGAACCGGATCTCCAAGCCAAAGCAAGACAGATTACAGAGCAAATGAGATACGAACAGTGAACAAAGCGTATCAACATCATCAGCAGCCCTCAAACCTAAGTGCAAAGCCTTGGAAAGACCTTGGCAGATTATTGAACGGCATTCTCGCTGTTCCTCTTTTCTTGACTTGCCTCGGGGTTCAATATTACCGGTTAAGGCATTTAACCCTAAACCCTAAACCTTAGAAGCTGCCCCCACCCTGCAATAGTGACTATAAGGATTATATTAGGGCCCTGTTATATTCCGACTATACCACAAGTACAGGGTGGGGTTTTTTAATTTAACCTAAATTTTATACTGATTTAAGCCCTTGGTGTCATCGGCTAAAGTCGAGGTTTCGACTTCTACCTCGTCTCCCAGACCTACGTCATTGGGACTGCCAAGCCCACCCTGTACTCCGTGCCCGATTCTCAGCAGGAGCCTTCTGGGGTAGTTGTGAAATTCATGGTCCCTTTTTGGGTACCCTAAATAATAGGTGCCGTATTATAATGGGGGCCCAAGAAGGGACCATAATTTTGACAACTACCCTTTTGTGGGCCCCAGCCGAAGTCCCAGCAACAGCCACGTGGTTTGCAGCTTGCATGCGCTTGAGGGATGAAGGTGAGGATGAGGATGATGGTACCTAAAGTTCATGCTCCCTGAAGCCCTTAACCGTTAAGCCCTGGAGGCCTACAGCTTTAGACCTACCTCAAAACCTTAAACCTCCGAAGCCCTATATCCCCGAACTTCAGAAGACGCGAAAGCAGCGGTCAGGGATTTTGGCTTGGAGTTTGGGGGATAGGATTTGAAGTGTAGGATTCAGGGTTTCAGGAATTACGGTTGGGGATTTGGGGTTTTGGAATATCCGGTTTGGGAGTTGGGGTTTGTGTTTTGTGGGGTGTAGTAGGGTTTACATCTACTGGCCCTTCGTCCTCCTGTCCCGGTTTAGGGCTTAGGGTTTAGGGTTTAAAACTAAACCCTTAACCCTAAACCCTACACCAGGTTGTTCTGACTCAGTTTTTCGATTTCGTTTCGGTCCTCCGAACGCGAGCCCGAACTGCCAGCAACACCCTTGCGGACGAGGCTTTACAACACACTCACCTTCTCAAAGTCGGAGATCATCCGCCTCACCTACAGGCTTTGCGCAGTGCAGCCCGCCAGCATGTCAAGAACTCGTGATTCGCCCGCATCAACTCATGGTTTGGGGTACAGTCTGCCTGCAACGGCATGAGATGAGACCACGTTCTCCGAGAGGTCATTGCAACTGTTTCGACCCCTGCGCTATCTAGAAAGAGAACGACCATCCTTGCCAGAGTATTGCGAGTAGTAGGTAGTCAGTCAGGTACATGACCTTTGCCGGCATGGTCGGGAACTCAGCGCAGTGCACTGGAGTGCCCGACGCAAAAGCTGCACGGCCGGTGGGGGGCGGTGGGTCGAGTCCGGATACAAACTCGCGAACATCAGCTGGATAACTTAGAAGGGGCCGCCACCCTGTAATAGTGGTATAGCAGGAATATAATAGGGCCTTAATATAATCCTTATAGTCACTATTACAGGGTGGGGGCAGCTTCTAATGGATAGCCCTAGCTGCTGGAGTTTTTTTCGCCGCCAGGTGGCATCCGGGCTGGCTTCAGATCTTCCGCTTGGGGGGGTGTTTGGAGTCATCAAAGTCGGGTTAGGGTTTATCAGGTTTAGGGTATAGGGTTTAAGGTTTAGGGTTTAGGGTTTAGGGTTTAAGGCGCAGGGTTTAGGGTTCAGGGTTGAGGGTTTAGGGTTTTGAGGACTATCTGGGCAGCTTGTGTCTGTATCGGGTACGGAGCCTTTGCGGACCAGTTTATTATGAAGCCCCAAAAGCCCCAGACCCCCGGACCCCTTGGGCGCCAAACCCTTAAAAACATACATATATATGTATGTATATATATATATATATATTTATTTATATCTTTATATATCTATATGTTAATAAACATATACATATATATGTACATATATATATATATATATATATATATGCTCAACCCGCATCACTCGAATGGCCCAGGTGTCGCTGCCCGCGCCCTTGAAGTACGCGGCCAAGGTCCTGAGCCTCCTGTCAAAGCTGCTTGGACCGATTTTTGTCTGGCTTGGGGTTCGGGCTTGGGTCGGGTTTTAGGGTTTGAAAGGCTTTGGGTTTGGGGTCTGCGGCTTCAGGGTTTCAAGGTTGGGATGCATGGCTACGATGAAGCTGCCTTTGGATGCCTCCGGCAGTCGTATTGCGCTTCGAGTTTCGGGCCTCGAGACCTCGCCATGACCCACGTTAAACATACACCCTGCATCCCTAGAAGATGTTCACCACTCTGAAACTCCGAACCCTAAGCTTTGAACCCTTTGCCCTGCTACTTCCTGCATCGAGCGCGCTCAAGCACATAAAGAAGCCATTGCACTTTAAAAAACCCCAAAAAACCCTCAACTCCAACCTCTGAACTCCAACCCTGAACTTCAAACTTCGTATACGAAAGTTTTATCCCTTCAACTTCTTATCATGTTTGTAGTATAAGATACCCCAAACCCTATTCATTAAGGCCCCTATATGACTTCTTCCACCTGAAGCCCCAAGAGTTGCTTATGGCGTCCCAGCTTACAGAAGCCATTTACCAGGTAAAGGTTTAGTTTCTTTCAGGGTTGAGGAGGTCGGGGTTTAGCGTTGATGCCACGCCCTGGACAATCGAAAATGCACAGAATGAAAGCTACCGGGAGCCGAAGTGTTCATTACGTCCCATGCTCCTAAACCCAGCCATCTAGATCCGACCTGAAACGCCAGACCCCCACATTCCCATCCTGGTTCCATGATAGGTCTGGTTTGGCGCTAGGAAAAGCTGTCGAATATGGTCGCTTAGTTGGAGCTTGAATTTTCAAAGGTGTGGCCAACTTCCGGAGCAACCAACAGGTGAGGTGCGTACCTGGAGGCGCCACTGCTTCAGGTTCTTTCGGGCTTAGATGCTACGGCTTCGGGGCTATTTGTGGTTTGAACTCAATCTCATAGCCCCTTGGAGCAATGGTATAAGCATATGCGTGTGTGTACAGATATATAAGAAATAAACAACTAAATGAATGAATATGTATATATGTGTATACATGTATGCATATACATGTATGTATGTGTATATACATATATGTATGTAAACATATTGTTATTTATAGATGTGTATGTGTATGTATGTATGTATATATATATATATATACACAATACGCTGGTTCCAAACATCAAGGCCCAAATGCTAGGGGTATGGGGGGTAGAGCTTCACAGAAGCCTGCGGCTAGGTCTTTCGGGTTTTAAGGGCTACAGGAGTTTTTTTAAGGGTGTTTTGGCCGATCGGCGGTGAGGGTTTAGGGGTTTGCTGCTAGGGGTTTCAGCTGTGTTCAGGGTCGTTTGTGTGAGGTCCCGCTGTTTATCAGGGCTGGATCTTCAAGCTGTGTATCTACTCTGCCGGCATTGCCATCTTCCTTGGTGCTTTGTACAGATTTGTTGCAGGGTTCCAGGTTGTGCATCAGATTGAGATTCTGATTTGTTTTGTGGCTTTGAAAAAACGGGTGTAGTGAGAGCTGGCCATCTAATCGAAGTGAAAGGAGACTTCAGGAGGATGTTCCTCAGATCCCTGTGGCCGCCAACTTTCGGCCTGATCTCGTGCAGGCCAAACCTCTTCTTCGTGTAAGCTGCGGCCACGGGAACGTCAAGGACTGAGGGAGAGATCCACATGACACCTCGGCTCTGATTATCTTCTACTTAAAGGATCATTGGACTTAGTAACTGGGGTTATGAGTAAGGTAACTATGCTTATAACTACTTATAACCCCAATGAAGGTACTTATAACCTTACTTACTAAGTCCCATGATCCTCCAAGTACCTGTTTGTGCTTCATTCCGGGCTTGAGAGCACCAGTCGCTCCAGCAGGGTGCACAGGAGTTCACTTTTTCGCAAGATCTTTCCACCTCTGCACGCGAGGCACTTTTCCACAGCCCTGCAGCTTCATCACTCTAAGATCTTCAAGGTGCAGGTCCTTGTCCTTGTGATCTGAGCAATAGGTCGCCTAAGGCTTCGGGGCTTGTCACAACAGAGTTCAGGGGGCCTCACCGGGGTTTCGAGTTTAAAGCGTTGGACTTCGTGATCCGTGGTTTTGATTCGGGAGCTGGACGGCTATCAACTTGGCAAACATCCAGAAGATCGCCTGGGTGACCGGTATGCATGACACCACTGGCAGTATGCCGCGTGAGAGTCAGAGGCGAATCAAACGCAACACCGTCCGATCACTGCTCACCCTTAAACTCCTACGCCTACGCCCCTGTAAATCCCGATAACAAGCCATGGAGCCCCTGTTTATAGTCCATCGTTGGCTCGCTCTGAGCGTCGGAGGCTGGGCGAACAGGTGTCCCGTAAATGTATCTGCAGCTGGCAAGGGGTGATTAAGCTTTGTGGCGTTCACTTGAGCTCAGATTGGATAAGACAGCCTGTCGACGACCGATATCGCCTTTAAGAGCCGCCCCGTACAAGTGGCAGCTTCGTTCCAGAACAGCTCACTTTTCGAGTCTTACTGCTGATGATGGTTATGCAGAAGCACTGCCAGATGCCATGCACAGGCGCGGTAAAGAGTTATGTTTTCCGGACAAGCGAACAAGCTCATCCGCACATCCAGTGTATGAACGTGTTCGACATTTTCAGACACCGTGTCCAAGCCTTCGGCTCAGGAATACCAGCAGCCACTTCACGATCCACATTCCGAACAATATGGGGCCTAGTGTTTTGGGGGTTCCTTATTATAAGTACAGTATAATGGGCCCCAAAACCCTGTTCTAATCATCAAGGCCGGCCCCTACAACAAGCGGCCTTGTCGGAGGATTGGACCAAACGTCAGTAACTCGAAATACCCGCGCTGGATCGGAGATGGAAACCCTAGACCTGAAACATCCTGAAGGTTTAGGCTTTTAGGGTTTTAGGGTTTTAGGGTTTAGGGTTTAGGACCTCAGTTTTGAACCGAAGCCCTGAGCCGTAAACCCTAGACTCTAGACCCGAAAGCCTAAGCTCAGCTGAGTCCTATCAGGAGCGTGAGCAGCCCGATTCGATTCATCACCGAAGACGTGGTGCGCCCTGCTGGGTTTTAGATCCTCGAAGGTGGAAGCCGGGTCGATGGTCAGTTTCGCAGTTTCGAGGCGTGCTGGCACGGCATGGTAGCAAATTTGCTCAAAGCAGTGGTTTTGGATTTTTGCCCGACCTCGGGGGCATCCTTTTGAGCCTTCGGCCCCATGGCGCCTGTGCAGATGTTGGCAAGGGTTCTTGTGGCCGCATCATGGAGTACAGCCTTGGCCCAGCTTCGAGGTCTGTCGGCTAACAAGACCGAACTTAACGCCACAGATCAAACTCTCCTCCGCTCAGCATGGGGAAGCTGTCAGCAGTACGGCTGCCCTTCCACGTACATTCAGAGCCAAGCGTGCCAGTGCAACAGCCGATGCAAGGACTACAACAACTGCTGTTCGGACATCACCAGCTGCAATGCCGGAGCACCTGCCGCCGGATCGCCGGCCGGAGGGGCGCCCAGCCCCACGCAGATCTCCGGACATCCGGACCCCAGCAAGCAGTACCCAAGCTACCCGGGCTTCACGCTGGCGCTCGTGGAGGAGTTCGACAGCCCACTGGACCTGGACAGCGATCCAATCTGGACCTGGTCGGACGGCGGGCTTTTCGAAGGCGACGTGCGCTTCGTAAAGCAGCAGATCCGCTTTGAGGACGGCAAGATGAAAATCACTGCCACCCAGAACCCTGGCTATTCCACACAAGCCTGCTCGCACGCCGAGGTGGGGACCGTTGAGCATAAGCCGCTGGTGAGCGGCGAGTTCCGCTCTAGAAGAAACATCTTCCGTTACGGGCGCTACGAGGTGCGCATGAAGGCTCCGGATGTGCAGCCCGGAAACCCGGATGTGGACGGGAACTTCGTTGCCACTATGTTCGTGTTCCGCGATGCCAAGTTCCGTCACTGGCGGGAGATTGACATTGAGGTCACTGGGGACTCGCCCAACTCCGTGACGACCAACGTGCTCCGTGCGGACAACACGGAGTTTTGGAGACCACAAATCGCCTCAGTGAGAACGACCAGCGTCAGCGGGAATGCACGGGCCGAGTTCCACACCTACGGCTTCGAGTGGCTGCCGGACCGCATCACGTGGTACATTGATGGCGTTCCAGTGAGGAGCCACTACGGCGGGAAACCTCCGATTCCGGACAAGTCGGCCAAGGTCATGATGAACTTGTGGATCTTTGGCCCCAAAGCCAACTTCGGCGGCAGGCAGATTTACAACAATCGCTACCCCATGACCAGCGAGTACGACTGGTTCCGCTTCTACAAGTGGGACGGTGAGACGACCTACCCGTGCCAACGCTTCTCCACCTCGTGTTTGTCCAGCGATGACAGGCATGGGGGTGGCGTTCGTTTCATGAGGGACTAATTGTCTTCTCAGGTGTAAAGGAGAGAGTTTCAAAGGTGGGTGGGTGCCTTCAAGGGAGCCCTAATCAGTCGGAAGAGCCCGAGGTATCTGGACGGCAACAACCCCTGTGATGGGCAGCCGATGCTTGGCACTTGGAAGGGCCAGGCTGCGTGCTCAGCATCCTGCCGATGAGCAGCTGGTACTACGGTTGATGACATAAATCCTGCATTACCCATAATAAGGAATATGCCATAATTACCCTAGTTTAGGGTATTTCAGGAAATGCAGGATTTATTTCATCAACCGTAGGGGGAAGCCTCTGGCTCCGCTCAGGTCTTGCCCAAAGGGCTTAGGGCATTTTAGATGACTTAAGGCTTCGTCGTACCTCCGGCGGCCGAAGGGACGTTTTGCCCCTGGGTTCAGGGGGGCTCTTTCCTGTCAGATCCAGAACGTTTTTTTTTTTTGGGGGGTGGGGGGGGCTAAGGTCCGTCTTGGGTAGGGTTTCGTCACTCTGGATCTGGGGATCGTCGGCCCCTGCTCTTTCTTAAGACAATCTTCAATTTCGGTGGGGTCTGCAAGCGGAGTGTAAAGCTGCCGGACCCTCTAATTCGAGCCGGTTTTGAGAAGGCAGTGCCATCAACAGAGTGGCACGTTTCATCCTCTTGTCGACACCGTTCGATCACGGAAAGCATCAAATCCTGCATGCCCGCGATTGCTAGCCACGAAGGCATCCGACACCATGCAACGTGTTCATGTCCAAAATGAACGGCAGGTGGACAACTACATCAGGGACGGCCGGAAGGCATGCCGGGGGCATCCTCTACTTGTAGATGTATAAGATGTTTTCTGTAATGAGCCATGCTGAAGTGATGGAAGCATCATAGAAACTGAGCCTCAAGCATCGAAGACATAGTACAGAACCCTCACGAGTCTTATCAACATCATCAGATGCCCTAAACTTAAACCCGAAGCCTCGAAAGGCTTCTTCAAGCTGAAAGGCCTCATCGCCGTTCCCATTGTATTGAGGGTCAAGTTATCTTTAGGCTTGAGGTTTAGGGCAGGTTTAGGGTCTCGGGGTTGGAGGTCGACGCCCTTGTCTGTACTTGTCATCATCCGCATGGAAGCTTCCAGAGGTCGGAATCGAGTTGCAGAGTTGAAGTTTTGACTTCTACCTGGTCTCCCCGACGGACAAGGCCACCCTGCACGGAGTGCGTCCGATTCTCAGCGTGGACGTCGAATCTTAGCGAACCCAAAGACGCCCCTACCCTACACCCTAAACCCTGAAACCCCCAATCCCCTAAACGTTCTGCGTTTTGCACGTCGCCGAGGCTAAAGCCCTGAATCCTCGAGGGTTGAGGATGTAGGGTTTGGGGTTTGGGATTTAGGATTTTTGGCATGGGGTTTAGGATTTAGGGTGTGTGCGAGTGTGCGTGTGTGTGTGTGCGCGTGTGTTTGTGTGCGATAAAGTTGTAGGGATTGTAGGGTTCAGAGCTCTAGAGTCGGAGCATTTTGACGGCCCGCCAGTCCTCCTGTTCGCCCCAATTCATACCGATACCCACGTGGACGAGGCTTCACGACATGCTGACCTTCACTTCTCAAAGTCGGAGAGCTTTGCGCAGTGCCGCTCGTCAGCATACGTCCAGGGTTCGGTGCGGCTGCCCTGCAGCAGCATGGGGTTTAGCAATGTTGGTCCAGAGGTCGTTGCAAGTGTTGCGGCCCCCGTGCCTTGAATAGCAAGAATGGACCACAATACTAATCACAAAAACCAACACAATAGGAATAAGCATGCCAACAATGATAAAATCAGAAAAATAATATTCATACGAATATTAGTCATAGCGAATAATAGCTAAAATTGCTAACGACAACAGTAATAACAGCAAAGATACCAGTAATGATGGTAAGGATGATACCAAGCAGAGAAATGATAGTGGTCACAGGAAGTAACCATACTAATAATTGCATTCGTGGTCATTACAGTCTGCAGTATGGCAGAATTTCTGCCAGCATCTACAGTGCAGCGATCCACGTAAGCACCTGGGCTGAATGGAGGCAGGCTGCAAGCACTCAGCATACTGCACTGAGTTTTCAACCAGGCCTGGCGGCAAAGGTCATGTACCTGACTGACTACTCACTCCTTGTGATACTTTGACCAGGTCTGTCTTTCTATTACTAGTATCTTTCGCTAGTTGTTGTCACAGATATTGTGGCATTATCTTTGTTATTCCTTCTGTTGTCATGGTTGTTATTGTAGTTTCATCATTATCATGATGATTATTGTTATTGCTCCTATTACTGTGTTTATTGTTGTTGTAACCCTTAGAGTATTGTTGCTGTTACTGCGTTACTACTATTATCAGTAGTCGTATTGTGAGACCTAGTCTTCGCTCTCTTCGTGTTTTGATGATAATAACCGTTGCCATCACTATGCTCATGCATCTTGGAGGCATATCGGCCACAGACGATTGATGCTTCCTGTCCATCGGCTGTGCGGAAGGAGGCATACTTCGTGCAGTGTTCCAGGGTCTTCCGTCTCTTCTTGCTGCCTTGCTTTGGCGTGACGACAAGATCGATAGAGGATCGTAGTAGTACTTAGGATCGGTTGGAGCTTATTTGCAAGAGAAGCTCCAAAGGCCCAAACTCTTTTCTGGCAACTTTAGGCGGGACGTGTTCGTAGTGAGCCCGTTGGACCAGGCTGGCCAGGCAGAGTACATTGCGCGGACCTATCTCACAGGCGAGGAGCAACAGATGTTGTTTCAGTTGACGAAGCGAGGTAGTTGCACAGGTCGCCGAAGTGTGACGGCACGCGGCTTTCTGTTTCTGAGGGGCCTGTCCGCCGTCGCAAGTCAGGTCGTCCGTTAGACCTGTTAGGGCTTTGAAGACAAGATTTCAGAGCGCCTTTAGCTGTCTTGTAGCGTCCCGATTTCAACAGATGGCTGCCATGGCAACTTTCGCTTCCGAGCTGCAGGTCTGCACAAAGAACACCTTCCTGCACTGCGAGGATCGTGAAGGGGAAGACCGGGCAGATGGACTTCTGACCCGGTCTCTTTCATGCCCAGCCTTCATGACGGACGTGACGACAGCCCCCTGCCGCTCTACCTGCCCTTCGGTGGTGAAGTCACCGTTTGAGGAAGACGACAGGTACAGCTCAGTCAGCACTGCAAACCAGGAGGGCCTTTACTCCAGCCCATGCGGGTCCGATGTCGAGTGCCTCAGCGAGCTCAGCGGAAGCAGCAGGACGAACTCGCCGCTCAACATCGGCTCCCGAACCAACTCACCGTGCAATCTCGGCGTAGTCGGCATCGCCGTGCCGATGGTTCTTACCCCAACCGCGGTTCCAGGGATGCCGCAAGCAATCCAGATGGTTGAGGTGCCCATGCCGACGCCGCAGCAAGCCATCCAGCAACCTTGCGGAACCGTTCCGGCCGCTCAGCTTGATCTTTCAGGACCAGCTGGCCAGGTCGCGATGCTGGTGCCGCAGCAAGCCATGCAGCAACCCTCTGGAACAGTCCCGGCCAGTCAGCTTGATCTTCCGGGACCAGTCGGCCAGGTGGCGATGTTGACGCCGCAGCAGGCCATCCAGCAACCGTCCGGACCCGTTCCGGCCACTCAGCTTGATCATCCAGGACCAGCTGGCCAGGTGGCGATGCTGGTGCCGCAGCAAGCCATGCAGCAACCCTCTGGAACAGTCCCGGCCAGTCAGCTTGATCTTCCGGGACCAGTCGGCCAGGTGGCGATGTTGACGCCGCAGCATGCCATCCAGCAACCATCCGGAACCGTTCCGGCCACTCAGCTTGATCATCCAGGACCAGCTGGCCAGGTGGCGATGCTGGTGCCGCAGCAAGCCATCCAGCAACCCTCTGGAACAGTCCCGGCCAGTCAGCTTGATCTTCCGGGACCAGTCGGCCAGGTGGCGATGTTGACGCCGCAGCAGGCCATCCAGCAACCGTCCGGACCCGTTCCGGCCACTCAGCTTGATCATCCAGGACCAGCTGGCCAGGTGGCGATGCTGGTGCCGCAGCAAGCCATGCAGCAACCCTCTGGAACAGTCCCGGCCAGTCAGCTTGATCTTCCGGGACCAGTCGGCCAGGTGGCGATGTTGACGCCGCAGCAGGCCATCCAGCAACCGGTGCCGCTGGCTTGTTCCGGGTCCCATGCAGCCGTGCAGGTGTCGGCTGCGGCGCCTGCAAATGAAAGGCGGGCCCCCACTTCGAAGACCTCGGACCAACAGAAGCGGATCAACAGGGAGCTTGTGGTGGCCGGCAAGAGAAGCAGCCTCGAGGTCCTGAAGGTGGTGCAGCGGAACATTGGCCAAATGAACGGAGTGAACTTGGCTACAGCATTCCATCGCATCTCGCGGGGAGGAGTTGATCTTCAACGAGTCTCCGGCTCCGGAATCTTCAACAGACTTCTGGAAGTGGCCGAATGCTGCGCTGAGCAGGAGCTGGCAAGCCGGGACGAAAAGGCCCTGCCTGCGAACTGTTGCACCATCATCGCCTGGTCCTGTGCGCAGCTAAGGGTCTTCCGGCCCTCGCTCTTTGCCAAGCTGGCGGGCGTCGCGACCCCGCACCTCCGCAGCTGTCAGCCCTATGAGGTCACGAACATGCTTTGGGCCTTTGCAGAGTTCTACAAGTACGACCAGGACTCTGCTTCCGGTGTGGCCCCAGAGCTCCGGGTTCTCTTGGATGCGGTGGCAGATGTCTTCAGCACACGAAGCCCTGGGGACTTCAAGGTGCAAGTCCTCACCTCGGCCCTCATGTCCGTGAGCGCTCTCCCCTGGGACCAGAGCTTCTCCAGCACTTGGCTCCTGAACAGCACCTTCCAGGAGCTCTCCTCTCGCTGGGAGGAGCTGGAACTCGAGGGCCAGGCACAAGTCGCCGTGGCACTCGAGCGATTGCGGGTGAAGTGCGCTCCCTTCTTCAACAGTCTCCTAAGCAGCGCCGGCCAGACGTTTCCGGCCGTGAAGATCTCGCTGGAAGCTCATTTGCTGAGCCGGGTCCGTTGATAGTGCCAAGCACTGAGATGAGAAGAGTAAGGGGCCACTTGCCGAGTCTGGCCTTTGCAGCCATGAGCCGTTTCAAATGATTCTCGGCTGAATGCCCCAACCACAGAGTTTTTGCCACTTTTTGCTGGCGCCCTTTCCCCCATTCCTGAGCTCGTGCACCAACTGCGCGTTCTAATAAATGAGCATGATGCATTATATATTTAGTTGGATCTTGTCTTGGCGACTGCGTTGCACCCTGAACGTCCATGAAAGCTTAAGTGAGGCTGTAGTGGTCTTGCAAACCGTCGTCATTCAACGATCCGCCTGCCGACCATGTTGGCCTAATCCTGCACGTCCTACCTTTTCTTCCGCTTGTTGCCATCGGGGCCTCAAGCAGACCTTCATACCACGCAGCACGACCTGGAGGCGAGATGCTCTGGGCACCTGTCTTTGCAAAGGGTGCTTGTGTAAAGAGAACTTGTACCTCATGCCCAGGCGTCACTGTTTGAAGCAGGGCATGCTGCGAGGCAATACCACGCACAGATTCCCCACGCTTGAGCAGACCTCATTCGCAGTCGAAGCAGTAATAATAATAATAATACCAGTAATAATAATTGTCACAAGTGGTGTTCTTCGGCTCTCGCTCTCTGCTGGGGATTAGTATTCTATCCGTCATGAGATGACCAGAAACCAGACAAGACAGAGGTTGCAGCAAAAAGTGTGCCAAGGGCCTGAGACCTGTTCGCCTGCCTGAACCAGCTGGCCGAAGCTCTTTCGCTTTGCAGGTGGTGGGCATCCGGGCAGCGGAGAAGCCAAGGGAGATGGCCTACCATGGCGCAGAGTCACTATGGGTATTGCCGGTCTGTACAGCCTTTCGCATGGTGACTTCTAGTATCACTGCGCGAACACCATGGAAAAGAAATCGCTGCACTCAAGGTGGTAAACTGGAGAACGAGCCTTTGATCGCTTGTGTGCAGAGTTTCTCCTCCTCCTCCTCCTCCTGCTCCTCCTCCTCCTCCTCCCGCGCACCCTCATCCCCATCCTCATTGTCCTCCTCCCCCTCCTTCTCCTCATCATCATCATCATCATCATCACCATCATCATCATCACCGTCCTCCTCCTCCTCCTCATCGTCATCATGATATTCACCATCATCATCACCATCATCATCATGATCATCATCTTCACCACCACCACCACCATCATCATCATCATCATCATCAGCATCATCATCATCATCCTCACATTCATCACTGTCATCGTCACCGTTATTACCATCACCATCATCATCACAATTTCCACCATCATCATCATCATCACCACCGTCATCATGACCATCATCATCATTATCCTCACCATCATCATCTCCATCTTCATCACCTCCAGCACCATCACCGCCGCCATCACCCACAGCATTTTTAGTGCCATCGTCATCATGTTCATGTTCATAATGATTTTCATGTTGCATCATCGTCATCGGCCTCATGGGCATCATTGCCAACCAAGACAATCAGCAGCCACACTATCACCATCGATACCGTCCTCATCTCCACCACCAGCCTGGTTGATGTTATTGAGCCTGCCATGGTCTCCATCGATTTCTCCATGAACAGATGCACCATGGAGCATATGTATCATTAGTATCAGCATCTTCTTAGTCATCTAATCAGGCTCGCCATAGCGATGGCCGTCGCAACAGCCACCTTCACAATCGTCATCGACCAGTTTATCGTTATCATCGCCAGCATAAGCGTCCGTTGACCATGGGCACCAGAGACCCATATCTTGCTCATTATTGCCACCGCCTTCGTCATTAACCTTTTTTTGGTCGTCATCACCACCACTGCCACCATCATTGCCATGTCTTCGTCAAATAAACGTATCATTGTCATCACCCTCCTCCCCCTCCTGCTCATCCTCCTCGTCCTCGGCCTCCACCTCCTTCTCTTGCACCGTCACCATCACTGCAGCCATTGCCATCACGACCGTTCTAGCTGAACTCCGTCATCGTCATCATTGGTGTCATCAGCATTATCGACACCATCCTGTGTTTGCCACGAGATGATGGGATGTGTGGAAGTCTTCGTATTCATCCTCACCTGTACACGAGTAGATCAGAGGATCCATGCAGCACATGCCCCTCAAAACGAAGCGTTGCCAGATGTACGACTCGGCGCCCTCTAAACTGAGCAAGACGTTTGTCCCGTTGTTGATTCCGGGGTGTCCGATCCTTCAAGGACCTGCAGCAGATGATTGGAAGACGCAGCTCGAGTTTATATATATATATATATAGGTATACATATATATATATATACATACACATACACACATACATGTATTCACACATGCTCTCTCTCTGTCCCTCCCTCCCTCCCTCCCTCCCTCCCCATATACATATTATGCATACATATATATACACACACATTTATAGTTATATATATATATATATGTATACAAAATCTAAATAGAAAGATGCGCGATATTTATGCAGCAACCAACGAATCAACATAAACACAACTACAGCTATACATAGAAGTTTGCATAGAGATATACCTGCAAACAGGAATGTCATTTGGATGTAAACAAATATGTACGCAAGTGTAAATTGAAATATGTATGTGTATATAATTATACATATGCAAATACAAATGTAAACCTAAATGCAAATTTAAGTACGCATGTAAGGATAATGTGAACGGAGTTTCCTTCTGTGTATGAATGTATGCCTGTATGTACGTCTGTATGTCTGCAAGTCTGTAAGTCTCCATGTCTGTCTGCCTGTCTGTATGTATGTATGTCTGTATGGCTACATTCAAGCCTGCTGCCACACAGGTTTTCGGCTGGAAGTGTGTAGCAGTGCAGAAGCCAAGATGAGAGGGTTTGCAACTTCTTGCCTAACGGTTAACACTTAGGCACCGTGCCTCCGACCTGCCATCCGTGAACATCGGGTTCCATCTGCTTCACCGACGGCACAGACTAGATAGCCAAGTCTATGCAAGGGAGTCCGAACCTCTTGCAGCCACCCAAGGCGGCCTTACCGCACCCACATCGATCGTCCAGGTCGCTCTTCGAGACGAGGTTGAGGCCCAGAGTCTAAAGTGTACGAAGCAAAGTTCCTGGTTTCAAGACAGGGAGCAAAGGAGCCATTGGCAAGCCGAGCCATGGCTTCGGCGTCCAAGCCTGCGACAAACATCGAGGAGATATTGGAGAGCCCCGGCCCCGAACTCAAACCTAAACCCAAGAATGCTGAACATCTCAGGGGAGGAAGCCGTCAATGTCCTGAACTTTGAAATGTAAGCCGTAGCGTGAAAAGGCTCCAGCCGAAGAGTGCAATGCATCTTGAAGCTTGCTCTGTCTCGTCCTAAACCCCTGAATGCCCAAACGTTCAGGTCTTCAGGTCGTTTTTCTCTGACTCATTGCGTTTGAGTGAGAAAACACGCAGAACCCGAGGATCGCTACAAGAGGTTTGAAGGCTTCTAGGCCTCGGAGTCGGAGGAAGGGTGCCATGATTTTCCAATATCAAAGAGAACTAAAGCCACTGAAACCGCAAGACGCAGCAGCGTAGAAACCCGAAGCCAAAACAGCTAGCCGCTGCGCTTTGGAGGCCCTAAACCCTGAACCTTTAGGCCGAAAGCCTAAACCCTCAACCTTCAACCCTGAACCCATTTGCATTGGCACTCGAGGCTCCGACCGAGGCCCAGGGAGCGTCTCGTCAGAACGGTGAGGGAGGGTAAAGCCTCCTGGTATACGGGGACTGCCCTGTCCTGCCCTGCCCTACCCAAAACTGAGGCGACTGTACGAGCAAAACGTTGGTTTACGCTTCGAGCAGCCCTTACAGGGCGCGAGCGGCAGGCTGTTTGTTCGAAACCTTTGCTTTTCGTCGAGCGACCCGACACCAATCCATCTCTGTGCAATGTGGTCGTTTATGTATCGAACTGCGAAAAGAAGCAGAGAGCAAGAAAGCCCCCCTTGAGGGGGGTTTGGGGGTGAACCCTAAACCCTAATTGAGAACAGCTGCGGTGGGGCACGCAAGCGCGCGATAAGTGGGCGCACACCCAGTTCTAAAGAAGCGCACGCACCGCGTGCATACTGTCTACACACCTGCAACCCCAAACCCTAAACGCTCAACCCTAAAGCCTCAACCCCAAACCCTCAACCCTAAGCCCCCATCCCTAAACTGCCGAGAGCGCGGCTGACTGCGTGGGTGTTCGAGGCTTCGACCGAGGCCCCGGCCCGAGCGTCTCGACCACACGGGGGACGGAAATGACTCGGCTACGCCTCACACAACACGGACGTCAGTCCGTTATAACGAGGACCCCAATACTTGCCCTGCCCAGCCCTGCTGCCTTGCCCTGCCCTGCCTTGTTCACACTTCGAGCAGCCCTACAGGGCGTGAGGGCCAACAGGCCGCGAGGACCCACAACCCGGCAACAATCCATGTCAGCTCTGCTTTCTTGACAAACAGAGTCGTTTCTGTGTCGAGCTGCGAAAAGAAGCATTGAGCAAGAAAGCTGCCCTTCAGGGGGGTTTAGGGGTGGAACCTAAACCTTACTTGAGAATGCTTAGGGTGGTTGGGCGGGACTAGATGCTGACGCAAGCGCGCGATATGTGTGCGCGCCCCTATCCCTAAAGGAAAAGGCGCACCCGCCGCGCGCATACTGTTACACACCTTAAACCCTAGAGCCGCAACCCTAAACTTCGGCCCTAAACCCTCAACCCTGAACCCTAAAGCTTAGAGCCGACAGTCGAAAGTCTCGAGCCGCAGGAGTTCCTTTGGAACATCCATACGGCGCTTGCCGCAGCCGAAGGTGGCTCATGGTTGGCACCCGACAGTTTTGGCTTAAGGTCTTTAGGGTGGCATTTTCGTTGAGAAATTGTTTCACAGCTCTGCCACATCCGAGCCACTAGACCATAAAGCCTCAGCGCGAGCGACTAAACAGTCTACACCCGTTCCACTATAACAAAATTCCCTTAAGGCTTGGGAAGAACCACTTTAAAGTAAATAAGCTTTGGAACCGTTATCAGACGCGAGAAGTCGCCTAACGAGGCCTTCTCGAACGATGGGGGAAGGCCTGGGTCTCACTGCCAAAGCCAAGGCCCCCACGTGTGAGAGTTTCTGAAACTTGGGGTCCCCCATGTTCTGATATCGAGACCCTAAACCCAAAACCCTGAAGGGTCCCTATTGCTTGGTGTTCTAAATTATTTCCCCTACCTTCAAAACGTGAACTTTGACAAGCCTGCATGTATCCCCTAGTTGAGGGTCCCGAGGTGAAAAAAGTCCCACAGAGCCCGATGACAAAAGAGACACACGATTTTGGATCCAATGCCAGGTCCGATTGAGTTGGCGAACTTAAAGGATCATTACCTCAAGCACCACGGCCACAAGCGGCTTGGCCGATAAAATCGAGCTCGGAGTTTCGCTGTTTGCCCTCTACGCTGAATGCAAATTCGGGGTAAACGTCGCCGTGGTCTGCCGACCAGTGTCGTATCTCCGACGGCCTGAAAAGAGAGAAGCGAGAGTGGTCATTTAAGAGTCACGGCAGTCTTAAACTTGGGTTTATCTCGCTGATGCTGTTGGTGTTCACTGTGTTGTTGAGTGACTTGATGCAGAGCAGTTTTATCCTCCAAGGCATTGGCTGGAACCGTTCTTCTTCCAGCAGTGTTGTTTTCCTACAGCTGCCCAACACAAACTCTTATTATACAGTAGAGTCAGTAGAGTGTGTCTAAACTATGTTAGGCTTACCATTGATCATTGTCAGCTGGCAAAAACGTTGTAGACGCCCAGTAGCATTCACATCGTCGCCCTGATCATTACCATCGTCACCATCATCATCAGCATCATCATCATCATCAACGTCATCATGATCATCACCATCGGTATCGTCGTTATCATTATCACCCTTATCGTCATCGTCAGCGTTGTCATCATCACCATTGTCATCATCATCACCATGATCGCCAGCATCATCATCATCATCATCAGCAGCAGCATGGCCATCACCATCACCCTCACCATCATCTGCATCAAGATAAGCATAAACATCTCCTGTGTAACATACACATGTAAGCCGAGGGTTCAAGCCGAACCTCATATCCACGAGCCCTAAAACTTGAGTGCTGAAACCTAAAAATAAAGGCTCTAAACCCGAAGCCACTGAACCCCCCCAATCCCTACATAAAACCCAAGGTGCAACATTGAGCGGTTCCTTGTGGTCGGTGAGGGAGGCCTTGGCGCCACTCTCAGGAGGCCACTTGACGTCCGTGGGAGCTGTTCTCGGGTGTAAGGAGGCTTCTCGGGCTTTGGTGTTCAGGACCTGGTTTTTTCGGGTGTCTATGGCTTCTGGCATTGTGCGAATGTGTTGGCTCAAGTGCCAACTAGTTGAAGCCCTGAAGGCACCGAACAAACCAGTGTGTGAGCAGTCCTCAGCCGAGACCCGGTATTTGCGGATTGGGGTCTAGGGTATCCTATCGAGCGATGAGAGTTTAGGAAGCAGGCGTCACGGGTTAGACCCAAGAAGCTGAAAAGGATCCCTCACATTGTCAAAATCTCCGTGGAGTCCGGCACCCCGGTCGTGCAAGCCACGCAGCCAGCAGGCGAGAGGAGATACGGGTTCAGTCGGAGCAAGTGTTGAGATCTCCTGCATGTGCCTGTACACCGTGTGCACGTGAGTATCCATCTTTTATATACCTCATATATATATATATATATACGTATACACATATATACACACACATAATACATAGACGGACAAAACAAACACGAGATCAATAGGTGTATATATGTATATATGTATGTATATATATATATATATGTATATACGCGTTATGTCGCGCCCTGCTTGATGTGCCCCACCCAAGACTATGCATAAGAGTTTCACTTGGGATTCATAGTAGCAGAAGGCAGCCCTTCACAGCCAGCGGAGCGGATTCGCGTCCCCAGGTTCTTTTGGCTCTCGGCCCTTAGCGAAAGGATCCACTTCCTGATGCCGTCTTGACTATTGCGAAAGGGACTGCAGAAGGAGGGAAGCGAAAGGGACACACACACACACAAACATCAACACGTAAATCAACAAAAAATTACATAGAGACATGTAAGTATTACATAAATAGAAGCACGTACACAGATACATGAGTACATAAAGACATAAATGCAGACGTATGTCAACGTATACACACATAAATAGATAAACACATAACTGCAGAACTTGATTAATCACACCATACACGCATAAATTCACAAACACGTTACATAAACACAAGTACCAAATGCAAACAAGTCTGGAGCCACGGTTCAGGGTTGAGGCATCTTATACACATACATACATACAGACACACATACATGCAAGCTTTTGTATATGTATATGCCTATGTCTTATGTATATGTCTATGTATATGAATTTACTGGTTATTTGCCCAGTACCATTTATTTATTTGTTTGTTTATATGTATGTGTCTGTATCTATACACACCCACTATGTATATGTAGACAAACAGATACATGAGCATTTAAACAAATCTACAAATAGATATGATATGTACATATATATATATATACACATGTATATATATGTATATCTATATATGTATATATATATATATATACGCATGTATAATCAAGGAAAAATAGAAACATGTACGAAATATATGTATGTATATACACATATATGTATATATATACATGCATCTGTACATACATGTTATATGGTCTCAGACCTCCGGGATATGCCGGTTCGGGGCTCGTAGAGGGGGTTGCCACTGACAGTACCCGAAGTCCTAAACTCTCACATCCTTCAATTGCGAGAGTTAGCCCCTCCCTCGCAGACATCGATCGAGCGCGGCTCATCGAAGAGGACATATGCAGAAACCGGGAGGGGAGATTCGGGTTGTTTCACGGGGGGTTTGGGGGCTTGATGGGTTTTGGCAGGTGCATATGGGTTGAAGGTTTGGTGGGCTGTAGTTTGTTGCTTCTGTGAAGTTCTTTCATGGCTGAGGAGTGGCTTAGCGAAGTTTAGCCTCTTCAGTTGTAATTACATGGCTTTGAGCGGTCGAGTGTCCGGGGTTTGGCATTTGCACAGAGTCTTGGCTCTGCGGTTATGCTCTAAAGCTCGGCGGAGGTGGTAAGGTGTGGATGTCAGGGTTCATTTCCGCTTTCAGGTCTGTGCTTGGTGGTAAGGAACGCCAAGCCTTCGCTCCAAGAAGTTGTCAAACATTCGGCAAGCCGTGAACCCTGCATATTTGCAGGGATGCAAGATTTACAAAGCTCTCTGGGTTCGTCGCTTCCAGCTTCCTGCAGTTGTTTGACACTCAGCTTCAATCCGCACATCCCAGAGCCCAATGCCACAAGGACAAGAAGTATCGGCGTGAGATTGCCACGCGAAACGCTGCGAAGGCCAGCTGAGACAAGCAGAAGTGCTTCCAATTCCCCCCCCCCCCCCCCCCCCCCCCCCAAAAGCCAAGCCCCGGGTCCTACCCCATACACCCCAAACTTAGCCCAAAATCCTAAATCCTCATTCCCAAACCTTCAACCCAAAGCCCTCAACCCAAAACCCCGAACCCCAAGCCCCAAACCCTAAAGCAAAAACCAGGCCGCTGCCGCCGGGACCTCCAAGGCAAAGGCCACTGCCTCAGTTCGGTTCTCTGCTTAAACGTTGGGTATAGGCCTCGTTTTGCTAAACTGCCTCAGGCGAAGGCTAGATTCTATAAGGGTTATTGTAAGGATAAGCATAGGGGTCATTATAAGGGGCATTATATCCCGAGTCGTTGACTTGAGTAGTGCAGGATTCTATGTGTCTCTGTAGAGGTAGGGCTTCGACCCGGTCCCTCCTCCTCCCGGTCTGAGCTGCGCTGCATTGAAATGTACGCGCTGGTAGCTGAAGTAGCATAAAATCTGCGATGGCCGGTGTTAGAATTAGCTTACCACTAAGCTGTGGCAGCCGACGTCGGGCCAGAGCATAAAGAAACAACAGATTCACCGCAGACTCGCAAAGGGGTACCTCGATAGGCAGACAGGACAGGCACGGCTCTCTGCCGACAGAGATCTCGGTGAACTGAAAAGAGACGGAGTTCAAGTAGCTTGCTAGGCGCAAGCAGCACATACCAAACATCTGCATGTAAATGCTTCGTCGGGCCTTCTTCCGATTTGGGGGAGCTTCTTGCATGAGCTGCCTGGAGCTCCTTTCTTGCCGCAGAGCTCTGAAGACCAAGTCCTTCTTAGGCGCCGGGCCTGGCGGGGCCCACCGAAACTCTGAACCCTCTTTGCCCCAAATTCCCGAAGTACCTGCTTCATTTCCAATGAGGCAGCACCGCCTTCGAAGGCGGCACCACCTCCTGCCGAGGCCGGCGAAAAGGTTGTGGGTTGGGCGTTGGGTGGGTGGGCGGGGCGGGTTTGAGGTTTAGGGGCGGATATAGATCAACAGAGATACGAACAATAAGCCAGGACTTTGGGCCCGCGGTGGCCGTCAACCCTTTCAACACGTGGGCTTGCTGCCTTGACTCAGCTGGGAGGGGCGGCCAGAGCTGTGGAACGGGTGAGAGAACCGTCCCGTTGCCATGACCCGCCGCACCTCGAATCAGCGCGAATGTGTGCCTGGAAAAATTCGTCGTGGGAGGAGTTGCAGCCTTCAGGGTTACCGGGAACCGCGGCGACCCAAACATCTTCAGAACCCTGGGCGGCGGCATTGTCCTCCTTCGTCATCATGGCTTCAGTGGGAAACCTACCCAGGCTCTTCTAGCTCCACATACATAGGGTTGTAAAAGGATGAGATCCCACTTCTTACGGGCCAGATAGTTTTTGAGGTCCTGATCTTTTTGAACTGAGTCGAACCGCCTTCCGGTGCAGAAGCCGTGGACCCCGTAAACACTCTAAAGCCTAAGCCCCCAAACCCTTACCCCTAAAGCCCTAAACCCCCCTGAATCCTGACCTTAAGCCCTAAACCCTAAACTGGAGCCTGCGATTGCCAGCTGCGAGCGTGCCGAGTTGTCAGCGAGGCTGCTGGCTCCGTAGCTCGCGCCCGCGAAGGAGCCCCAGCACCGGCTCAGGTGCTGGCGCATGCGACAGGCATGCTGGAACAAGAGAACAAGATGACCCCAAACCTCCAGCCTCTGCAAGGCCGCTAGGCTTAGCAGTTGTGATTTCGGCTGCGAAGCGCTGACTTTCAGCCCCGGCTGCAATTCTGCGCTACCCGTCTTAAAGAAATGTAAATGCAAACCCTAAACCCGACAAAGGTCGTAGATTGGGTGGGCGGCTAGGAGCGTTGAACTTAGGCGTTCACAACAACACACGTCTCGCGTGGTGGTGTGCACGGAGCATCGACAAACCCCTAAACCCTACCCCTAAACCCTACCCCTAAACCCCAAACCCTAAACCCGTAGACCCTAGACCCTCAACCCCTAAACCCTAAACCTTAAGCCCCTAAACCCTAAATTTGCACCCTAAAGCCCTAAACCCCAATGGCGAAGTCCTAAACACTGAAGCCTTCATAAATCTCGTGGATCCCTGTCTTCCTCGAGTGCAGGGCAAGCGGCCCGCCGAGAGCGAGGCAAACGCAGAGAACAAGAAGCCAAGGCAAAAGGGGGGGTTCGAGTCAATGGAAAAAACAGGGTTATGTTGGGTTTAACAGTCTCTTGTTGGTGCGGTTATATGGCTTGTGTGAGGGGGTTGCCCCCAAACCCTAAACCTGGGGTTTGGAGGGGACAGGCTTAGACACAGGTTTCGAGGTCTCGTTGTTGGTGGAGAGCGGCCATCCCGAAGGGTAGGCAAGGCTTCCCATAACACCCGACCCCGGTTGGAAACCCCACACAACGGCAATCCTAGTCTTAGCGTCACTCTAACTACCTTCTACAAGAGACCCAATCTCCCCAACACCGAACTAGAACCCCGGTAAAACACCCACTGAACGCTGAACCCAAACCACTTACACCCTGCAAAGCCACAACCCCAAGCTCCATCAATCCCTCACCCTTCAACCCCAAACAGAAGACGGCAAAACCCACAACTCAAACTTGAGAACCATAAACGGCACTCGAACTTGACGACATCCCGCGCCCAATGTTTAAATACACACAGAGCCGAAGTCTTGTGTGCTCATGATGATTTATGGTTCGTAGTGTTGGCTGTACGAGAAGTTTTCGGGTTTGCACAGTGATTGAGGTTTGGAGGTTAGGTGTTCTCAGCGGAGGGAGTTGCGGGTTTACCTGGAGGAATGATGCGGAGGTAGAGACTCTGGCGAAGATGTTGATCCAGGCCCACGGGAGCTTGGGCAGTACTCTTAAACATTTTCGATCGCGGCCCTGAACCTTGCATCCTGAACCCTAAACCTGTTCTGATTGCGGCAAGCTTGTTACTTCTCTTGCACTCTGTCTTTCGAAGTGCTAAGGTAGGCCTTGGTTTCCCATTTTGTGGGAGGGTAATCGGGGTTCTATGAGATGTTTTTGTTTTGGAAAGGTTTTGCAAAGGCTCGAATATAAGGGCTTGAATACTTGCTAACATTATTCTGGAGGTTTCGTTGTTTTAGATACAGTACAATATATGCCAACATACCATTCTGATCATTACGGCCCTTGTGTTATAACGGTTTGCGAAGGGCTCTTTAAGCTGTGGACGGCCTGGGGGTGGGCTGCATTTCTGAGGCGGAAGCCCCACAAACCTCAAACCCAGGGTATTTTAACGTTAAGCACAACTACCACGAAGAATCTAAACAAATTAGTCAACAAATAAGTTGATGCATATCATATATATATATATATATGTATATATATGTGTATATTCATTCCTGGACATGTGAAGACCATCTCTGGACCGGGAGTGCTGTGCTTTGTTGGTTGTGGTCTGTTTCTTGAGAATTGCTCTGGAAAGAAGCCGCGGCAATGAGTTGTTGGGTTGCCGGTGTGAGAGTCAACGCTAGTTTCCGGTTCTGGCGTTTACGTGCCTCTAGAACTCTAGGGTTTCAGCCAGACCCCTTGCCAGGGTGTGGTGAGAGTCTTGCAGAACCGTGCCAAGACGAGCAAGGGAGCCTGCGCCTTAGCGATGTGATGGTCGTCATTGGTGGTATGCCAAGAAGGGCGAGTTGTATAGACCCCGCGGCTCAGGGGATCAGATCGGGTGCCGAGCCTTTGGAGAGCAGACGATGGACTACTACTGCTGTGATGGTTACACCTACTGTCTATCTCATGAACCAGTACACTCGCTAACGACGACGACTACTACTCCTGCTGCCAGCGCCAGTGCCAGTGCCAGTGCCAGTGCCAGTGCCAGTGCCAGTGCCAGTGCTGGCGCGAGTGCTAGTGCTGGTGCTAGTGCTAGTGCTAGTGCTAGTGCTACTGCTGCTAGTGCTAGTGCTAGTGTTAGTGCTAGTGCTACTAGTACTGGTGCTACTAGTGCTATTAGTGCTACTTGTGCTATTAGTGCTACTAGTGCTCGTGCCAGTGCCAGTGCCAGTGCTAGTGCTAGTGCTAGTGCTGCTGCTATTGCTAGTGCTACTGCTAGTGCTACTGCTAGTGCTAGTGCTAGTGGTACTGCTAGTGCTAAAGCTACTGCTACTGCTAGTGCTACTGCTAGTGCTACTGCTAGTGCTACTGCCACTGCTGTGCTATTGCTAGTGCTACTGCTCGTGCTGCTAGTGCTAGTGAGTGCTAGTGCTGGTGCTGCCAATTCCAGTGTCAGTGCCAGTGCCAGTGGCTAGTGCTACTGCTACTGCTAGTGCTACCGCTAGTGCTAGTGCTAGTGCTAGTGCTACTGTTAGCGTTAGCGCTAGTGCTAGTGCTATTAGTGCTACTAGTGCTACTAGTGCTAGTGCTAGTGCTCGTGCCAGTGCCAGTGCTAGTGCTAATGCTAGTGCTACTGCTAGTGCTAGTGCTAGTGCTGCTGCTATTGCTAGTGCTACTGCTAGTGCTACTGCTAGTGCTAGTGCTAGTGGTACTGCTAGTGCTAAAGCTACTGCTACTGCTAGTGCTACTGCTACTGCTGTGCTATTGCTAGTGCTACTGCTCGTGCTACTAGTGCTAGTGAGTGCAAGTGCTGGTGCTGCCAGTGCCAGTGCCAGTGCCAGTGCCAGTGCTAGTGCTAGTGCTATTGCTAGGGCTAGGGCTAGGGCTAGTGCTAGTGCTAGTGCTAGTGCTAGCTAGTGCTAGTGCAAGTGCTAGTGCTGCTGCTGCTACCGCTACCGCTAGCGCTACCGCTACCGCTACCGCTACCGCTACTACTAGGACTAGTGGTACTACAAGTAGCACGACAGTACCTCGTGTGGCTACTGGTACTTCTGTCCAGTACTTCAGCTACTTACTAGCACCACCACTTCTACCACAGCCAGTAAATCACAAAGAATTGTGTGGTGTGGATGCTAGTTTTGCTGCTGGTATCGGTGGGAAGGAAAGTAACCCTGCAAAAGACATGACTGTTGGTGCTTTTGTCTAAATTGAGTTCACACCAACTGCAAAGACGCTCTCAGCCCCCACAGCCCGGCAGCATCCTTGTCGTTGCCAAGGCCCTTCCCCTTGCCGAGCTCGAGCACGAGTTCAAGGACGAACCTCCTGCTCGTTGGACTCGCAATACGGTGACTCATGGTACTGTTTGTAATATGTGTCAGGGTAACGATAGTGCTACCGCCACAAGGCCACAACGACAATGCTGCAAACAATAGGTCTATAAATGCCTGGAGCAACTTCGCACAGAAGGTGCCGCATCAAGCTGGTAAATGCACATTGGCATCCACACACACACATACACACATATTATATATATACACACACATACATATGTATATATATATATACATATATATATATACACACATACATACATACATACATGCATACATACATACATACATATGCATATATATATATATATGTATGTACACACATGTACATACACATTGGCTGCGCCCGAATCGGACACAATGCTCAAAGCAGAAAGCGCATCATATGGTACCCCCCGGAATCCGCACCTTCAGTCTGCATATGTCTAGTATGTCGGTATAGTCCTGATCTACACACTTATCTCGCATCTGCGCATGCTGCAGAAGACAGACGCACATGCGGCACGAGCGTGTGCAGTCAATTAAACAAGAAGAATCACCCTATTCCTCGAGACAGTCAGTCACAGACATCCAAAATACCAAAGTCCATATGCCAAGCAATGCGCATGTTCCTCGCGATAGCCCCAAGATAAAACACAGCCAAAAATGCCAACCTTTCAGAAAACTGAAATGAGAGTCTTTTCGAGACAGTCTCAACAATTTCAATAATACCAAGACCAATAGGCCAAAAATTTGAGCACATTCTTCCAGACAGTCCGAACAACACCAAAAATACCAGAGCCTCCCAGAGATCTGAAATGTGCATATTTCTCGAGACAGTCCCCAAACAACCAAGAATACCGAAACCCATTCGCCAAAACATGAGCATGTTCTTCGAGACCGTACAACACAGCAAAGATGACAAGCTATCGGGACGGTCTCGAGAAATTGCCTTTGGAATAGCGCTAAATCTTGTTTTTTGGGACTGTCTCGAGGAATATGCTCATTTCGTGGCCTATGGGCTTTGGTATGTTTGTGCTTGTGGGGGCTGTCTCGAGAAATGGCCTTTGGAATAGCTCTGAATCTTTTTTGCTTTTTCGGTATTGTCTCGAGGAATATGCTTAGTTCGTGGCCTCTGGGCTTTGGGATACGTAGGGTGGGTGGGTGGGGGGGCCTAGCAGCGCTGCACTATATATATATATATATATACATATATATATATATATACATGAATATGTGAAACACACACATATGTATATATATATATGTATGTATGTATGTATGTATGTATGCATGTATGTATGTAAGTGTGTATGCGCATGTCTCTGTGCAGGAGCTTTGGAAAGTTCCGTTCAACGTGAAGCAGGCCAGTGCCTTTCATTATCGAGGCTTTGAAAGTGGGAAGGTCGTGGCATATCTTAATGCAAACTTTGAATGATGAGGATAGGGCTTGATGGTGTTTTGGTGTATGGAATGTTTAAAACATATAACGGTGTTCGTGCGATATTGCTTAGAGCCCTATGTTGGGCCAGGTCAGATCGTTTGGATCCTACATGTTGCTGCACGATATATGCGCATATACTTGCAATGCTCAGTACCCCTGTGTCTCATGTTCCATATTCGTTTCGTATTTGCATGTATAAGTGTAATGTACGTGTTTATATATGCATATACACAGTTGCAGATGTATATATGCATATAAGCATATATACATGTTTGTACATACATACATATATACATCCATACATACCTACGTGCACACACACACACACACACCACACACGCAAACACACTTCTGTGCGTAGGTATAAGCACACCTGCTCGATCCCCAGCTGCCTCGGCAACGTTTAATGGGCATTGTCGAAGCTAGGATGGCGAAAGCTCAGGTTTCAGGTAGACGGTTGAGGCTTCAGGCTTTAGGATTGTTTGGTCGTGTAGTCAATGTGATGTTCAGGGTTTGTTAGGGTCCGAGGGTTCGGTCTCATTTCAGAATGGCTAATTGACATTGGCTGGAAGATGGCATCTAATGGCCATCTCCCAGATGTGGTGCATCCTCCGGTCTGCATTTTCAGAGCTGACTTGTGGCCCAAGGCGCGTCCCTCGCCGCGAAGCCGATTAGTATTCCCAGTCATGGTACGGTCGAGCTGGGTGGGCCTTGTGGCTCTTCTTTGCTTTGTCTGTCAGAGTCTGCAGGGATGCGCAGAAGGAGATTCTGCTGGTTCTACGACGTCCACGAGCACAAGCACACCCTCTTCCACGACGAGCACAAGCTCAACATCCGCCGCCCCATCGCCGCCACTGACACCAAGTGACCTTGAAGCTGCATGCTCCTCCGTGGTGGCAGCTTGCAAAGAAGACACGAAAGTGTGTGATCCGGCGTGGAGTTGTATGGAAAGCAAGATGCACACATGCCAGGATGGTGGTCAATGCCTTGAGGAGGCGGCAAAAATTGGAACAGACCCGGCCTTGGAAGCGCTTGCTGACTGCTTGGGGCATGCCTGCGAAGCAAATGTCACATCATCGAGCTCGGCATCAACAACAACGACGACAACAAAAGACACTTCGCGCCCTATGACGGAGCAAGAGATGGAAAAGTCTTGCCCAGGATTTGTGGACGACACATGCAAGGAAGACAAAGTGTGCAAAACCATTTGGCTCTGCATGTCTACATCGATGAAGACATGCAGTGATGGCAGTGAGTGCATCCAACGGACGATATCCATAATGCCTCCGACGTCCGCGGCGGAAGAGATTGCCGCTTGCCTCAACAAGGCGTGCACTGCGGGAAGCTCCACGTCAACTTCGACTCCGGCCGTGCCAGCAACGAAGGATTCTCGACCCATCACCAGCAAGGTCGTTGTTTGATGTTTCACCGCTTACACAGGCTAGGGGGGCTACTTGGGCCCGGAGGCCTCTGAAGCATGGGGGAGCGTTGAAGCGCGGAAAACTATCAACATGTTATCTCCCATGAGCCCTGCAAATCCCACTCAACAATTCGAGATTTTATTCGCTTCTTTCTCGAGCTTAGTATTGGGATTTACGCTTGGCAACGAGATCGCCTGCTCCGAGTCAATTCAGTTGCGTCTCCTCCAAGCTTGAAGAGAGAGTTTTCAGAATTGGAAGGGAGTCTTGATGCTCTAACATTTGTAATCCTATTTCGCAACCTTCCCTTTTGGTAAAGCTTCTAAGATATAGTGACTGGTTGTGTCATATGGTTGTGAGTTGGGTAAAGTTCAGCTATGCATCTAGGGTCGGGGCGACTTGGGTGTCGACAAAGCAGGAAGGACAGGAGGCCCCCGACTGCTCATCTAGAAGCCAGCGCGCTTTAGGGTTTAGGGTTTAGAAACCCTAAACCCTAAACCCAGCTTGTTGGGTCTTGCAGGCCGGAGAAACCGACGTTCTTGGCTTCCTTCAGAAGTGGCCCGGGAAGGCTGACCGGGTGAGAGCTAGTAATGTAGGGGCCTTCATGTTTAGAGTAGGGTTTTGGGGTTCCTTATTACAAGTGTAGTATAATATACCCCCCAAACCCTACTCGAATTATTAAGGCCCTATATGGTAGGGGCCTTAATGATTAGACTAGGGTTTTGGGGGTTCCTTAGTCTTATTGGCTGTAAACTCAACTTTTCAACTATTGGGGCTCTTATAAGGCAATCGGTTCTGAAAGTTTGAACTTTTATGTCCTTGGGTTTTGGGCCAGTGACTATTACAAGTATAGTATAATGCCCTACTCTAATTATTAAGGTCCCTATATAGTAGTGCGTTGCGAGGGGGAGACTGTCTGGTCCGAGGCTTGCAGGATGAGGCTGCGGGTGTTTTTCTCGGCATCGTCGAACAATGAGTGTGATGGTCATGACGTTGGGGATGACGATGTCTTCTGTGGAACATCGACCGTACCATATCTGCAGTCCCTCACAGTGCGAGACTTTCAAGCCCAACCGAAAGCCAAAACGTCCCCCGTGCTTCAGGTGGAGCTGCTTGCCACGGAAAGCGGCTCCTGGACAGCCACCGCAGCTGGTTTTTCTGAGGGCTTCGCTTTCGCATTCTATCGGAGCATGCATCCACCGCATGCGCCCTAAAAACCCAAAGTGCCATGTCCAAAGAACCTGAACCCCTATGCCCCCCCAAACGCTGGCCTGACAAGAACCACAATGCAAGCCTGCCCCCTTGAACCCGAGACACCAAATCTTTCAATTCCAAGCCCCAGACCCTCAACCCTGGAACTAAGTCTTTTCGGGCCCCGACCAGCCGTGCCTATGAGCCAAGAGTGCGGTCCCTGAGCATCAGTAGAAGCTTCTTTCAACAAGCACCGTGTCCAAGCAAGAAGCGTCCTTAGTTTCCCATCCACCTCCCTGTCCGCGCCAGCTCCAACTAGCGAAGAAAGCGACCACACCCCCAACGGCGGCAAAGACTGCTCTTCGGCTGCGCTGGTAGTTTGATGTTTGGGGCTCTCGCCACAGACCCGTACAGCCTGGTGGGCTTTAACTCCGACATGGGGGGCTACATGTCCAAGGGTAAAAGGAGGGACCCTTAATAAGGACCCCTAGGTATATACCCGTAATATAGCTATTATATACCTATATATAGCCCATTATAGGGTGGGGGTCCCCATTAAGGGTCCCTCCTCTTCCCCTTTGAACATGGAAAGGCTTTCTGTGATTTGAAGACTAGGGCCGACACAGACTCAGGCGCCTGCAAAGCCACCTCCGAAGGCGTATTTGCCGAAAGGTTCAGGGCAGGGTCTGTGAGACTTGGAGGACTAAAGAATTTAGGGTTTAGGGTTTAGGTTTGGAGGCGCAAAAGGCCTAAATGACTTGATTCATTGGGGTTCATATTTCAGCCTCTAGGTTGCTTGGGCTGGGACTTCCCGACAAAGCGGGGTAACAAGGCGCAAGATCAGGGGGTGCTGCAATTCGCATGCGCATGCGGGGTTTCAGGATGTTTTCGGGCAGAGCTTGGAGATTGGGGTGGAGGGCTTTCCATTCCATAGCCCAAGCCCCAAGAGGCAAGCTCCAGGCACCACGAACTGAATCTGAAAGCGGTGGCTTCTTCCACTCCCGGAGACCAAGGTCACTGCACTTTCCTAGGGTTTAGGGTTTAGGGGACTGTAAGAATCCCAAGTCCCAACCCCCTCAAAGCTAAAGCCTCGGCTCCGCAACCCTTCCTGAGCAGCCCGAGATTGTTGGAGGCTGTTTATGTAATATAGGGCCCTAAATAATCACCAATGCTATTTTGGGGGTTTCCTTATGATAATTACAGTACAGTGGGCCCGAAACCCTATTCTAATTATGGAGGCCCCTAGTTTATAGCACCCTCACAGATCCCCTTTAAAGGAGCCCTATTCTAACTATTAAGGCCCCTTTATATACAGCTTCGCCCCTGTGCAAGAAGCCTCGAGTCTCGCAGGCTGCGCCAGAGGAGGCCCCTATGGCAGCTCGAAATAAGCGAGCAGGCGAGCTTGGGATTTCGCCACCTTGTAGGAGGCATAGGCCCAATGTTAGAACTGCTAAACCCTAAACCCTAAACTGCTGCAGACGGCAAAGAGCTTTCAACAAAAGCACCCTAAAATGCTAAGCTCGCAACTTCCCCGAACCATTGAAGCCTTCCTGGCTACGTGTCTACGCACGGCCGTGTCCGTGTCTGCTTGGCAAGTCGGGCTGGGTGTCCGGGTTCGGGTGTGGGTTTCAGCGGAGTCAAAGGTTAATGAATAGCTTTGAGGCTTTCTGGCTGAGCTCTTCCGATCAGGTAATTTGGTAAAACCGTAAAAGGTGTGAACCTGCATCTACCCCTCCGCGACCGAAAGCTGAACATCTCTGTTTTTCGGACGCAAGGCCTAGTTCCGAGGCTGAAAATACCACCGCAACCCCTAAACCCTAAACCCTAAACCCCTAAACCCTAAACCCCTACACCCCTAAACCCCTAAACCCCTAAACTCCTAAACCCCTAAACCCCTGAACCCCTGAACCCCAGATCTCCAGGATGGCCTGGCTCTTGAAAACCGAGCGAAGCATCGGGAAATCCGGAGAATCTAGAGGCCTTCATAATTACCGATATTATTTTCGGGGTTCCTCATTATGCTTATGGTATAATGGGCCCCAAAACCCCTATTCTCATGAGGCCCCAAAAATGCCCCAGTCTCGGTCGCCTCCTGTGCAGGAGCTCCCTCCCAGGACCGACTTTGGCATGGAACCGATCAGATAATTCAGAGGTTAAGAAGTGTAGGGCTTCATGTTTATAGGGTAAGTAGGATTCATAATGGTTGAGGGAGGGCATTTCGGATTTAGGTCTTCGGGCGAAAAAGAAGCTTTCGTGTGCAGGTAGTCCAGGTGGAGGGCTATAGGGCTTGAGGCTTTCATGGCTTATGTCAGTCAGCTTTCAGGACTGTTGCCTTGCCGGCTACGCCTTCGGGTTGACTTAGGACACAGGGTTTAGGGTTTAGGGTTTAGTTAGAGTTCAGTGGGTTTCATGCCTTCAGTGCTTGCGGTCTTCAGCGTCGATATCCAGGCTCACAGAAGAGCGGGGTGCGCGAAGTTCAGCCATCGGATATCCATGCGAATAACAATAACCGTCTAAACCTTCAAAGCCAAAGGTGTGTTTTTGGTAGCCTAAGCCATCTGATCTACCGGTCCAGGATATGCCAGCCAATGAGCCGGTGGAGGTGATTACCACGGCGGAGAGGCATGGGAAGATCTTGATCACTAGTAATCTCCCCACGCATATCAGTAGTCTGGTGAGTTTAGTGGTACTACTTTTGCTGTTCATGTTGCTGTGGCTATTGCTTGCCCGGCTATTACCATTTGTGTTAAGGGTTAAGGTTAAGCTAAGGGTTCAGGGCTTCATTGCAAGATGCTGCTCAATCCATAGGCCAAGCCCATGAGAAGCGTGATAAAAGCATTGCAAAGCTGAAAATACCTGGAAGTCCCACTAAACAAACCCCCATAAGAGCTTGAAGACACTTCAACACAGCACCTAAAGAACCCCATCTACACAAACTTCTATAAAACCTTGAAGACACTTTAAAAAAGCACCGAAAGAACCCCTTAAGGCCCATTGAAATGCGAAAGCTCCCAGAAGCAGAGCAGGCCGGCAGAGGCCCAAGCGCCTGCAGTCAGGTGCTGAGGACCTGGCAACGTTGTTGTTGTTAATACGCTACAAAGGAGCCGTAAAGACTAAACCCTAAACCCTATTCTAATCGTTGAGGCCCCTGCAGAAGAGCTGTGCAGCGGTGTTTAGCCACTAATGATGAGGGTTTTTTGTCGCTCTTCGGGTGGTCCCTGGTGCTTCTGGGCTTCCTATGAGGGTTCCTGTAAAGCTTCACAGGCGTTCCATGTCCCTCAGGGTTCTGATTCAGGTTTGGCGTCTCAGGTGTTGTGGGTTTCAGGTCCTGGGCCTGAGATTTGCTGCCACAGTTTGGGGGGGGGGGGGGGGGTTTCCTTGTTAAAAGAGAAGAAAAATGTACCCCCATCAGTAGATGGGCCAAAACAAACTCTCTCGGTCTCGAAGCCTTGGACCCTAAAGGTCCCACACAAAACAAAAAGCAAAAACATCCCAAAGCTCCAAATGGCCCGGAACAAACACCCCAAGCCCAGGGAGCTTTCAATGACTCGACTTTAGGGATCGGAATAATCAGCAATAGTATTATCACCGTATATCCTCCGGGACTCTTATGCTAATCATCTAGGCCTGGTAGTAATCGCGGTAACCCTTCAAAGAGCTCTATGTACGACCAAGGCCCCTCTGTTGCCCGAGGTTGCGGCCCTTTCTCAGAGGCTGCCGGAGCTGCAGCGACAGGCGCGGGGTGGTTTTTTTTGCAGGCATTACAGGGTTTGATGGGGGCCTGGCAAAGTTTTACAGTGTTTTGGTGTTGGGTCTGTTTGGGTCAGTTTCGGGGATTCTGTGTTCCCGGGTTCGGGGTTAAGTCTACATGTTGAGCTCAGGGCAGATGACAGGGTGTCTTCTGGCCTCAAACAAGCCCCAAGGCCCATAGCCCCCAAACGCCTATTGGGATGAGAAATTCCTTGGACCCTCAGTGCTGCGTTTGGAATTTCGAGGAGGTTTCGGGGCAGGGGATTTTGGAATGCTTAAACTACTGTAAGCCCTAAGCAAAAACCGAAACCCGACTCCCCAAGTCCCGATAATGGCAGGTGTTGTGGCTGAGGTCTTAGCTTCAGAGCTCTGCTTAAGGGTTCCTACAAGCTTCCTCGTAGGGTACCTTTGGATACTATACGACAAGAACGAGAGTTGCGTGCAGTGTACCCGTAGGGGTTACTTTCAAAGATGTCGATACTTTTTGCGACACCGAAACCCTAAACCCACACCCAGCCCGAATGCCCGATTGCCCCCCACCTTCTAAACCCTAAACTCTGAACCCCAAACCCTTGATGACACCCAATAAAGCCTTCCAGGCAGACAAGATCCTCGAGGGCATGAAGGCTCTGATTGCGCAGCAGGAGGCCATCGGGCTGGGTTGGTTATGGCAGGAGACTGGCTTCTTCAGGGTCTCGAGTTTTGGGCTTTGGGGTTTTTGGGATTTTTTTGTGGATTAGGGCTCTCAAACCCTAAGCCGTAGAGGCTTTCAGGCTTGACTCTTCGTCTCCAGGATGTCAGAGCGAGGAGGATTCGGGTTCCTAGGGCTTCTGCCTTTGTGGGCGAGCCTCTGGGCGCCGTTGGCTCAGCGCTAAACTCGGTTTAGGGTTTAGGGTTTTGGGTTTAGGGCTAAACCCTAGGCCCTAAGTTTGGCTTGCTTCGGGTTCCCGCAGATGGCTCTTTCCAGATCATTGCGCTGAGAAAAGTGAAGTCCTTGACTCCATGTTATTATTACTATTACTATTAGTATTACTATTACTATTACTATTATTATTGCTATTACTATTATTATTATTATTATTACTATTACTATTACTATTATTATTACTATTATTATTACTATTACTATTACTATTACTATTACTATTACTATTAACGCGCTCAAAGCCCGATCCGCTGTCTCGTCTTCTGCAAACCCCAGAGAGCCTTCGGAGAGCAGCGATCAGCTTCCCAGACCCCCGGGAGGATCCAAAAAGTAGATCCCTTAATGGGGGTTCCTATAAAATACCCTTAGTAGTATAGGGCCCCAAATTAGGGGATCTACTTTCTAGATCCTCCCGGGGGTCTGGGTTACTACAACCTGAGCCTGGCCCCCCACCTCCCAAACGCTTCCTGTAGGCTTGGAACCACTGAAACCCCAACCCTACATGGGTGGTTGTCAAAATTAGGGTCCCTTTTTGGGTCCCTATTATAATCCGGCACCTAATATTTAGGGTACCCAAAAGGGACCCTGATTTTGACAACTACCCACATCACTGGATAAATACAGGAGCTCCGTACAACTCTGCCTTAAGCCTCAGCACACCATGCGTGCGCAGCCTGCCCATCCCCAAGAGACTTTGGCCTCCCCGTATATATTATATTATAACTATAATGAGTAACCGCCAAAACCCCATTTTAATCTTTCAGGCCCCAACACTATGTCCGTAAAATGGCTCTTATAGTAGCCCTTACAGACCCCTCTAAAGGAACCCTATTCTAATTCTTACGGCCCCTACATTAATGCCCTGATGCCCGAAGCAGCAGGCGCTGGTTGCCGACGTGGTCAAGCTGAAAGGTTGAATCGGCAGGCCATCTGGGCTGAGGCTAAGGAGTTGAACCTAGAAGACTGGATGTTCACGAGTATGAAGCACGGTTCGTTTGAAGCCTTTGGTGAGTGTGTTCAGGGCTTATGTTGAAGAGTGGCAAGCGTGCGTTTCGGATCTGATGTTGGGAATGCTCGTAATGAAATCCTACGTCATGTGCTTGCTTACGCCAAGGGTAGGACATTCAGGATCCCCTGCAATGAACTATTTACAGCGTCGAAATCTGCAGAATTCACAGCTCTGCATTGGGGTTTCCGAAAACAGGGGACCCTCAAAAAGTATCCTAAATAGTAGGATCCTTATTATAAGGACCCCCAAAAAATTTACCCCGAATTTTCAGAAACTCCTGCATGTCGAGCTGTGTACGCAGTACGTTTCCTTTGAAAGGGCCATCCACCCCCAATTGCAAGCTTCGTTTTGCGAGTTGAAGCTTGCTTACCAGTGCTAAGGGCTTAAGTTTAGTGTTTTTGGACCCTGTGTATCGCATCCTTTGACGTGAAGTTTCTTCGGTTTCATGGTTATACGCTATTGGTAGAGCGCTGCCCTGAAATACCACGCGCCGGGAACCCTCCGAACATATCAAAGAAGAGTTTGGACCTTGCTGAGTCTGGGAGTGATGCTTCGTTCGTATGTAGAACTGATACAGTACTGTATGTCGGTCACAATCACAAGGCAGGATACGCTTGAAAATTCATTCTGAGCCTGTGGAACTTCCAGCGACTTGGACTTGACGAAGCTGAAGCATTCAGGTACAAAGGTGTGCTGCTCCGTTGCACGAAGATGGGGTTTGCAGGGCTTAGGGATCTGAGAACTTCAGGACTTCCTTGTGGGATCTTGGTTCGGGAAGACCCTAAACCCTAAACCCTAAACCCTAAACCTTAAACCCTAAACCCTAAACCCTAAACCCCTAAACCCTAAACCTTAAACCCTAAACCCTAAACCTTAAACCCTAAACCCTAAACCGTCCAGCAACGCCTGAACCCTTAGCCAAGTCAACTTCGGATCAGATGCCGCAGGTCTGCGGGGGAGCTGGACCCTGGAGTTCTGGAGATGTGAGAGAGCTGCATTGTCTGGGTTTTAGGGCTTTCAGGGCCGTGTGACACAAGGCAGAAGTTTCTGCAGTTTAGGGTTTGAGGTTTGACTAGGGGCAGTGCGTCTGGCGATGTGGATAGTTTCCGCAAGGACCCCTGAAATGGATCCCCCAATAGCAGGATCCTCATTATGCGTTGTCACATATCAATGGTTGAGTCCAAATTAATGCCCGAAAGCTCAGGTCAGAAATTTAAACAAGAGTTTGACTGAAGGCTTGAAGATACCATGAGAACCGTGATTAGGCCAGTGCCTATGTTTCTCGGGCAGCTGTCTGTGAGAGCTAAGCCGTTCGATTTGATACCGAAAACCCTAAGGCCCTAAGCCGAAAGTCCCACCAGAAATCCAGCAAGACCACACAAAGGAGGTTATGTGGGGTTTCTGATTCGGAAGCAGGGAGCTCCGGATCCAAGTCAGAAGCCGGCAGAAGACAAAGCAACACGGACGTCCTTTCATCAAGGGGGTTTGTGCTGATGGAGTTCTCAGCATCCAGGTAGTCTTGGGGTGCCGGGGGACTTCAAGTTTGGAGGGCTTCGAGCTGGATCATGAGAATGCGGCCAGGGCAGTGGGAGTTGTGTCGGCAAGGTATGTGAAAAAGCGCGAGAGGACAGGGCCCTGAATCGGGATGAGGCTGTTTCCAGTTCTGTGTTCGGATTTGACGTCTCAGGTTCATCTGGAGTAGTTGCATGACAGGCCAGGGTGGACAGCTTAGGGCTTAGGGTTTGGTGTTCAGGAGGGTTCAGGGACGTTCTGCTGTTGAGGCCAAGCGATCTGCTACGAGGGATAGTTGGCTCTGTATCCGATCCAGAGATACTCGGTAGTTCTCTGTCGGCTCAAGAGGAGCTCTGCACAAACCCTAAACCCTAACCCCTTAAACCCTTAAACCCTAAACTCGAAACCCGATAGCCGATAACCCTAAAACCCTAAACCCGTAAACTCTAAACCCTTAAACCCTAAAGCCCTAGCCTAAACCCCAAGCCGTAAACATGGCAGGACGATGTCAACGCTAGGTAGAGGATCCCAAGCACTTTTCTGAATGCATCATGTACACTACAGCATGGTACTTTGAAGAACTATCAATGTGTGTTGCAAACCAAACCAAACGAAGCCAAGCCGCGCTTTAAAACGACAGCTGTCATAGCTCCTAAAACCGTTGTCTACAGGAAGCGAAGACTCTTTCTCGCAGAAGACGCTAAACGAAGACCCTATGCAACAGGAAACCCTTTCTGACAGAACACCCTATGTAACACTATTCAATCCTAAACGATCTGCAGACTTCTTCATCATGCCATAGACACCCCGTCACCGTCTCCAGAGCGTGATGGCAGATTGGACCCCAAACCGTGTGCCCGAGAATACTGTAGGGGCCCTAATGGTTAGAATAGAGTTCTGTGGCCCATTATACTTACTATACTTATAATAAGGACCCCCCAAAATAGTATAGGTAAGTATTCAGGCCCCTACATTACCTCTCTGAAGTCCCTGAAGTCCGGAGCTTTCACGTCCTTCCGTCGCCGCGTGGGCTCGAACAAGGCGCTCCAGAGCACGCCACCAGTTTTGATGCCCAGCGCAACTCATCAGTGCCATAAGCCGCCGGTTAGCCGAGGCATCTCTTAAAGTGCCGGAGGCCTTCGGGCTCTTAAGCTGTGGCATAAGCACCGCTGCCCACAGCTCTCAGACGACAGCAGCGAAGGATGCGCGACCTGCGATCAATACCTGACCGAAGACTTAGCCACTCCGACAGAAGCTCAGACAAAAAACAGGTCTTAGATTCTTCCTCACCCCAGCCAGATAGGAAAAAACACGTGCCTGTGCAGCAAGAGCCAGCTCAGCTAGCAGACGCCATGGCTCAGAAAAAGCCACCCTCGAACATCGAGGCCCAGATGAAGGATGAAAGGTTGGGGGTTTGGGCGCTGAAAAATCGGAGCCTCGTTGTGAAGGTGGGCAGGGTTAGACATGTTCAGGCTTTTCGGAGGGGTTTTGATGGAAGAGCTTGGGTTTCTCGATGCCTGAAGTGGTGCACAATGTTGGTGCATTTTCATATTTTACAGAATTACTAAACTTGTAGAGAAATCAAGAAATTAAATTGTTTGCGGCTTGAGTAGGGATTCGGGCTTCGACCTGAAGACACCCAAGGTCCCAGCTTCGCTCCAGTGGTCGTGCACCGATGAATGCAATCGTTTCAGAAGCCCAGGGTCTCATCTAAACCCTAAATCACATTCATCAAACGTGTGCCTAAACCCTAAAGCCTAAATCACTATTCATCAAAAGTGTGTAATGTGTCAGGGTCCCCAGCCACCTGAAACTACGGCCTGCGAGGCGCCTCCCTGCAAAATGGACCCAGCCCGACATGAGACGACGGCCCGTGGCAGGAGTTCCTATGGTGTATGCACTCCATGCTCGTTTCCGCAGGAGGCCAGGGTTTAGGGTTTAGGGTTTAGAGTTTAGGGTTTAGGGTTTAGAGTTTAGGGTTTAGGGTTTAGAGTTTAGGGTTTAGGGTTTAGAGTTTAGGGTTTAGGGTTGCTGATCTTCGCTTTTTTGGGGGGTCTTAGGTCTTGAGCTGTCGGGTTGAAGCTTCTTGCGGTTCCTCGACTCGACTAGCCCTGACGCCTTCTGATCCAGCGGCGCAGCCCGGTACAGAAGTGAGTGTCTGACCTAAAACTTCAAAGCTGGAGCGCGGAAACACTGCAACCCTTACTGTCCGTGTCCCTGATGAATCAAGGCCCCCCTGCTTTCTGCTCGGCGCAGCAGGTCTTAATCTGAACTTGGGCAGGGTGAACAGTTTAGGAATGATATCGGGGCCTTCAGCGTTAGGAAGGGCCTTTGACCAGGGTCCTGCTGTACATGCAAACTCGTCTCCAGAAGTGTTTCGCGAAGGGTGGAAGTTCAAATCGAGACAGGCGACTATCGTTAGTATTCAACGTCCGAAGGCAAGATTTGGGAACCATCCTCGGTAAGAGGCCATGCTGGTCGTGGTTTCGTTCTTGTTGACAGCAGCCCCAGCTTGCTGGCCGGAGTTTTGGGTTTGTCTTCCAATATTTAAAAGGAGTCTACTTATGGGTTTGGGATTAGGGTTTAGGGATTTCTGGGGATGAAGCATGACTGAAGGCTTATCTCTCGTCGTGATAGTCATAGATGACTGTCCAGCTTATAGGTGAATCATGGAAAAGCACCCGCAAACGCGGATTACGACCACATAAAGCGCCATCTTGGAGAGCAGAAGACCTGTTGATCTCCGAGTCGTCGCAAAGCAAAACTTTCCACGAGATCGCCTCTCCAGGCCCCGTGAAGTTGACCAGCTTGAAGGATCAGTGGCTGAAGTTCCATGGGCACAAGCGCTTCGGCCGAATTTTGGCTTGCAGGGTTTGGGGTTCTGGGGTTCATGCACAGCCAAGTCTACGGGTGGTGGAGTCAGCGGCCTCAATGTTCCAGTGCGCGCACAAGCCCGACGCGGGTGCTCACGCACGCACGCTCTTTCTGTCTCTCTCCACCCCTCCCTCCTTCTCTCCCTCCCATCTGCTGGAGTGTTTGAGCCGTAGAGTGGAGCATACTACTACGTGCTGTGATGTTATATTTTCGGAGCCTGGAAGCCTTGCGCAGGTTCGGGGTTGAAGCTTCAATCCACATACAGGCGGGTGCAGCTGGACATGGAAGCAGGGTTTTCCAATATAGTTTGCAAGAAAGCATCTTGGCCTTACTGAAGCCCGAACCAACTTAGGGCTTGAATGGTAAATCCTATGCCCTAGACCCTAAACCGCTTAAGCCCGAAACTGCAAACCCCATGCAGAGCTGCGCACCCTGGGCCACGGATTTCGAGGTGCAACATCGAGCGGTTCCTGGTCGTCGGGGAAGGGGGCATCGGCGCCACGTTAAAGAGGTGGGTTGGGAAAGGGGTAAACTTGTAAAATTGACAATGGAGGGTTTTCGTTCGAGGATTCTGCGGCAGATTCCGTTAAGGATTCCACCTGACCTTAGGGTTTACAGTTTCGGGGGTTCGGAACAATTGACAACGGTATTTGCTAGGGCTCCTGATCAGAAGTAATTCTGCTATACTCGGCCTCACCACCCTATCCTATTGATTCAGACCACTATATCCGTAGTTGTCAAAATAGGGGTCCCCTTTTAGGTACGCTAAATATTAGGTGCCGGATTATAAGAAGGACCCCAAAAGGGACCCTAATTTTGACAACCACCCATATAGTACAAAGTACCCTGCCATACTAGCACTTCTTTGGAAAGAAGTAGACGAACCATTTCATGTCCGTGAACAGCTTGACTTCGAGGGACGGGGTGGCTTGATAGCAGTTGTAGATTCTCGAACTCTGCAGAAGAGCGTATTTCGGGCATGCGCTCAGATCTTTGAGGCCTGCTGGAGAAGCAATGCCAAGTCCTTTTCAGGGGCAGGTTTTAGGCTAAGGTATAACGAGGGCCCTACGCCTGAACCCCGACATCTGGAGCCTTATCGCATGCCTCAAGTTTCAACTCTTTGCTGCTCAAACCCGAACATTCGCAGTAGACATGAAGCAACAAATCCTTGCAAATCTTTGCGTCGGAAAAGCTTTGCGTTCGAGAGGATTCCACATGTGGTCAAGCTTGTACAAGAGTCGGGAGCGACCTTCGTCAAGGCAGCTCAGTCGGCAGGCAAGCGGGGCAAGTTGGCCTAAGTCTTTACTTGCAAAGACCCCTTTAGGCTTGAGGCCATCAGAGACTGTTGAGCCGTGAATCCAAGCCTTTGCCCGTTCGGTCATGAACTCTCGATTTCTCGGCAGCTGATTAGGACTGTTCTGATGACTGCTGTCGGTGTCAGCTAGCCTTCTCATGTTCTGGACCGTGATGAGCATGGTGCTGCAGGATGCGGTCGTGGCAAGAACTCCACGCTAATGCCAGCTAGGAGATTTTCAGACTCTCGAAGCTTCTCTGCTCCCTCGTAAAACAAAGTCGGTCTCAAGCCCTAAGCCGTCTTGGAACTCTGCACCCTTAGCCCTTATAGGACCCCAAACCTGACATTGAATGCAGACCTGGATCAAGCTGGGCTCATCGAAGAGGACGATCTTGCGACATCAGCTCCGGTTTTAGGGACCGTAGTCCCAGATGATCGGGTGGGGCTTTGCAGCAAATGAACAAAGCCTGGGGAATTTAAATGTAGCGAATTTGAAAGTAGCGGAGCCACATACTCCCACAAGAACCAGCCAATCAATGAACGCAAACTCGATGCACCCTGCACCATCAGCCTCAATAGTGCCCACTGCCAAAACCCTAAATCACCTCACCTCGCTGCACCTTGAGCCGGAAGCTCATCAACGAACCAAATCACTCCAACCAGGAATCCGAACTCCTCCCGTGTCTCACAAACACAAACCTCCTTGATTGAATGTAGGACCAGGTGGTGCAGTACAGTTGTTTTGTGAGGGGAATTTTCGACAGGTTTTGAAGGCTTGTTTACAAGGTCCTGGCACCATTATAGTCTTAAGTTGACGTGACACGAGTCACCTCGTTCATAAGGCAGTACTTAGTACGGTAAGTGCGGGACGAGACCCCCGCTCGATGCGCGAACTCCCAACGCCTCCAAATTGTAAGAGCCCGCAAGCTCAAAAGCGATGAAGGACCCCGGAACTGCCCCAGAACCCTAAACCCGAAGAGCCCACCTAAGCCCCAACCGTTCTAAAGCCTTCTAAAGACCACGTCATGTCAACTATTGTAGTTTTTGCTTTTGTCGAGGTATAATGACATTTTGCAAGCAAGGTCGGAGGTTGGAACTTTTAGGCTTCATGCCCGCATGGCCGTGCAAGGATAAAAGATACAGAAAGGAGTTGGCCTCGCGAAATGCTGCGAAGGTGGGTTTCAGGGGAGCTACTGGTAATGTAGGAACCTGATTAAGAAACCCTGGGCCTATAACGCCAACATAGTAGGCTTCATATGAGGAACCCGAATAAAGGCCCAAGGTTTCTCAATCAGGTTCCTACATTAGGCACGGTCGTAAGGATGTTGAAGTTCTTGAGTTTGGAGGGTTCGGTTTCAGTCGTAGACAGCATCCAGCAAGCGGGGTCCTTCACACCATCAGCATGTAGGATCTTCTAAGGGAGTTTGGTTTAGGGTTCAGGGTTTGAGGGTTTAGGGTTTGATGCTTGTCTGGGAGATTGTTAAAAATGCGTTGCTTAGGCACAGATTCTTCTTGCTCAGTGGCTCAGTCGGTAATTCGGGCGCTGCCATCGTTTGAGATGCAGCGCTACACTGCAAAAGCCAGGCACCCCCGAAGCGTGAAGCTGTGATAAACTGGCTCAGGTGCAGGAATGCCACGGGGGTAAGGCATTGCCTGCGTACGTCAGACAGCAAGCCTGACATCCCAGCTAACCCTGCTGGAAGTCTACCCAAACCCTCTCGACGCTACACGCCCAAAAACCCCAACGTAACGCAACGTCGCAACCATGAGCCCCGTGTCCTATGTCCCACTCCAATGCCAGGCGGCAGCGATGGGCACCTCTAAGGCCGCGACAGGGTTGGCGGGTAGCAGAGGCTGCACGGTGTGAGAAGCAATGTCAATCTCATTCCGTGGGATGTCAACTAGCACAAGACCGGTATACAGGACCTTTAGGCTTTTTGGAAGAGGCTGCTTCGTCGCGCAGCTCAGTTGCAGGCGGCACCTGCATCGAAAGCAGCTCCGGCTGCGGCGCCGCCGGCCGCTCCCGCCACGACTGCAGCGCCAGCACCAGCGACAGCAGAGCCTGCAGTGGCAGAGGCGGAAGCAAGTCCCCTCCCCTAGCATCTTACTGAGAGGCTAGGTTCTTGTGAAGTGGGTTGTGGGGATGATCCATCAACCCTAGCTTCTGCCTTGCGTCACGAATCCTGTCCTGAGCCTTCAAGATGGAGCTCATGGGCTATGAGTAGCAGCTATTCGGTACCGTTTCGAGGGTGCAGGGTTTGGAGACAGAAAGCCAAGACCAACCAGTTTATCCAACACCAGCAAGCTCAGGATCTGGCTGCCCCGACTTTAGCAGCGAAGTTTTCAACATGGCAGACCCTGAAAGAAATCAAATCAGCGCCCGATCCTCGCTGAACCCCGAAATCACAGCCCCTACCAAAAAAAGACCAACGGAAGAACACGACGTAAGGTACATGATTGAGCAGAAGCTTAAAGTCATAGTACGACAAGTCTACACTCAAAGATGAACTTCCAGCCACCAAGAGCCTTCTAGCCTTCAGTATCTTCTTCCATCTTGAACTTTCTTTCTATGTTCAAGCTCCTGCTCTGGCTTCCCCACACCCATGCCTACCGCCCATGCGTGGCCCTGAAGCGCAGGGCAAGCGCCCAGCAGAGGGTGGCGAAAACAACGCCGAGAAGAAGCCTAGGTTGGGCCCCGTAGAAGCTTCAGGGCTTCTGGGCCCTAAAATCCTGACCCCAAACCCCTTAACCCTAGACCCTAAACCCCTGGGTTCATGGGTCATGAGAATAAGTAGGCTAAGAACCTGCGCCCGAAAGATCCCAAACCCGTAAAGCCCAGGATCTAGTGTTGGGCGGTTTGGGTTTGCGGCATGGGAGTTGGGGCTTTGAGGCTTGGGAGTTTGGCTTGAGGATCTTTGGGGGTTAAGGCTCTTTGCTAGAAGGCTCAGGGTCTTGGGTCTTGGATCTACGTCGTTCAGGGTTTAGTTTAGTCAGGCTTTCGTTTGAGGATCTGTTTGGAGGGTTTGGGGTTTGGGGATCTAGGGGGTGTCAGGTTCAGGATTGGGGGTTAGGGCGCGTTCGCTTCGTGTACGGCGGCCGAAGCAGTAGCAGCTGTTTTGGTTGGATTCTTGTGCAGAGTTCGACACAGTCCTGTGTTAGGCTGCGACTGTGTGTTGTGAAGACTTGATATCTGGCTTTCGAGGTTGTTCGTGTGTCTTCGTCTGTGTAGATGGTCTCTTGTGTTCTTGTGGCAGGTGCGGTTCACTCGCTCTCTCGCTTGCGGTTTCTGTATACAAGGGCTTCGTGGGAGATGATTCTCACCTAGATTTATCTGTTAGTCTAACTGTACAAATGCATGGTTGAATCAAGAAGATAGTACAGCTCGACACATGTACCTAACCAGGAAGATGATCTAGGACAACTACCGTAACCCTTAACCTTGGAGCCTAACATCCTGCTACTGTACCAGGAACGAACAGGAGACTGCAATGCTTGGAAGGATGCTCATGCAGGCTGTCCGGTGGGGGTCAATCGTGGTGTTTCAGGGTTTACTGGAAACTCGGGTCAAGCGACTGATGCACTCGAGTGCCTGCAAGGATCCCTTGCTTAGTAAGCCCATTAAGGTTGCAAGGATCTTCTTTTCTGAGTGGCTTTGGGGGTTGTTTGGTTGGGCACCGTCCCTCTCACCAGAATTTGGGCCTGTTATGGGCAACACGTATTCGCGGAGCGGACGCAGCTTGTCTCGGTGCCCGAGTGTATGTTTGCAATCCTCCCGAGCAGCGGTTAATGTGTGTGCGGCGCAGCACCGAAATCATCTAATGAGAGTAATGCCAGCATGATTTAATAATGTACTTTGGCGGCAGCAACCACTATGCTGCCGTCGGAGGGATACGAGGTTGCCACACGAGTACTTCGGCAGGTGAGAAGTGCTTCCGAAATTCAGCTTTCTCGCAGAGCCTTTTTGTTCGAAACGTCTGACTGCAAGCATTTAGTTGACTGTACGGCCCTCTCAAGACATGTTCGGAGGCAGATTGGAGATTTTATGCCTTAGACGAGCCAGCCGAGCCTTAGGAAGACACGACACCTCGTACATCCTTCTGAGTGCATTCTTCTGAGTGTTTGGAAATAGAGTACGTCAGCTGTAAGAATTTAAGGGCAATCTCGCTTCTCTCCAGTACTACTCCACCGCCAGACTGTGTCCTAACCGCTGCCCGAAACCTTAGGCCGTAAGCCGTGCTCGAGCATCTTAACCCTCAGCCGGAGCCTCCTGCACGATGGTAGCCAGCAGAACCTCCCTGCAAAAGCCAGCTCATTCAGACTTTCTATGCTCCAAAGTGAGCCTGACCATGAAAAAGCGCGCAGGTGAGGCCCCCCCCAACGCACCAACTCCCAAAGCTTCCCTCTACTTCAGGGGCCGCCGAGAACGCCTGAAGAGCTGAAACCGAAGGCAAAGCCCGAAAAGCATCAAGCCCGGACCTCAAACCCTAAAGCCCCTAAAGCAAGCCATCTCTTCGACAGCTCTTGGTTCTGAAACTCGGAGCTTCGATCCCAGGGCGTGGTGAGAGTGCTGCAGAATCGCGCCAAGAATAACCAGGGGGCCGTGCGCTCAAAGGGCTTTCGAAGTTTGATGCTTGCTTGTGAGCTTGAACTGAGGGTTGAAATGGCTCAGGATTTTGGTTTGGGATTGAGGGGGTCTCAAGATTCAGGCATTCATGAGCTTTGTTTGTATACCGTTAGTCCCATTACCCAAAGCCAATCAACTGGACTGATAGTCTATGCGTAGGTCTTGGTAGGTGCTGGTGGGTCAGAACTGTGAGAATTTCGAGACTCAGGAATCGGAGGTACTTGCTGGTAGCAGGAACAGTCCTTTGCATCATTCTGGTTACACCCTGACCCCATGACCACCTCGCCCCGACCCATCGACCACCAGCACCACCCGCACCACCGCCGCAGCTGCCGCGTCGTCGAGGTCGTTGTCGTCGCGGGAGTCACAGTCGGCAAGAGTAGTAGTAGTAGTCGTCGTCGTAGTAGTAGTAGTAGTAGTAGTAGTAGTAGTAGTAGTAGTAGTAAACAAAATCACGAGAATATAAATGGCAGTAGTGGCGGCGGTCGCTCGTCGTCATTGTCGTCTTCGCTGTAGATGTTGCCGCAGTATCACTAGAGTCACTAGACCATAGACCATAAGCACAAGCTCTCGAGATGATACAAACAACAACCGTGCCCGCGACAACAAGCAATCATAATAGAACTTGCTAGTCAGACAGATTCCTGCGTATGGAATTCATGCGGAAGTCGCAAGAGTAGCAAACTCTAACCTTAAATGCAATGTGATTGTTCGTGAGCCTCGCAACCTGAACCCTAAACCCTAAACCCATTCCGAAGCGAGGCCCTTCCATTGGCTGATCTGGAGACTGAGTTCAAGGCCGGTTTATATGTAGTTATGTAGGACTCTTAAACACGGTTATATGTATTGAGCAGAATTCTGGGCATATGTCGCTCTGATCATGCTTGGGTGTGCAGCGCACCATCCATTCTTTTCAGAGTGCCTGCCTCAACGCACATGTCGTCTTTATCAACACTGTTCGTCTTGTTTTCGATGCGATTCTATACAATTTTGAGGGGTTCCTTAGTATATTTACAGTATAATGGGCCTCAAGTCATTAAGGCCCCTGTGTTGCCACGACCATCGATGCTTCAAGCCCAAACCCAGAAGCCAAGAGAAGGGGCCCGCAGCTCGGTCCAGGCATGTACCATGGGGGCCTTGATCATTATAGGGTTTGGGTGTAGGGTTTCGGGTTTAGGACCTACACTGCTTTGGGAGAGGCCCATATTACAGTTATAGTATCATGGGCCCCTGAAGTAGGCGAGAAACCTCAGGGCCTGAACCTTCGAGAGTGAGTTCGATCTTCTTAAAGCTTGCGTTTCCCTAGAACTGCAAGCAGCTCACTGAACTTCAAACGAGCTGTATCATCTCGATGAGGACTGATGGCTAGACTTAGGCGTCCCTGGCACTGGGTCTAGATCATTGGTTTGGGGTTTAGGGTTCAGGTTTAGTTTTATGTGCCTGTGATTCTGAGCTACTGTGCAGGAGCTGTGGAAAGTGCCCTTCAACGTGAAGGAGGCCCGTCCTTCGTGTGGTCTTACTCTCGCCTTTAAATATTAAGGCCCCGTATTCGTTTACTTTTGGGGCTTCAACAATTACCTATTCATTTGCTTCGGGGGTCCTTATTACAGTTATAGTAACTTATAGTATAATGGACCCCCAAACCCTATTCTACTTATTTATTAAGGCCCCTATATCATAGTACCCTTACAGATCTGTCATGGTAACCAGCCCTCTTCTCAGCATTCAGGCCCCATGTTCGTCTAGTTTGGGATTCAAGATCACCGGCCTGCCCGTCTGGATCTCCTCATGCAAAGCCCCCGGATATGGGGGTTTCCGAAAGTAGGGGACCCGACCCTAATCTAGTACCCTAAATAGTAGGATCCTTAATAAGGATCCCAAAATAAGGTACCCTAATTGTTGGAAACTCCCATATGCTGAGGGGCTCATCCATCGATCATAGTAGAAACAATAATACCTCTTTGTTTTCTTTGTTGTTATGAATATACTTTTAACACTTATACACTATTCATCATGATCATTATTACTTTTCGTATCATTAGCACTTAGGGCTTATTTTCACCCCAACAAAGCCTAAAGGTCTCACCTCAGGAAGTCATACTTCAGAACCCGAAAATGGGTTTAGGGTTTAGGGTGTCGGGTAATTAGGGTTTAGCCTTCGAGCGATTTGACAGGAGTGGCTCAGGAAGCTGCATTGCTATTGGACTCATAATATAGGGCCGGAATACGTTGTTTGTTATGATGATATTGCTCTGGTTCCGCATGATAACTATAGAACAATATACGCCCCCCAGCCCTATTCTAATTATTACGAACCTGGAGTTCTCGAGTTCTTCGTGTCTTACTTCATCTGAACTGCTTGGCGTTTTCGGGGGTGCAGCGCCCTGGAGCCTTTGTTTGCCCTTGACGTTTAGGGTTTAGGGCAATCTGTAGGTCCTGAGAAGAAGAGGAAGATCCACCAACGAACGTCATATCAAAATCTGAAAGGTCCGAGAATCGGGGAATTGGGAGATGTTCTTCCTTAAGGTTCCTAAATATCAGTATACGAGTTCGTTGCACCATGTACACGTTCGCTGTGGACAGGTCCGACTCGACAAGCGTATAGACCGGTTCCGGTTCCCTGCAGCTTGCTTCGCTCAAGCTCAAACTAGCTTCGCAGGAAAACCCTTCATACAGCCAAATGCCTGAACACCAACACGTGAGCTGCCGGATCGAGGTCGAGAGGGAACATCCGAAACGCAGTGCGCTGGGATCAGCCCCCTCCCAGGAAGGGGTCCTTCCTGTGCACGGATGCACTGCAATTAACGAAAATGCAGTGCGAAGAACCTATTTACCTGCACTGTCCTTTCGACTCGCACCTCTGCCGCCACCTCAGAACTTGGACGGTGGATGGCGAGCAAGGATGGATCTATTAGGAATCGATTATTCTGAAAACCAATTCCTCCCCGTGTCTATTCGCAAGGTACGGCCGGACGTGCACGTGTGTTTCGACATGACCCTCGACGGCCCGCACAAACTTCTGTACGATACGCTTTATCCGGAGAAATCATTTTGGAGCTCCTGGCGCAAAACCGAGTTTTTTGGGCTGCGTGCAGTCCATGCTCCGCTGACCGTTGGGCAACATGGAGCAGCAACACATCGTGTCCCACGAGCAACCTCCGGTGGTTTTGGACACTTCAAAGGCCGAGACGGAGCCGGGCCTCTCGGACGTCTGAGTTCTTTGAGTCAAATAGCATCTGCAGACCAAAAAGCGGTTCGGCCTATGTGTCGGCACGACATCAAAAACCGCGCACAGTATGCCACAGCGGCGGATTTCGAGTGCCGCACATCGCTCCGACGGGACGAAGCCCTTACTACCTGCAAAATATGACGTGAGGATCATGCTCAAGCTTGCTCAAGACGGTCATGCTCGCAATGAGCAAACGCCACCCAGGTCGCAATGCATTTGGGACGACTCTTCTGCAGTTAAAAAGCAAGCAGCAGCTATTCCACCCCTATATGTTAGGTTTCAGCTAGTCCGGTTTTTCTGGAAAAGGCCTCTTCCCTGGACCTTAATTAAGCCCGGGTTCAGAAGAAAAGCCCTAAGCCCTATGTAAAGCTTGAACCCTACAACCTACAGTGGAAGCCAGAATGTTGGAATGCGGTTAATGGCCCGCGCCGGTAAATAGGCCCACATTCTAAGATTCGTTTTCGTGGCAAACATGTATCCCGCGCCTTCGGAAGATTCTGAGCGGGTATACGGTTACATTCCAACTTTCATTTGAAAGGGCCATATCCTTTAGAGCCCACCGGCCCGAGACCAGCATTCCCGCACCCAGTGTTTTTTTGCGCGTGTGGGGGGACCCGCACCCCCCCCACCAAGGTCGACGTGTAATTGGAACTGCGCAGTTTGTGCTTTGAATCCCGTTGAACCGACCATTCCTTTCACTGTTCTCCCCCCATTTTCGTGCTGTCGCTTGGCGCTCCAACTCCTGCAGTTTTTGCTATGCCGACCAATCCTTTCACATGTTTTGCTGCTCTCTTTCATTTTCGTGCATTGACCCTTGCTTTCCTTTCTATTGAGCTCCAACTCTCCGGGCAGGTTTTGGTGTGCTTTCACAGGTTTTGCTGCTCTCTTCATTTTCGTGCGTTTGCCTTCGCTTGTCTTTTTGATTGTGCAACTCATTTAAAGGTTGCTCAATTTTTTTTGTCGACCAGTCCTTCAAGCTCCGTGAAGTTTTTGGTGTGCCGACCATTCTTCAAAGCAAAGAGTGTTCTGACTCGGGAAGGGTTGGAATGCAAATTCCAAGTTCAATCTTGAACCTGAAGGTTGGAATGGAAGCCAAGGTTGGGATTCATGAAGCTTGGAATTTTTGAAACTTGGAATGTGTCAAATCTTCCCCCTAACATGCAGGAAATTTGGGTTTGCATATTCCAAGATTTGGGCTTTCACCATAAACCGTGAAGCCTAAACCCTAGAGCTTAAACCGGTCAAGATCAAGAGGCCGGGGAGACTGACGCCCTGAGCTTCCTGCGGAAATGGCCTGCGAAGGCTTGGGTGTTTTGAAGTGCATGGGTCCTTGGTTTGAGAGGGTTTAGGTTTTACGGTTTAACCTGTCGGGCTTGGGCTTCTTTGCGGTTGCGGATTTTAGCGGTCTCGGGGGTTGAGATCCCACAGTACATGATTCAACACCCTTGCAAGGCGGCTTGATTACGAAGATCTACGAAGTGTTCCAATACTCCATGGGGCTTGTTATGCTATGCTCGAGGTAGGACTATTTAGGAGTCTTTAAGTATAGTGGGTTTGAAGAATCCCTCTAAGGGTGTCTACACTAGTATGGTGGAATATACCCCCCCGAACACCCTGTTCTGACTCATACGGCCCCTACACTGCAACTCTTGAGGATGCCTCAGGTGACCTTTCCCCTTTAGCAATCGAAGCGCTGCACAGGTGGAGCTGCAGAAGGACAACGATTCCTGGAAGGCCAGGTTGTTGGATTGTTTAGGGCTTCAGGGTTCTGGCGTTTATGGCCGGTTTAGGTTCTGAATTTAGTTATCCCAATAAAGCTCAAGGCTTTTGGATTTTGGAAATCTCGCCAAGAACTTTTCTGCCCTTCAAGGGGGCTTTTGCAGATAGAAACGAGGTTTTTTGCCGTTTGCAGATGAGTCTAAGGTTTCAAGGCTGGTTTGGTTATGCTTACCAGTCTTTCTTTGCATGCTTCTTGACAGGGGTAATCATGAAAGCTCTGCGGAAAAAGGTGTTCTGCTGTGAGGCATCATTGGGCGATGCATCCGATAAAGGCGGGTCGCCGATCGTAGCGACATGAATAACGGTGGCCAACCCGTGCCCTCAACCCTAAACCCGAAGACTTTTGGAACCTAAGCCTGGCATATTGATCCCGGAGACCTACGGATCTTCGCCCGTTAGAAACCCAAGCGTTGAACTTATGAGACATTGGTTTTAGCCTCTGAGGTCAACACAGGTTGTTGGCCCGTGGACGTTAGACCTTGCCTACATGCTAACTCCTAAAACCTCAACTCCCATCTTCCGTCCCTGAATGCCATCGCTGGTCCCCTTCGCCAGCTTGCGCTGCCGAAGAAGTTCGCAGTTCCCACCGCGGCGAAGTCGGTTGCTTTGGCCGCAGCCAAAGAGGGTTTAGGCTTTAGTTTCGGGGTTAGGTTTGGGGGTTCTGCGTTGCCAATCCCACTTGAACAACCTCCAGCGACCAGGGCCCAGGGCTTCCAGTCTGGTTGCAACAATAACCACCTTCATCACCTCTCCGGACCGAAACCTTAAACCAAGAAATAACAGAAGCCTTAAACTTAAAAACCAAACCCTGAGAGTAAACAGTTTGCTGTGGTGCTTGGCCTCCATTTTGGTAGCAGCAATGGTATGGTATACTATACTCCATGCTGTGTCTGCATATAATACTATATGTACTATAACACAGTATAGTTGGCATAATGTAGCACAGTATAGTATAGTGCCGTATGGTATGGTATAGTATAGTCTAGTATGGTATGGTATAGTCTAGTCTCGTCTAGTTTAGTATAGGATATTATTGATATTCTGATATACTAGAACATCATGCTGTATAACATAATACCGTATTGTATAATGGAACATAACATAATTTGCTATAGCAGACAATAGTAAACAGCCATATGATTCAGGTCCAACTGTAATGTCTTTTTTGTTTCAGAGGTACCGATTTTTATTGTTTTTGTGTTTACTGTGAACCACATGACACAGGAATTCCCCCTTTTTCATCCCGAGATAGCTGTAGTCTGCAAGGTACCTCGCAGCCCCGTTCCAACAAGAGATTATCGGGCCTAGGACCTAGGAGACACTGGCCTCATCCAGTGTTTCCGAGTTTCGAGCTTCGGGGTTTTGGCTTAAGGTGAGGCCGGACGCTTCTTCGCAGTTGGGGTGAATTTGTCATGCATGGTGCTGCCATGTATCGCTCGCAGTTTTTTTGGGGTGGGCGGCTCTTGGCATAACTCGGGCTAGAAAGCGCACTTGTAGAAAGCTCAACAGTGCACCTTGGGCCTGCAAGCCGTTGCAGCCTTGGTAGCTTGCTTTTTTCGAATATGGAGCTCGGAGTATGCCGTAAGATTCCCACACCGTCCCTGTTCACATAAGCCGCAGTCTAATCTAAACCCTAAACCCTGAGCCTTAGACCCGAAACCCGAAACCCTAATCATCAAGGGTCCGATATGCAGCCTGGCTCCTAAAACAAGATCCCTGCCCTGCCAAGGCCCCAGCAGAGCCTCCGCCGAAGGCCGCATGATGTCTGTTTTTGGTTTAGGACTTGTTTGGGGGCATCTTATACCAAAATCATTATAACCTGCCCCAAAACCTTATTCCAGGTGTTAAAGGCCTTAGAGAGTTTGGGGGCTTCGGGTTTAGGGTGCAAGGGTTTTGGGGGCTTTCGGTTGGGGGTGTCGGATTTGGGATTTTGCGGCTGTTTGGGTTCGATGATGCATTGGTGGTTTGCCAAGGTCCGTCTTGAGTGTTTCAGGTTTAAAGTCTACCTGCACAGGTCGGGGTTGATTTGATGATGGGCTTGAGGGTTGTTTGGATTGCGCGGCTCGAGGCTGCCTGCTGCCTTGCACTGGCAAGTGTGGGTTAACCGCTGCAGTAGCAAGTTCAAGCAGAGCGCAATTTCCGGGTCCGGGTTTGCCCATTGTGGTGTACAGTGGCTTGAGATACCACAAAACTGCCGTACTTTCAAGAAGTTCACACTGTCTCCAACTATCCGAATTTCATCAGCAGTCCTGGCCAGGCCACCCCGGAGGTGCCTCCAAGCACCCCGCCCCCTGCGGCTGCCCCTGCGGCTGCCCCTCCGGCTGCTCCGCCGGCTGTTCCGCCGGCCCCAGTGCCGAAAAAGGGAGGCTCCAGAGCTGCACAGATTCAGTCTTGAAGGTTCTCTTGAGCTTTGGGAGTTTAATGGGACTATGGTATTGGTATGATGCTTGGATTCGGAACTTGAGGTCTTTGGGGGAGGTTGTGTCTTTGTCAGCTCGAATGGCCATGTTGTGTCGACAAGGTGCAGGTGATGTGCAGAGAGGTCTGAAACCCGTTTTGAGTTCAATGCATTCCTCCCCTGGCCCCCGGATGATTAGGCTTAGAGAGTTGTTTTCGTGCCGAAGTGTTTGGAGCTTGAAGTTTAGGCACTCGGGTTGTTCGGGGGCAGCCGACGGTGTCTGTGTAAAGAGTTTGTGGCTCCATGTTTCTCCGGGACGTCGGAGCATCCGGCGTGTGGTGCGGGATGCGGGGCCTGGTGCAAAACAGGCATGCCTACGCCAACTCTTAAATCCCTGAATACTCAAGCCTGACTCCCAACCCGTAGCCGGACATGGATGGACTCGAGAGCCCCGATTTCAAGACCGTGAGCCTTGAAGAACCGCTGTATCCCGAAAACTCTCGGGCTCGTTCCGCTGAAGCCAGGACCTCCGTCGCGGCCACCGGCGAACATCGAAGACTTCCTGTGGAACATTGGCAGCAGAGTCAGACATGGTCATCAAGTCCTTCGGTCATCGCGAGTGCAGGGGGAGAGAAGAGAGCGAGGAGAGAGAGAGAGAGAGAGAGAGAGAGAAAGTTGGGTGGGCATGATGCCCGGGGGACTTGACCGTCCCTCATGCCCAGGAGGGAGAGAGAGAGAGAGAGAGAGAGAGAGAGAGAGGCAGAGTGAGCGAAGCGAAGCGAAGCGAAGTGAGGGTGAAGGTGAGCGTGAGGGTGAGGGTGAAAGTGTCAGTGAGAGTGAGCATGCGTGTACGTATGTATGTCTGTGGTCCGTATGTATGGCTGTATGCAAAGATGTACGGATTTCTGGATGTATGGGTATCAGGATGTAGGGATGCATGGATGCAGGATGTATGGATGTGTATATACATATACATGTATGTGTGTGTGAGTGTTTGTGTCTATGAGCGTCTGCAATGCAGCGCTCGCATCCGAAAGATGCGAACCAGCACGAGCAAAGCCGACGCTGCAAAACGCCCGGGTGTTGCATGCATATTGGCGTCTTTCCCTGCTGTGCTTCTCGCTGCAAGGGGTCGGGGAAAGAGCCTCAAAAGAGGGTGGGATGCTGCTCACAGCGCACAGGCTTGGGTGCCACGCACCTAGACAATCAGCGTTTCCTGGCAGTAGGCTGCAAGAAGCATCCCTTCAAAGCTTTCGTTTCATGATGAGCCGAAACCCAACAAATCTGAGCTTGAGACTTTGACCGCAGAGAGCCCTAAACCCTCTACGACGCAGCTTGAACGGATAGAAGTCGAAACTTGCACGGATAGAAGTTGAGACTTGTACGGCTTTTTTGTGTAGAGGTTCATGGTGCATGTTTTTTTGGGTTTTGGATTGAAGGCTTTGGGGTTTGTTGTCGCGAAACCGAAAGCCGTGAATCGTCGGTCGATTCCGAGGAACATGCACAGCCTGCTCCATGCGACAGAAGGTCTTGGGCCCGGATCGGGTTTAGTGCTCAGTCAGGGCCACAGTTCGTCCGAGTAGATAGCTCGGAATCTGCTCCGTGCTCAACCCGAAGTAGATATCTGGGTTGGTAGATCCGTATTCCAAAGGCATCGTCTTGGTGACAGGGCAGGGGACTTGTGCTCCAAACTGCCCTCGATAGGCTCAGGCTCCAGACTTTGGATTTGAGCCGAATCCTTTCGCCGCCGAGCTCCAAACCCTGAACCTCATATTCTATGATGTAGGGGCCTCCATAATTAGAACAGGGTTTTCGGGGTCCTTATTGTCGTTATGGTATACATAGTATATACCCCCAAACCCTGCTTAAGCCTCCTAAAGTACCGTCGTTACCCGAGGAACCCTTGGCTTTACACGCTGTAAGACACGGGGGCGCTAGAGCCCGAAGCCCGTATCTGCTCTAGGTCCGCTTGAGCTGGAGAAGTTGCGGGAGCAGTACCAGAAGCACTTTGGGCATAAGCTGCTCGACTGGTGTCTCCGATGTGAAGCAGGATTTAGATTCGAGATTTTGCTGCGGTGATGAACCTGAAGGGTTGGTGCTACACTGCTACAGATGTGGGGTGTTTTCCTAGCTGATACTGTTCTGTCCGTCTATCTGCGCTGTATGTGGCCTTTTCATGAGCCCGAACCTTGAGTTTCACAGAGACTTCCCGCTGCGGTCCGAACTCAACCGACCGACCCGAACGGTCCAATCAAAAGAGCTCGCGCCTTTTTCCCATCCGGCTCCAGAAACCCTGGTTTTCCTAGCTAAGTTGCTGAAGCTAGTCACTTGCGCTCCAGGTGCTCCTTTACAACCCGTCAGCCTTGAACCTATCCTGGTCTTTCCGTCGGGCCACCTACACCCAGAGGCCCCATAGTAGTTCCTTTTCGGGATTACCCTATAGGATTCTTATATATGAACCCCAAAAAGGAGCCACTTTGGGGCCTTGGGTAAACCCTAAACCCTAAACCCATAAACCCTAAACCCCTAAACCCCTAAACCCTAAACCCCTAAACCCTAAACCCCTAAACCCTAAACCCTAAACCCTAAACCCTAAACCCCTAAACCCTAAACCCCTAAACCCCTAAACCCCTAAACCCTAGACCCAGGTGCAACGTTGAGCGGTTCCTCGTGATTGGCGAGGGGGGTATCGGTGCCACCCTCAAGAGGCCCTGGAGGGTAGAGGGTGGGGTCTCGGCTTCATTTTTTGGTACACATACGAAAGGGGGGTTAACAAGTAGAATAGGGTTTGGAGGTATATTATACCATAGTTGTAAAGAAGAGCTCCCCGAAGCCCAATTTTGTTCGTTAAGGCTCCCTCCCTTACATCAATCGGAGAATTGCATCCCAGCTCCCCGGTTGAGGAAGTCCGGGGACAGGATGAGCGCCGCACGCAGTATGCTCCTGCCAATTGGGGGTAGGGTTTAAGGTTGTCTTGAACTGCAAAGGACTTCAAGGGGAAGGTAAGCTGCCTTAGGCCAGAAATCCTTATCCCATCTTATTTAGCCCATACGCCGAGCGCAGCTTGTCGGGAGGGGCTGAGGCTTAGGGTTGAAGGGTTTTAGAATTTTGGGATTTGGAGCGCGGTAGCCAAGCCTAAGCCCGAACTCCTAAAGCCGCCAGCGACCGCGACCTGCGCAGGATTCCACACGTAGTCACCGTCTACACCGAGTCGGGCACAAACTATATCAAGGCCACCATGGCTGCAGGCCTGTGCATGCGACAAGAATGATTTTTGGGTGGTTGTGAGAATTATGGTCCCCTTTTTTAGAGCCCTAAATATTAGGTGCCATACTATATTAGGGACCCAGAAAGGGGCCATAATTTTGACAACCACCAATTTACGAGCAGAAAGCAGAGTCAACGAAGTTTATGGTAGCAGTCGAAAGGTAATGCTGCCGTGCTCTAGACTCCAGACCTCGGACCCCAAATTCCCTTTTCCCAGTTGAGAACTGCTTTCAAAAAATCTCGCGCACGCTCGGAGTAGCAGTTGCAGCTCAACGAGCCTTCAAAGCGAGAAGTCTCTACAGTCCGCAAAAGGATGCACCCCACAGACCTTGCATTGGACACCGAACCCCGTCCGCTCAACCCCAAGCCGGAATGTTGCAGATATCGACCAAGCGCAGCTCAAGGAGGAGGTGCGAGAGCAGTGGGTTTCAAGATTTTGGGCAGTCCGGCCTCAGAGTTTACAGTAAGCCAGCAAGAGTTGTAAGCTGGAAGAGCAGGTAAGGGTAGGTTGCTTGCGGGGCATAAGGACAACGAGTTCCCAACTTCATGGCAGTTGCGATCGTACGAAGACGCCCCCCCCCAACTCCAAAGCCCATGGAGCCTACCCCAAATGCCATACTCCAAAGCCCCTTCAACCCTAAACCGATCAGCCATCCGGAAAGACGGATCGGAAACTTGCGCAGATAGGATGTGTGTTGCACTGGAAGCTCTCTTAAACTGATACTCCCGAAGAATCCAACTCGACATGCCAACTTCCCTAAGCCCTAAACCCTACACTCCAACATTGAAGATCTCGCGGGAGATGAGCCCAGCATCTTTGGCCTAAAGCCAAGACCCCAAACCCTCCTCATCATGCTCAGGACAAGCGGTACCGGCTTGAGATTCAATCAAGGAATGCAGCCAAGGCTCCAACGGCTCTGCTTTTGCAAATAACCTAGGTTTAGCCAAATGGGCGTGAGAGTTCTTCAAAGTAACGGTACCTTGTCGGGGGTATCATTACAGGAAGAGAAGGTTACCTGGGTGCCCTTAGTTTCTGAAATTTCCGGAGAATGCTCGGGAATTCAGGGCTTCTTGTTCCTGGTACTCGCTTAGATGCTTAACTGCACAAACTGGGACCGCTGTGAGAGCTTCTCCTTCCAGGGTTTTTTCGAGCCTGGGTTTAATAGAGGCATGAAGGCATGAAGGGTGAGCTCCCAGATTCGGGTCAGGTCCAGGACGCGAGATAGTTTCATCCACGAGGCATCAGGTTGCCTGAATTCTTCCTGCTGCAAAGAGAAGCGACGGCAGTCCCTAATGAAGTCTGCAGCTCCTTCCCAATCCGACCAAGATATATGCCCGCGGGCGGTAGCAGATGTAAGTTATGGCGTGACACCATTGTAAGACCTCACCATGAGAGTGCATATTTTGGCACACCCAGACGTTGTAAACCCACTCAGTCTCAGTAGATCCTTTCTGTGTACTTCCAGGCTGCATCCGTGGGTACTTCGAAGGTCGGTCCCTCTGCTGGGGGCGGGGCGGATATCTGCGGGACTTCTTTTCAGTTAAGTGTGCGCACCCAGCTTTGCAATAGAAGGAGAAGCAACACAAGGGCATCAAGAATAAATCTCAAACAGCTACATCCTTTACTGCATGCTCCCAGTAATGTATAGTTCAGCACCATGCAAAGGCCCCTTGAAACACCTTATTCTGATCGAGCAGGCCAATTCCGAGGCATGCGAGATGCGGTATTCGAATACGTCGGGTCTACTGTGGAAAGTACGTGCCTGGAAGCTTGCAAAGCTGCGAGGTTCAGCAAGTTGAATGCTCAGAGGCTCATCCCGTGGTGGAGGGAGCAACTCCAAGCCCTAAAACCCACTATATCCTCAAGCCTAGAATCCTAGACCCCGAAACCCCCAACCGTAATCAGGCAGCGCCAGCAGCGAAAGCGCCAGCTGCGAGCGGCGAGGTCGGAGAGCCAGAGTCATGATACCGACGAATGTAGGGGACTTAATAATTTCCAACACTCTCTTGGGGGTTCCTTATCATAACGATAGTATGTTGGGGGGTTCCTTATCATAACGATAGTATGTTGGGGGGTTCCTTATTATAACTATAGTATGTTGGGGGTTCCTTATTATAACTCTAGTATAATATACCCCCAAAACCGTATTCTAATGACTAAGGCCCCCTACACTAGGTTGACCGGCATGTGCAACTCGGGAAATCTGTAATACAGGTGTCGGAACAATTCATACAAGTTGTCCCCTTCTTGACCCAAGAGAGTATTATGCAGTATCGCATAATGCACCGAAAAGCCTTTGTTCTAATCATTAAGACTCCTATGTTTCCCCAAAAGCTGAATGGCAGACCCTTGGATTGAGGAAACTCTCGACCTCAAGCCGTGAAAGCCTAAATCCTAAACCCTATCCCACAGCTTCGAGGGTCCGGTTTGCTTTCGGGCTACAGCTTCTCCTTTGTAAGCGTGAAGCCTTGATCCCTAAACCGTTCCCTCATGGACAGGAGGAGTTCAAGAAAAAGACACTTTAACCCAAAACCCAACAACCCAAAGAACCAAAGCACTAAATCCTTCTACTTAACATCTTAACATCCAGAGCCCTAAATCCTTCTACTTAACATCTTAACATCCCGTTCAAGAAACTAAGGTGCTGCGAGCGTCTTTAGACTTGGTGACTGCACCTGACGCAGGGAAAGCGCGCTGCCGAGGGAGAAAACAGTGCCGAGAAGAAGCAGAGGCACAGTGTTTAGGGTTAAGGGTGGAAAGGTGCGGGTTTGGGGTGACAACAAGTCAACAGGGGCTTCAAACTCATGAACGACACATTTCCGAGCATGATAGCTGCAACACTGGAAGGGAGATACAAAAACGTGTGCGACTACCTCTTTGTTGCATGCAGGGTTGATGTAGGCTTCCAGGTTCTTGCTGCACCCCGCCAAATCTTTGTCTTGTGGAGGTGCTCGCAACTTCAGTTTGAATCATCGGACCGTACCCTAAGCCACGCGACAGGACAGAGACGGATCCAGTCACGCTTGGGCGGATGCTGATTCAGGCCCCTGCATGCATCCATCCATGTATTCCTCCCACCCCCCCTCCCTCCCTCCCTCCCCCCCTCCCCCTCCCTCTCTCCCTCCCTCCCTCCCTCCCTCCCTCCCTCCCACCCCCCCATCCGTACATATGCGCATACATACGTAGATACGTACATGCATGCACGCCGACATGCTAACTTGCGTACCTGTATGCACATCTACATGTACGTTTGCACATACCCATGCATGCATACATATACATAGACATATACAGATCCATACAAACATGCACATATGCATAAAATATGAACATACATATAAACATACATATGATTACACATAGACATAAACATATACGTAAACATGTACATGTAAATGTGCATGCATATGTGCATGCCTACATACATGTATGTGTATATGCAAACGAGGTGCCTGTGTCTTTGTCCATGTACATGCATATGTACATGTATACGGTTAAGGCTGTATTTACGTATATGAACTGGGGCACTGCAAGTGTCCTAGCTTTGTTGCATCATGCTCAGGTGGATCTTCTTCTATGGGCGATCCATATGATAATAAGGTAGTCACCGTTGTAGGCCTTGTCATGTTCTAGGCGTAGTGGCCTGTGCAACAGCATTTCTAATCACTCTGTCTCGTGGAGTATGTAGCTGAAATTACATAGCAGAGCATTGGAAGTCACAAACGTTAGAATCTTCACTCGTGTACTCGACATCGAAAAATATGCCCTTCATCACGCAAGGAAGCCCGGTAAGGATTAGGTTGCATTGGCTATTCGTACGTTAGGGTAAAGGTTCATGGATTCCCTGGGCTCTGATCCCTGAACTGGCAACAAGGAACTCCAGCTGTCGACCCTAAGTTGGCACTCCTTGGTATGAATTCTACGCCTATGCTCTGAGTATCAGTTTCTTTCTCCCCTCATACTGTAGGGACCCTTAGGGGTAGGGGAAGAGGGGGTAGGGGGAATGGAAGTAGGGGGCCGCAATGCGCATCGCAGAGACTTCCCCCACTCCCCCTTACCTCTCTAAGGGTCCATGGCCCCCTGTCCGCGGGGCTTGAGGGCTTTATGTGCGTACCTGAACCTATAGTAAGGCTCCCGGTAAGCTTTAGGGCCCATGATTCAGGGTTCTGGGGTTTGCCAAGCACGTGTTCGTTTGGTCGTTTGCCAGCCCCTGCAGGGGCACCAGAACACCGCAGAGCCCCGAAGATCCCCAGCTCCCCAGCTCCGTCACAGTGAACACATCGCAGGGCGTGGTGCGGGTCTTGCAGAACCGCGTCAAGGCCAACAAGGGAGTGCCGGGCTCAACAGTTGCAGTCGCCTCGAAGACTTGGGACCAAAACGTCGACATTGTCGGTTCGACATTGGCACATATAGGGGCCGAAATAATTGCCAATGCCATTTTGGGGGCTCCTTTTTATAACTATACTATAATGGGCCCCATGACCCTATTCTAATTATGAAGGCCCCTGTATCACATACGAGCTCATGTTCGTTTGGCAGCCGGTGGCCCGAGACACAAGGGGCCTTCTCTTGGTGTTTGGCTTCCCTGACCCACGCCCGCTTGCGTGATGACGACCCATCTGCGAGCTGTTGCACATCCATTCATCCAGGCAGCGCGCCGGATGAGCACAGGGGCAGCAGGCATGCCCATTCGTAAGGTCACCGTCGTCGGCGCTGGCACGCTTGGCTCACAGGTCGCTTTCCAGTCGGCCATCAGCGGCTTCGAAGTGGCTGTCCTGGACACTCAGGCCGAGAGCCTCACGCGCTGCCGAAGAGCGCATGAAGCTTTTGCCCAGCAGTACCTCGCACGCGAAGGTCCGAAGCAGGCTCGTGCCTGGCAGGGCCTGGCCAGCAGTTCCAGTGCAAAGGAGGTGGCCAAAGCGGCACTTGACCGGCTCGTGTACACCACCGATACGGCCGAGGCAATGGATGGAAGTGATTTGGTCAGTGAGAACGTGCCAGAGATCGTGGAAGTCAAAGCAGCCACGTACAAAGCGTTGTCTGCACACGCCTTGCCAGAGACAATCTTCACCAGCAATTCCAGCACTTTGCTGCCCAGCCAATTTGCGGAGTCAACCGGCAGGCCGGCGCGTTTCTGTGCACTGCACTTTGCCAACGGCATTTGGGATGCCAACATCGGTGAGGTCATGGGTCACCCAGGCACGGAGCCAGAGGTCTTCGAGCGAGTGGTGCAGTTTGCCAAGCAGATCGGCATGGTGCCCCTCCGCTGTCACAAGGAGCAGTCTGGTTATGTAATCAATACCTTGCTCGTGCCGTGGCTGAACGCTGCCCAGACGCTGGTCACAAAGGGAGTCTGCGCAACGGAAGACGTAGACCGCGCCTGGGTGATCTGTTTCGGCATTGTCAATTCAGATAAGGGGCCCTTGGGCATCATGGACATGATTGGGCACGGAACGGCACACAACGTGTTGAAGTACTGGGGTGCGAACCTCCCCGATGCCCAGATGGCCGCCAATGCCGACTATATCAAGGAAGAATTACTGGACAAAGGCAAGCTGGGCTTGTGTGGTGGCGACCCAGACAAGGACAATGCCACCGGCTACTACACCTACCCGAACCCGGCTTGGAAGAACAGTGACTTCCTGAACTGCAAAGAGTGAGCATCTGAATGACTTTCTCATCTTATCTCTATCGTCGTTTTCAAGCATAGGTCTACAGGACAGCCTCTCGCGTTTCTAGATGGACTTTTGAATTGGGGTGGTTTGCAACAGCTGCGCCACCTGCACAGTGCATGTCCTCTACTTAGGAGGCACTTTGCACATATCCTGCGCCAGACGTGGATGTTTCAATGCTAAAGGACTGCGAAGGTCGAGTCGGTGGGTTTCGGTCTACTCGTGCTGGGATCGGAACCCACGGCCCACACCCTAGAACTTTCCTGGAAAGCTTGTAGCCTAGTAGGCCCTTGCGCAAGGAAACGCGGAGGGTCCCTGCAGATACGTGGTTTGCCTTGCTCGGGGTATCTGGCTCAGGGTATGAGAAAAGCTCGAACTCCACACGTTCAGGCTGATCACCTCCCTCCTGATGCCCAAAATCGTAAGTATAGATCCTCGCAGAGCTTGGAGGGCTGGAGCTGGCATGACAAACTTCCTAGCCTCTAGAGGGGTTGCGCACGTTTCTTCTAGAATCCAAGGGCCATACATCGCCGTGCGCCACAACTCCTAACATAGCTTAAATAGTATCGTTCCTAGGGTTCCTCTTTATAGTTGTAGTAATAGTATAATATGCCCCAAGACCCTGTTCTAATTACTGAAGCCTCCATATTATAGTACCCTTATAGATCCCTTATAGCAACCCCTGTAGCCCCCTTTAAACGAGCCCTCTTCTAATTATCAAGGCCCCTCTATTGCCCCGGTGCCTAAGGCTCTGCCGGTGAGCGACTTAGAGCGCGAGTTCGAGGTGCCGCGCCGGCCCTGACTGGGTTTCGGGTTTTGGGGCTTGTCGTTAAACCCAGGCCCCCAGGGTTTAGGGTTTAGGGTGTAGGGTATAGGGTTTAGGGTTTAGGGTTTAGGGTTTAAGAAGAACCCTAAGCAAACCTAGTCTTTTCAGGACCTGTGGGAGATCATGTTGAGGCACCCTGAGAAAGTAAGGCTTGTCGGGTGCTGAGGTTGAGCTCAGAACTCAGGGTCTGGTCTCCCCCGGGAAAATGGAAGTCTTGTGATCGGAAGGGCTGGAGGGGTTTAATTATAGCGCTTGAGGGTTTAATGGCTTTAGGGTTTAGGGTCTTAAGTTGGGGTTTGTAGGGTTTAACGTTTAAGGGTTTGCGGGGTTGGGGTTTCGAGGGTCTTGGGGTTGAGGGTGTAAGGTCTTCTGGGTTTAGAATTGGTAGGTTTCACAGAAGGGGAGCTTAGAGGTTGTATAGGGCTTTCTACGGTTTACAGCGTTTACAGGGCTTGTAGGGTTTCCAGTTCGCAGGGTTTCTTTCCAGGTCTTGCAAAATCCCAGGCGACCAAGGGGTGATGCGAGTACGAAGCTTCCATCGTATGGTTCAAATCTCCAGCCGTATGTCAACATCATCTACGGGCTTGAACCAGGTCCGAACTGCAAAACCCTATAAATTTTTGTGGAGCGACAGGAACCCAACAATCCCCACCTGTTGGAAGCTGTTTGGGGTTTTGGGGTTGGCCTTCAGGCTCATACCCAGAGAGGCACAGTCCCAGTGATTAGGGAACATAGCTTGCTTGAAGAATGGAAGAGTCAGTCAACCTTCTGGTTTAAGTAGGTTATACCCCTTACTGAAGGGCAAAGTAGGGTTTGGGATGTGCTGGAGCGGGATTCTGCATACGTCTTAGAGTGTCAGGGATCCAGGTACAGGCTTCAGCCGCTAAAAATCAAGACTTAGCCTAAAGTGCAGAAGTAGTTGGGGAGATCCCCAACTTTCTTCAGAGTCTGCTCAGAGATTCTTACCCGGTAGTCTTTCGCGAACCTGGTGTTGATGCTGAAGCCTGGAGCAAAGCCCGACGTGCAGCACACTAGCCCGACACCCTCAGCAGGACAATACATGCCTTCAATTTTGTTGTTTGTTCTCCAGCCCGCAAGCCCTAGGAGCTGGCTGGCTAGTGTTTCAGACGGGCCTAAGATAGGATACCTAGACTAGAAGAACTCCATCGTAGGATCCTTATACATTTGCACCCCAAAATCAGAGGATCCTTCACGGGCCTCTACAGATGATAGGATTGACATCGTTAGGATCACGAAGGGAGGATCCCAAGTCCTAAACCTTAAGAGCTCTTTGTGGATCGGCCTTGGGCATCAGCTCCGACACCTCCTAGCCAGGGAATTCTAGACGCAGGACATGCAGAGGGAAAAGTGGTACAAACAACAAATAAAAAACCTAGGCCCTACTGGCAGCCCTACCCTCAACCGTAAACCTTAAACCCTAAACCCTAAGCCTTACACCCTAAACCCGGAACCCTAAACCTTAAACCCTAAGCCTTAAACCCGAAACCCGGAACCCTAAACCTTAAACCCTAAACCCTAAGCTTTCAAGAGAAGCCCATGGATAGCTTAGAAGCTGCCCCCCACCCTGTAATAGTGGTATCATAGGAATTTTCATAGGGCCCTAATATAGTCCTTATAGTCACTATTACAGGGTCGGGGCAGCTTCTAACGTAAAGCGGTTTAGTGTTGCACTACCCATATAGTACCCTTATAGAAACCCCATAGAAGCCCTAGAGGATCCCTATAAGGACACCTTATAGGGGGCAGCTTCTAAAGGATATCCTTCCAAAGCCTCCAGAGCGCTGGAGGAGCTCTGGGGAGTGCCCTTTAACTACAAAGAGGCCAGGGCTGAGTTTGGCAGCTTCGGATTTTACAGTTTTAGAGGTTCTAGGGTGTAGGGTTTGGGATTTTGCAGTTTTACTTGTTTCAGGGTTTTAGGGTTTTAGGGTTTTAGGGTTTAGGGTTTAGGGTATAGCTGCCTGAAGAGTTAGTTGCTTTGCATTGTCACTGTTCCAGTCCTCGATCTAGTTCCGGTAGAATATTTTCGGGTTTTGGGGGTTTGCCGCCTTGAGGGCTTTTGGGGTTTTTGGGCTCCAGGCTTCAGATGTTCAGGGCTTCAGGGACTGGGGTTTAAGGTTCGCGGCTCTTGGGGTTTTGGAGGGTTCTTTAAAGGATCCTTAAGGGGGGGTGGTTCAAGGGGGGAGGGTACTAGGGAGCTTTGGGGAACCTTAGGGAAGCTTAGGGAGTATTGGGGAATAATGGGGATTACTAGGTTACCTACCCCCCTTGGACCACCCCCCCTTAAGGACATCCTAAGTTCTGTAGAGCGCATAAAGAAGAAGCCGTTGGGGGTTTTCACGGGCGTTTTGAGGCGTCAGTAGCTGCAACAGACCTCACTCGTATCCCTGCTATGCACTTCCAGACCGTCCACACCTAGATCCGGCTGAGGTCTCGGTGTAAAGGCGCCCTAAGGCTATCACAGAGAGACATCGTGCCGTCAGCGTCACCGTCCCCAGCCTCCTCCTCCCCCTCCTCCTCCTCCTCCTCCTCCTCCTCCTCCTCCTCCTCCTGCCATCATCATAATCACTGCCATCATTAGCCAACACCTATACAACTTCTAAAGCCATCGCCGCCCCAGAAGAGGCCCCACATCGTCCCTCCCTCTCTATCTCTCGGGCGTCTTCATGCACAGATGGGCAAAGTAGGTCAGCATGTACACGCAGATATCGTCGCGTTGCAGAGCTGCCTGAAACCCTAGGCAATTTTTGACATGCAAAGCTGAAGCTTCAGCACACTGTACGGTTCAGGTGTCAAGGCTTTGGTCCTCGACGGTCACCCCGAAACCCTTACCCCGAAACCCGAAACACAGGCTGGCGAAGGTGAGGCAGTGAGCTTCCTCCGGAAGTGGAGCGCGAAGGCGGGCTCGCACCAAGCTTGTGGTTTTTGGACTTGGAGTTTATGGCTAGGAGCTGCCTTGCTTAGAAACACAGCCTCCGGGATGATCTTGCTGGTGTGGCTGCATGCAAGCTCGCGCGCAACAGCATGGTAATCGGACTTTGATATTCCACAAATGGGTGGTTGTCAAAATTATGGTCCCTTTTTGGGTCATTATAATACGGCACCTAATATTTAGGGTACCCAAAAAGGGACCATAATTTTGACAACTATCCAAATGAAGCTGTTTGCGGCCTGGTGTCATTGAAATGCCGTCTCGGCCGATAAGGCCGCCAGAGGAACATGTGCCCAGAGCGAGGGCCGAAATGCAGAGGATGAAGCCTGTCACTGTTCAATCCATGGACTTTGGTGCTCAAGCTCTTGTGGAAAAGTTTCCCGATCACACTCCGTCACGATCCTATCGCTGCCGTCGCCAGAGAAATGAAGAGCAAAGGGAGAAAGGTGGCAGGAGCTCTAGAGCTCGCCACTCGCACTGCCGATGACTTCTAGCCCAGCAGTTGAAAACGCTCCACTACCCCGGAGTCCCTCCACCAAATCTTACCACGATCCACTCGAGCTACCTCCGCAGAATCTAGCTTGTATGAGGCCGGAAAGCCCCAACCCCTGACGGGTTGATCCTTGGACTGTGCGGTTTTGGGCTTCGGGTCAGTTTTTCGGCAAGGTTCCATATCTTGAGGGAGAAACGGTTGCAGGGCTTCTGGTTCTAGACTCGCGGTTTTGAGGCTCTCCTTAAACCCAACCTCGGACTGGCATCGCCACCAGGGTGTAGTGTCTCATCACAAACACCCTATCCCAGAGTTTTCGCGGGCCAGTGTGCGCCCGTGCGCCTGTGTGCGCGTGCGCGTGCGTGTGCGTCATGTTCCAGCTCACCCTTCCGGAACAGTGGAACAGGTCGAGGTCTTCGGCGAGCCCGATGCGTGGATGGTGCTTGCGACTTGTGTTAAGGATTCATGGTTGAGAGTTTTGGGTAGCCTCTGACCGGACGCTAGCAGGTTACGGAACTGTCGATCGGAGCAAACTGTCCCGTGTGTCTTGTGCGTTTGGTAGTTGGTCAACGAGAATTGACCTTGAGTTGTTGGGTGTTTGACCGTGCTAGCGGGCAGTCGGGAAAGCTGTCCCGGGGGTTGCTTCCGTTTGGTATCTGTTCGACGAAAGCTGTGCTGGCATAGTTGCATGTTTGTGATCGTTGTTGTGGTAGGTCGGAAAACTTCTGTTTGCTTTGGGGGCGGTTTTGGTCAAAGCCTGTCAAAGCAGACTAACAGATCCGGAATAGTTGTGAGCGTTATCGTGCCCCCAACGCGCTCCCAAACAAGGCCAAGAGGAACCCATCGGAAGTGTATGGATCCCATGTAAACGCTTGACTGAATGAGGGTCTTGTCTTCCTACGAATTCGTGGAACACCAGTTCTTGTGAGTGTATCTGCTGTGTTGTCATGGAAGACAGCGGTTCGCAGCCGTTTTCAGGGCCCACATTGTGCTTGGCAAGAGGAGCAGTACAGAGCTTAAACAATTATCAGCACTTGTTTGGAGCTCCTTATCAGTCCGTAAGATACCCCAAACCCTTATTCTAACTAGTAGTAGGGCTTGTACACAACACCACTCTCTTGGAAGCATTTGCTGCACCAGCGCCCTGAAGGTAACTTGATTGCTTGTCTCAACTCCATAGAACACCCGCCGAGTAGGCCTCGCGGAACTTGTGTATCACACGATATCAATTTCTCAACTCCCTCGTTCAATTGACCTCAATGCTCGCCCACATACCAGTCGTCCAAGTCCCATTCGGTCGACTTGAAGAGATCTGAATCCCGAAACCTCGAACCGACTCGAATCCCTACACTGAATGGATTTTTCGGAACCTTCTTCAATGCCGCCATGCCAGGTCCAACTAGCCAAGAGGGGGCCTACAGCAGCCAAGTCGGCCCGGAGCCAAGCATCTCTCTCTCGCTCCGGTTTTGGGCAAGAATCACTTCGGCGTACCATTTAGCAATCTGTTTCCATGATGGTTGTACTGAGCTACCGGGGCTGCAGTGAAGGATGTGGCCGTGAGCCCCAACAATAATTTGGCCGGGAGAAATAGCTCCACTTTGCTTGCAGAGCCGCGAGTCTGCACAAATCGCGTAGTGGGCTTGTTTCTGCCGGCACAACTACGGACTCACTCCGCACATGCATGAATCACCTCAACATAAAATCAACCGGTTCGCGAAATGCGGGGCTTGGACACAGGGGTGTCGTGCAACAGGATCCGAAAACCAAGCCCACATCCTAACCATTAGTTGAGGGCAGTGCGTATGGCTGCCTGTGTGCAACACACACGCAACATGCGTGATGAAAAGCCTCTACCAAGTGGGAGTGTGAGCAGTAACCCTTATGCGGAGAGTATTGTGTCGTCGCCAGCATCAGCATTACCACAACCATCATCACCACCACCATTATCACCACCGCCACCATCACCATCACCTTCACCATCACCATCGCCATCGCCGTCACCATCACCAGCAGCATCAGCATCACCAGCATCACCAGCTCCAGCCCCAGCCCCCCAGCATCGCCATCGCCATCGCCATCGCCATCGCCATCGCCATCCCCATCGCCATCGCCACCACCATCGCCACCACCACCACCGCCATCGCCATCACCACCATGGCAATCATAATCAGCATCCACACCATTATCCTCCTCATCATCTCCACCACCATCGTCATCATCATCATCGTCGTCATCGCTTTCATGATTATGACATTACGCACGCTCAGCTTCAGGTGAGGACTTTGTGTGGTCACGGAAGGAAATGTGCTTCTTTTGTCCGAGAGATTCCCTGGTCTATGAAGCTCCCATGCTCAGCCCCGGAGGTGAGCCAAGGAAGTAGGTTCTAGGGTCTAGGGCCGGTCCACAGCGTGTGGTTTCAGGTTTGCAACTTTACGTTCGAGGGGTTGGGGGGGTAGGGTTGGGGTAGAGGTCGACTAGTGGAACTGGTGGCTCATTTGGCGGTTGACTGCCTTTTCCGAATTTTCCCTTCTGCGAGGCTCCTGCGGAAGCACCCGCCAAGGCTGGTGAAGGAACGAAGGAAGGTACTCGTGTCCAATGTAACAACAACCCATCACGTAATGTAATCTAAAGAATACTCATGGGGGCTGGAGTGAGTTGCAAGTGATGTGTAAGTAACTTAAGTACGACGAACCTGCCGAGTTGATTCGCGTTCTTTAGGAATCGTCTCAGCGTAGTAAAACATTCGAAAACTACTCCTAGAAGTTCAGAAATGCCTGTACGTCGCATATCAAGGGCCCGGGCAAATGAAGAAAGTGCTTAGATCAGGATAAGCCGTATCATAAAGAATCCTGATTATTTAGCGCTAGTTTGTCTAAGGTGTCCCATTCTATCCATTCGGGCTTCTACATCATTTAACTGCCGTCGGACTTGCATGCTGCACTCGTTCGACGCACCGTGCACGGAATGTGTGTTTTCTTCGGGCTAGGGCCTGGGTTTAGGCGGTTTAGGGCTTGTTGGCCATGCAGGCTCTTCTTCGTTGACCTGCCCAGGTGGTGGTGGTGGTGGTGGTGGTGGTGGTGGTGGTGGACTAGCAGCAACGACAACAGCGCAACAGTAAATGTCGGAGCCATATCACATATGACCATCCATCCTGGAAAACAGAGCAGCTCAGCTCAAAGCATATCTGACAGAGTAGCAACAGCAGGCTGCACATGATCTTGAGCGTTTAGACACTGGTAATACAGTTTTGTTTGTGTTTTGTGCAGCATTGCAATTTGTGTTACGGGGCATCACATGTTTCAGCTAGCGGATCTTTAACTGTCGTGCGTTTTCGTGCATTTACGAGGATTCGGACTTGTCTTGGGGAGGGGGGGTGGGGTGGGGGGGGTTAATGACGTCTGTGCTGCGTGAGTGTGTGGGCCAAAGCCTCCTGTGCACAGTTGTGCAGCCGCCTCTCCGCAGTTTTGCTGGCTATATGGGAGTGAGTCAGCCGTGTCTCCGTGGTTGGCAGTGAGCCTTTCGGCTTTGCTGGTTCTCCGCCAGGGAATCTCAGATGAATCTCTCAAATCTGACGAAGTTCATCCGATGCCTTTTCCTGCGATACACACATCTCACGAAGATGATCCGATGCAGCTTTCGCGACCAAAATTCACCAATCCTCCTCAATCAATACGACTTCCCAATGTTGTCATCCTGATTCCAATCTATCCTATCTTCCACTCAGCTCAGATGAATCTCTCAAATCTGACGAAGTTCATCCGATGCGTTTTCCTGCGATACACACATCTCACGAAGATGATCCGATGCAGCTTTCGCGAAGATATTCACAAATCCGAGGCAATTCCCAATGTTTTGATAATGCGACGAATATGTCTTTTTCATTGATCTCTCTTTGCTGCCACATCCGCGGTTGAAAAATTCATTGCTTACTCATCTTCGAAACAAACCACGTACAAGAAAAACACACAAACTTTGGGGTAAACGACAAAATCGCATTTTTGAGTGTTGACATCACGAAAACCTCGATTTGCGCGGTGTTTTCGTTCGGCCTTACAACCACGCGAAAAAAGACCCAGAATAATTAGTAAGACGCCGAATCTCGCAAAGTGCCACACCTGCCACGGTTTCCACAAAACTAGCTCTGAAAACAGCATTTTTTAAGACCTCGTTTTCAGTCTTAAAATGCGCTCACACTGTGGCGAAACGCATATTTGCACAAAAAACGAGCGACGGATGCCGACACGTGCGGATGTTGAACCTTGTCAGGCTGCGCCACCCGAGGCGCCCGGCGCTGCGGCCGACGCAGCAGGCGATGGAATTCTTGGTAATGGCCTTGCCTAGCTAAGCCGTAGCCATGGTCCGGGTATGTGTGCTGGCAACGCTGGTTGCCCGAAGTGCCACCGTGATTACCATTCATATCGGCGTCATGATAATGGTCGTCGTCATATCGCCATCGTCATCGTCATCGTCGTCATCATCATCATCATCATCAGCGTCATCATCATCGTCGTCATCATCATTATCGTCGTCGTGATCATCACCGCCATCACCACCATGATGTGTTGACATAGCGAGGCCAAGAACCAGAACTTCCATATTCATCGCAAGCATAGCCGTGGCCACACCAACAAGGCCTACTAGCCGCAGTCGTGAATCTTCTTCACAAGAACTAGATCCCCCGCCCAAGTGCGGAGCAGGTGCTACCACCGCGTCCCCCCAGGCAGCCCGCGGGAGTTCGGATGCAGTACTTATGGCTGAGGTTTTGGATACTCACCTGGCGCGGGGTTTTACAGATTTTGTACAGGTGTATATGTATACATAACATATATATATATATATATATGCATACACACACACACACACACAAGTATTTTCACAGAGAGAGAGAGAGAGAGAGAGAGAGAGAGAATGCACAGTATACACCTAGAGATTCGGAGTGTTTTCGCACAGGAAGCCGGAACTCGATCGAACATCTCCTGCTTCGGCAACTTAGGGATGCCGGAGCCGGAGCTTCGCCGACACCCTTTAAGCCCTGAGCTTTCTGTCCCAAAGCCTCGATCTTTCGTGAAGCCCTGCATCCTGAACCCTCCGCCTTCGAAAATCCAAATCCCCTCAGCCGGGAGCCTGCGCATTGATTTGCAGATGTCGCGCCTGAGCCATCCTAGAAAGAGCTCAGATAACGGGAATCATCATGTTCAGGTTTGAAGGGTTATGAGATTTCCGAGCGGTCCAGCTTCGAGATTGTCCGGGCATTCTGCATTCTCGTCGGTTTCAGAGCAGCGTTTGGGAGCTTTCGTAAGTTCTCTTGAGTACTTTTTGCAATATGGATCAACAAGTATTAATGTTCGCGCATGCCCGCAACGGTATGCATCCAAGGTTGCCAAAAGCGGAGGGTAGTTATCTAGACCACTGAGTCCATGTAACCCGGCAACACTGAAATCACTGCCTTTCCTGCACTCGTCCTGTCCGCGTCGTAGCACTTTTTCTGCTGATTCTGCGACCCAGAGCACCCCAAATAATCCGAAAGCCCTAGATTTCGCGCAGAGACGTTTAGGCCCTAACCTTCCCCACGACTCCTTGACTACTCAACTCGGGATCCATGCTTCCAGGACGGGCAAGCAGCGGCGACGCCCAGGCGCCGCATCTTTTTAAGGGTTTGAGGTTTAGGGTTTAGGTCGGGACCTTCGTTTACAGGTTCATGCATAGCTGCGTGTTTCATAAAATCAGGGCTCTAATTCATGCCCTAGGATCGACACTATCAGGACCCCTCAATCAAGCAAGGTACCCCTGATCGTCTGAAGCTCTCAGTTGTCCTACAGAGATGCGGAAGACTAGAGCGAAAGCGAATCGCAGTGTCATAAATAATTCGATCCGGTGTCTACAGCTAGCTAGATATCTTTTGACCATGTTTCTGACATGGCCGAATTGCGCACAAAGACTTCATGCGGGTTAGGCTTCCGGGTTCTGAGGGGTCCGGTGTAGTGTTGACGGTTTGGGGTATGGGTCCGGGCACAGATCAGTTTCCACACTGGGAAACACTGCTGTTCTTCGGATGTCAAGAGGCCGGGAGGATCGGAAAGGAATCTCTGGATGAATCCTTCCTTGTTCCGATGTTTATGCACAGTATTTTGCAAGGAAATCGTATTGAATTATTAAGGCCCCTCCTATAACCGTCAGGGTGGCAAACGCAGCTGCAGCGGCTTCTGCCCGGCCCCTGTCACCTCCCAGAGGGCATATCGCATGTATCCGTCAGCCCCAGCTGATGCCAGGGTCGGAATATTAAAGCGCCTGAGACTCCCATTGTGTTTGTAGCATAGTATACCCACCAAACGTTAGTCTTATATCATTAAATCATTAACGTTAGTCTTATATCATTAAATCATTAAACTAGGACTAATGGTAAACAATACTTTAATGGCAGTTACAAGTGCATTACTTTTCTTGGTGTTCTTCTTCTTTGTGTTCGTATGATTGGAATGGTTATCTTTGTTCAGATTGCTGTTGTTATTCGTTTTGTTAAGTCCCCTATATCAGCCCCTGCAAAGGCACATTACATGGTCAGAGCTTCCTGCGACACCGGTGATTTCGATCAGGCTTTTCGGAAGGTGCGGAAGTACCGCCACGCCTCCAGCAGACTGCCTTGTGACGCCTAGGTGAAGCCTAAAGATACGAATCCGATGAGAGAAGCTCCGAGCCCCTTTACAGCCCGGAAGCATGCAGCCCTAAGCTTTAGAAGCTTAAAGCCCACATCCACAAATCGAAGCAAACCTAAACCCTAAACCCCTTTTATCTGCAACCCATCGGAACCTTAGTCTGAGGATCCTGTCCTCGCCCAGCGGTTGACGGACCTGGAGCAGAAGGCAGCGGAGATTTTCGGGGACTTCACTGTTGGGGGGAACCTAAGTTTCAGTTCTGTTGCTCAAGCGCCGGGCTGAGTGGCTAGGCTTGGGGTTTAGGGGGGGCCTTACAAGTAGGGTTCAGGTGGTTCAGGGTAGGAGTGAATTAGGTTATTGTTGTTTGGGACCTTTAGACACGCCGAACATGTAAACAGCTTCGCTTGCTAGCACTCTAGATTCCCAGAATCAGTCTCTGGCGCTGCTCAAAAACCCTAGACCCTCCGTGACTTTGCAGATGGCTTGTGCTTGCCACTCCATAATCTCGCCATCTTCCTGGAACCACTGGACACCGAGCCCTGCAAGACAGTTTCGCAGAAGAGATGGAAGCCGAAGCAATCAAGCTGGGGTTTCGCTAGGTTTCCGGTAGAATATGCAGAAAGCATACATGTCCTGTACACCCAAGTGGATATACCACGGTTTACTCAGACTCATTAGCAATGGTATCCCCGAGGTTCCATCACATGATACGTGTAGTGCAGCAAAACTGCGCGAACTGCCATGATGCCAAACTCCTATCCCAGACCATGGAGACCTCGTCTCAGGCGAATGGTGCTCTTGAAGTCATGAGATCACTGCTGAAGCAGCAGGAGGCCTGCAAAAGCGCAGGTTTGCATATTCCTAAAGACCTAAAGCCCTCCACCAAAATTCGAAAAAAGCCCTAACAGTGGGTCCTGTCATTATCAGACAGGGGCTCGGTGGACATGTTTCAATAGAGTTATGCAAGTGCAGTCCCGTACATGCCGGATTTCGGAGACAGCTTATCCCGCAGAGACCGCGACAGTTTGACGCGGCAGTTGATACGAATACGGGGGCCTAAATCATTACCTATACTTTTTTTGGGTGTAATATAAATAGAAACCTTATTCTAATTATCAAGGCCCCTATTTAAGAGATTTTCGATCCGCCCTGTTGAGCACTTCTGAAGCTTCCACTGGACCTAGGCTTGAGGTTCCCGTTGCTGTGGGTCACTGGAAAGTTTCGCTCTTGAAAGGCAGGCACACCAGGATCCTCCAACCTTAGTAGGATTAGGGTTCAGGTGTGGCTTCAGAGCTAAAGCCCTGGGCGTCTTGACCGACGATTTTGGGGAGTGGCGGCTGATTGGGCGATGTTGGCTCTCCCAAACCCCCTACAATTCACCGGAACCTAGAGCCTCAACCCTATAACTTCTCAGTGCTTACAACCCCTTCGCTCAACACTAGACACTGGACCTTTGCTGCTTTCAGTTCCGAGTTGGCGTGTCTTTGGGCATTCGGGTTGAGCGCACACTGCCTGCTCGGAAAATGGTGAAGCCCAAATCAATCGAAACCCGAACAGACGTTCGAGCATCCTGGTAAGCCCCAAGCCAAACCAGACATCTGAACAAGACTTAAAGAGAGCTTCTTGGAATGACCTGAAACTGCCTGACGAGGCCTTGGTGGCTGAACTCCACAAGCTGAAGAGCTAAGAGGTACACCTGGTGGGCGTACCGCGTGGAGTTTCAGGGTGAGGCTCTACCACAACCACAACACAACCACCACAGCCAACATCATGCGCATCATCATCATCATCATCATCGTCATCGTCATCGTCATCGTCATCGCCACCAGCACCCTCATTAGCATCATGATTTTGTTCTTCGTTGCCTTCTTCTTCGACTTCCCCTTTTATGGTCACCAGGGGTTTTCGTCCAAGTGTCTGTGAATCTGTGTGCTGGGAGGTATGTTGCCGACTGGCAAGACAACTTCAAGCCCGAACTCAGGCCAACGTGTAGTCAGAAATCACCGCGCAGCATTATAAGCCCCGAGCACCACGAACTCATCAACACTGCAAGAAGCTGGTCATTTGCCACATCAGCCTGACAAAGAACTTTTGCACCAAGCGTCAGGCCCAGAGCCCCTGTTCTCCCCACGACAAATCAAACTGAGCCCTAATCCGACCTGGACCCTCCAGGTCCTAATTGTCTCATCACCGAGGCAAACTCAGCAGACCCCGGACCCCGAGATAGTCCCAGAAGCCGAGGCCATACGAACCATGAAGAGCATGAGGAGGGTCCGTGAACAACCCCGCTTAACCTTCTCAAGGCCAAACGCTGCACTCCCAGAGCAACGCAGATGTGCCACCCGCACCAACTGAGAATAATTGCCGACACCCGGTGTTGTTGTTTGCTTGCTCGTTTTGATCAAGCTAGATTTTCAATGCTCTGTTATGTCCTCTCAGAAGTGTCTCCGCATCTAGTCTTGCTAGGACTGTCAGAACGCAGTTCGTCAGGCGTTCGTCGATGAGCCGCGTGGCCGCAGGGAAGACAATGGCCAAATGGCCCAGAGCACCCGCCTCCATCCGGGACCAAAGATGGCTGCCGAGATCTCTTACACCATGCGTGCCACCAAGTATAGCGTATGGTATAGAGTATAGTATAGTTATAAGATAATAATGTACCAATTACTGTAGTGGTAGTATTACGATAGTCATTTTATAGCTCAAAAATTAGAGGTTTCGAGTTTGGAGCCGGCATAAGCACAAATAGAAGCGGATCCTGAAGTGCTCAAGCTACGAGCTTCTCTTGGGAGGCGCTAAGGGACGGCTTTCGTGATGGCTTCCTCCTGTGGCATTTTGTGAAGCTCATACAGCGGCGCTTATAGTGTCGCTTCAGATGGATTGTTCGAGCCTCTTCGCCGGATTGAGGGTTCGCGGTTTGGGCTTCCATCTATGGCAAGGCCTTGATCAGGCACCTACGTCAGGACCGCGATGGTGTGTTTTGAACAGGGATTCAATGTACCTACAGGTGCTCATGTGTGGTCCTTTAGTTGTCGCGATGATTTCGGATTAGATGCATGAAGATTCCCTTCCGTGTTAGTCTTTCGTACTCTGCTGCCATCAGCATTCTTGGCGATAATCCCAGTGCCATCAATCTCCGCTTCCCAGTCTTCCCAGCGGATTTGGACACCACGACGACGTCCACGCTTCTTCCTCTTCTAGTGTTATGACTACTTTTTTGTTCCTTTGCTGCTGCTGGAACAACCGATACCAAAGCCATGAACAGTACCATGGACTTGCAGTTTCTCAGGCTTCCCTCATTAAAACTGCTGTCATGGTGTTCGTACTTTCATCACCCTTCGCCGCTATCTGCTACGAGTGAGCGTGGTCAGAATTTCCTGCGTTAGCAATGTTGCTCGTCTTGCAAAGCAAGAGCCCTAAACCCTGCAAACCCTGAAGCCTAACTTTGAAGCGCTCCTTGAGCCTTTCGGCTTCCACAGCAGGGTCCTCATGTCCTCCCCACCCAGAGCCTGGCAGGCCAAAAGCCCCTAATATGTGGTCTGAAGACTTCGTAATCCTATCCCCGTACTGTCCCTTCGTAAATTATACCCCAGACCCTATTCCTCGCTGGGCACCAGTTTGAGAGACTAAGCGCTTAACTTTGATACTGGCCCCTGTACGAATGAAAGGATATCGGTCAGTTTGCTGGTAAAGGGCCCCAAGAAGGAGATCAATGTTTGCCCTGGAGCATTTACTTAAACATAGCTCTTGAAGCATACTGGGGTTACGGGATCCTAAACTCAAGGTGCGAGTTTCCGAGGAGCTCCCCCCTTAGAACCCTCTGTCGAAACCACTCTCGCCTGCCTGACCCAAGCCATGTCGAGCGCGTCGCTGCACCCGTCGGCGGCGCGAGGGCCCCAGAACTATCCTAAATCCTAAATCTAAATCAAGCGTCCCGTGTTTGTGGCCGCCCCCCCAACTCTATCGTGCGAGCTAGCGGCAGCTAGCGCCGACGGCCAGGAGTTCGCATTTCCACGATGGAGGGGTTGTGCATGGGTTCCGAGGTGTTCTGCGGTTCCCCGGTCTGAATGAACAACCTGCCTTGGGTTCTTGGCGGGGGCTTGCAATCGTGGATAGGGCCCTTCGAGCTTCGGAGCTTGGAGCCCGAAGCCATGGAAAACCAAACCCGATTCGGGAGGATTTTTCCTGGCAGTTTGTTTTAACCGGGGAAGGCGGGGCCCTGTTCCAGTGACACTCTATCGCCTAGCAAGCGCAGAGATGCAGTATAAGTGTAAGTAGGTATAAGTAGAAGTACAAGTATAAGTATGACTATAAGTATATAGTCTCATATCACAGTACGAACGCAGGTAGCAGACCCTAGAGTCTGCGTACATGAACCTTCTCACGCAAGCAGAGAGCAGCATGTGTGTTCCATCTTGCACTTCAGTAGCAATGTGCTTGGCTGAGCGCCTGGCGGTAGACGATCGTTCTGAGATGACTGCTGGTTGGGATCAGCTCAAGTCTAGGAACATGCCTGATTGCAGCACCTGAGTGTCCATCTCGATCGGGTCGCCATTGAATTTCTCTCATGTGTTCTCGCCAAGATGGAAGGATTTCGAACTCCATGACCACAACGACCTGAGGTTCGCCGTTTCCCAACAGGATGCCATGGCTTTCGGCAGTGAGGAGGCGACCATGGGCAGCTGGCGCAAGAGCGCCGCCTGGCTGCGTTTAGGCACTGAGGAGAGCTCTGTGTCATTTTTTCGGAGGTGCGTTCCGACAGGAAGAGTAAGTCGAATTTTGGGGATATGCAGGAACATGAGAATGCACTATCATATTATTATAAGAAACAATGACCTACTCTGATATACTATGATCCACCATGAGAATACACTATCATAATATACGGATAAACTCTGATCTACCATGAGTGTAAGCGATATGGGAGTCTCCGAAAATTGGGGACCCTAACATAGTACCCTAAATAGTAGGACTAGTAGGATCCTTATTATATGGACCCCAAAACAAGGTACCTCCAATTTTTGGAAACTCTAGACTCTAGACTCTAAACCCTTATAGAGCCCTTCAAAGGAACCCTTGTAGTACCCTTCTAGAAACCTATTAAGGCCCAGGTAGTATTCATGAAGTGCTGGGAGCCTAATTTTCGGTTTCTCCCTAATATAGTACCCTAAATAGTAGGATCCTTACTATAAGGACCCCGAAACAAGGTACCCCTAACTTTCGGAAACTCTAAACCCTAAACCCTTAAAGGAACCCTTATAGATCCCTTAAAGGAACCCTTATAGATCCCTTAAAGGAACCCTGAAGATTCTCTGGTTCATCATGAAGGTTCGGATTGTGCTGAGCGTCAGCGGCCATGCTAATCTTCTGCAGTATCGTTCCAGTCAAAGCAGAGAACGGGGTCGCAACACCATGGGCTTAGCGCCGAAGCTTTTTTCGCACAACAACTCACATGTCAAGTGACTGTCCTCTGGACTAGTGCTTAAGCCTTCTAGATCTAGGCTTAAGAGAGACACGTTCATGCTGGCTTCTGCCGATCATGGCGGAGCTCAGCTCCGCCTTCGAGCCGTCAGGGCTCGCCGGAGAAGTGCTGGCCTGGGCGGGCTTCAACACTCCTCCTCAGCTGCATCATCTCGTTTGAGATGGAAAGCTGCTACTCCCTTCCATCCCGCAAGGCCTGCAAACAGTAACGACAGATCATTCTGTCCTGGAGAGAAGTCGTATTCCGAAGGGCCTGGCAGGATCTGAAGAGATGAATAGCTCCCGGAGATCTACTTGAAGTCGTCATTGCGTGGAGCTCGCAGAGTTCACCGTAGGTGAGACCCCTATCAAAGTTCGTCTGGGTTGATGCATCCTTCTTAGGCCTACCCGACTCTTCTAAACCACTATTCGGGAAGGAAGATCGAGTCTCGAGAGCCACAGAAGGGGGCAATGGTGGAGGATCCACCGTAGAAAATCCATGAAATCCAAGAAGTCCATCAGGGTTGGTACTCGGGTTGGATACCGATGAAGATGGTGGTGGAGGGGGAGGTTGCGGCGAGAAATCCAGCGCCGGAACGTTGGACTGAGCCTCAACTTGCACTCGTAGGTAGGGAACACTCTGCTGTGGAGGCTGAGTTACATCGACTCCTGAAGTCCTTGTTGACCTCTGCCTCAAGCCTTCCCCTTGCAGTTCTCTCTCAATTGCCCTACGAATGCTTTCCTGCCGTCGCTCTCTACGAGACTGTTGCTCATCATCACCATCTCCATCACTGGAAGTCACCATCCGTACCGCATGGTCATCACGACGCGGGCAACAAGATCTTAGGCAATATCTACCTGACTCCCACAAGAAAAGTATCGACATCACCATCAATCCCACTAGAAGAGATAACTCTAACCCCAGCGGTTCGGACTCAGCGTCCTCGTCCTCTGACGCCTCGTTGAGGCTGGCTTGCAGCAGCAACAGGACTGCCATCAACCACAATCCTAGCCTATCCTGGCCTACGATCCCCCTAGATCCTACAACCCTAGAGGTATTAACCCCTGACCCTGTGCCAGCAGACTCCTGTACGACCTCAGCGGTCCGTAGAAGCGTATCAACCGCAGACACCTGGGGCTTGCTCCTTAGGGTTTTAGGAGGGCCTTAACCAATAAGCTTACAGAGGTCATCTAACCGGGATTTGAGGAGGGCCTTTGTCAAACAGTCTCCGAGCTGGATGTCTCCAGGACAGTGGGAAATATCTATCTCACCCCTATCTATCATATCCCGAATAAAGGCCGATCGTACCCTCAAGTGTCGGGTCCTCTGGCTCCCTTCTCCACCGGCTAAGGTCACAGCAGCCGTGTTGTCAATCATAAGGTGCTTAGCGCAAGGCATCTCCTCCAGCTCGCTTATCAAAGCATCCAAGGTCCAAAGACTGAGGCAACACAACCCCTTCGCATCCCGAGACAAGTTCCGATTCTGCTGTGCTTAACGTAACTATGCTCTGCCTATCTCTGCCTCTTTGACTTCCATACAACGCAGCACTCATCATACTGCAGTAGGATCCCACTGACAGAATGGCTTCCATGTGGTGCAAACGAGGCGTCCGTGTAGATACGCAATCCATCGGCCTTCCCAGGAATCAAGGTGAGTCTGTGAGACCTTGTATTGGCCAAAAACTCGAGAACCCTGGCTCCGATCTTCGACACTTGTCTCGGATACTTTGCAACCCAGCTAGCCATGAGCCCAACACAGAAAGCAATGTCAACTCTTGTCCTCTGTGCAATCCACAACAGTTCGCCGGTGATCCGTTGGGCTGCTCTCAGCTCAACCTCTGCAAAGTCCTCATCAGGAGGTACCTCGCGGATCCACTCCTTCGGGAGAGGAGCAGTTGGTCTTGAGTTCTCCTTTGCATCGTGGCTCCTCAAAAGCTCCGCTATGTATGACTCTTGGCCCAGACTATATCCAATCACTTGGTGGTCCTCATCAAGCTCTGCAAAGATATCCACTCCCAGAAAGCGCAAAGGATCCGTAGCTGTCGCCTCCTTTAATCCAGTGCATTTGCTGCAGCCACTCAATGAATGACTGCGCCACAGTTGGCTCTGTCAACAACAACATGTCATCAACGTAAACCAACAGGTGGCCTATGCATTGCCCTGGTTCATGTCTCATTCGCCACACGTTGCTCTCGGACGAAAGCTGCTCCAGAGTCACTTGTCCAAACTCTGTGCTCCATCTCGCCTTCGCCAGAAAACTATCTCGAAACAGAGACCACCAACGCGGACTTTCTCTAAAGCCATAGAGAGCCTTGTCTATGATCCACACCTCGTCCTCTCTTGCCAGCTGCAGGTCAATCAAAAGGCGAGGAGGGCGCATCGCATAGCGTTTCGTGACTCCTTCCGGAATCGAAGCTAGGAGGAACGCTGATTTCACGTCAAGACCATAAGCTCGACGACCACGGCGGGCCGCGTGTACCAACAATGCTCTCAAGCTCTCTGCACCGGCTCCGCCGGCATAAAGTTGGGACTCAGCTGTAGTCTTCGCGTAATTTCCACATGACACAATTCTGAATTTCCTTTTAAAAGGCTCTCCTGGTTTCACCGTACAAACAGGTTTCCCAGGTATAACCTCGTAATTCGGATCTCTCAGAATCGCCCGAGCTTCGCCACCGTAAAACTTACGTATCACGCTCAACTTCTCGAAGGTGTCAAGTTCGGCCTTGGCTGCCGGACGCCACTTTGCCAAATTCTGACGAACTTCGGTGGGCGACACGTTGTGTATCACCTCCAACGGGCCTTGTAGGTTGGATAGCAAGTCTTCGATGTTTGGGGTGAATCCCCCTTCATCAACTCTCCTGACAGCGGCTGGCTCAGTTGTCCTTACGCCTCTTGCGCTCAAACTGGCCAACGGGTTTGCAGTAGGAACCCCTATCGTGGGGACTAAACCCCTAGAGACACCAGGCGGTTGGTCATTGGGAGGAACTGCTATCGTTGGACCTAGACCTCTAAAGATGCCAGGCAGTGGGTCATCAGTAGGGACGGCTATTCTGGCGGTCACCTCGGGAACCGTGGATGACAACGAAGACTGATCTTGTACCTCTGGGGACCATCCTAATCCAGGTGGGACTTGCAACGTGGCATCCTGTTCAACTGGACTGTGGTGCACGGTCATACATCTATAACTGTCAGACGACTGTGGTGAGGATGAATCCGTTGGGTCTGGACTAGTCTCCTCCGGAATACTAACATTGTTCACGCCTATATCGGGAAGCTGGGATCCTACATGGGGCATCGAACTTCCTTGAGAGCTCGAGGTAGCTCCCGAACTCGGAACCCACTCTTCATCTCCCCACATCTCTTGCATGTACATCATATGCGTATAGGAGTAATCTCCTAAGGGTGGTCCTGCAGTCAAGGCACTTGAGGAAGCAGAGGTCTGCGGCTCCGCAGGCAGTTGTGGTGAGGACGAATCCGTAGGGTCTACACTATGGGTCTCCTCAGGAATGTCCCATTCCCTACGTGAGCCTCGCTCCTCCTGCGAATCAGTGGGCTTACGGAGTGCGTCGGGTTGCTTGATTCCAAGACATGCCAGCGGGGGACCTGGGCACTTGACACCCAAGGTCCTGTTCTGGAAGATCCACGGAATCTGCCTATGAGTCTTGTCAAAGATACGTACCTCACCAGTAGTTAAGCTAGAGTTCTGAGGGTTATCAGGTCTCCTGGTACCCGGGGGGTGGATTCCTCCCATTATCCGACTGGCTAGCCACTCCGGAATCCCATGCTCAACCAAGTCCTCAACAAACAGGAATTGCAAATCATTCGGAACCTCAATCCCAAGGGCTCTTAGCTGCCGGAAAGCCTGATCAGCTCCTCGGGCCAACAGATAATCCGACAGCTCCACCCCATCAAGGGAAGCATGGGGAACGTCCCCCGGGCTTGCGGCACTGAAATCCCATCCAATTAAGGTGGAGTTCATGTCTGGCTGCAGATCAACAGAAAGCGGTCCTTGCGTGGTAGGCGGCCAGGAGTCATCATCGCATTCTACTGGCTCTTCTCTCAACCTTGAGTCCTCAATCTGTTGTCGTAGCTCTTCAGAGTCGATGCTGGACTCAGAAGTGTCCTCAGAAGTAGAGGAAAGGGCCTGGATCCGATACTCAGGCTGATCACCGCACGCTGTGGGGAGCGGGAATTCATACGCCTCTAAGGATGTTAAACTATCCTCGCCTAGCGTGCTAGTTCCCAGTGGTGTGTATCCCACCAACAGCCAATTCTGGTGCATTCGGACGGCATGGTGGAGACGGGGATTGAAGGAAACAGGGACCTCTGTGAGGGCGCGAGTCTCCTCGGGGCTCCACGTTGGATCAGGTGGTGTAACAACCTTGGAAGCTGAATTACCTTCCGACTCAACCCACAACTGAACTTCGCCGGGAACATGCATGGCATAGTTAAGTGATCCCCACTCGTTCCGCCAATCACGGCGCACATCTACATTCCCAGCTCGCGTCAGCATCAGGGCTGACCAGGTAGGCTTCGCAGTATCCGTGGAGGCGCACACACGGGTAACCCGAGCCCTATTTAAGAATCTGGCGGTCCAAGGGTTCCTCTTAGTCAGGTTAGTGACTCCTCTCAAACCTCCATGACAGTAGGCCCCAAAGATATACTTACCCTGTACCATTCCCCTTCTATCACCAGTGCTCTCCTCCTCCTGAGCTATGGCAGTCAACACCTTATGAATCCCCCTTAAGCTCAGGTCTTGGGAAACCAAGAGTTCACGCGCTACCTCCTCTGAAGTAGGTGAGTCTGAACACTCCACAAATCGGACCGAAGTCTTATCCCTTAGCCTTCTTAGCGGATTCCCTGACTCATCAACCAAACCATCCAGAGGCTCTCCTTCAGTCTCCTCCTGAAAGGTTGGTAACTGCAGATCGTCAACCTTGGTCGGGTCTACTACTTCAGACTTAAATCCCCTAGAGGCCACCAGACATGTCCTTCGGGAATCGATCTGTGAGGGGCCGCATACCTAGCTTCAATCCATCGCTCCATCAGCTGCTTAGCACCGTCTGCTGGGCGCTTCACTCGATGCAAGACACGCTGGCCAAAGGCAGGGAGATCCGGTTCTCCTAAGATGGTTTGGTTGTGCTTGGCCACTGCCCATCGAGCCGCTAAGGGCCACCATCCTACTGCCAAGTCTGCACCGTTGAGCAGCGTGCGGATGCGAGACTTAATCCACCCGACAGTTCGTGGGCAAAGAATGCTGGACCCTCACTCCGTGATTCGCTAGCCACCGACTAAGAGAGGTTGACCCAAACTCAGTGCCAGGATCACGATGTATGCTACGCACTGGAAACCTTTGGTTTATTCCTAAGATCATCTGCTGAAGCGCTTCCGAAACTTCGGAACCTGTCTTAGTGCGTAACGGAATGAAGTACCGTAGGACGACCTGGTCGACCGGGTCGCTGAGTTCCTTGATCAAGCGCTTCAACTCCTCACTATCATCAGGCAGATCATCTGGAATCAAGATTGATCCCTCCGAAAGATCGGTCGCTAGAGCCTGGACTCCCACAGCTTCGCTCGACTGTAGTGGTGGCTGAACACCAGCATCAGGGCTTGGGCCAAAGAGCTCCCCTCCAGGGTCAGAGGGCTCGTACTCGGCCAGTTCATCTTGGACATTGGGTGCACTGCGATGCCCATTCTCAAACAAGTCTCCTACACCATCCATCTTAGCAGGTGCTTGAACTAAAGATCTAGGCACTCTAAACGCACCAACCAATCCGTAACGCAGGATCGACTTGCCCGTGATGCATCCCTCATCCCTTCCAACGTGGATGGCGGATTCGCCTGTGGAAAGAGCCTAACCCCGATCCCTCTATACATTGCTTACAATCTCTTCTATAAGGGAGGTGCCCGTTGAGCAGATGTTGGCGCCACCTTTCGGCTTCGGCCTCAGAAATGCCCTTCCAATCTTTTTCGCGTCCGTAATTAATGGAATTGCGCGCGCGAAAACTGGTTGTCGGGTTTTGCTTAGCGTCCGGTGCAGCACAGGCAGATTCAGCCTCAGCAACTCCTTGCACACACACTTCCTCATCAGAAATGGCTCCTTCACTGCCCATATCTGAAAACCTATCAGCCTCAAACGCCCTGAGCAAAGCCTCTACCTTATCATCATCAGCGGTGTTCACCTCATCAAGGCAAGCGGGCACATCTGAGTCACCGATTGTAGCCAGCGCCGAGTTCGGCGGCTCACTGTGGGCAGAGAAGGTCGACCCCTTCAAGTGGCATGTGATTTCCTGATCGAGGGACTCACAGGATGGTCCTAGGTATTCACCGGAAAGAGCGCGAGCCATCACTGCACGGAGAGGGAGCGTCCACATCCTTCCCCCCGGGGGAGTGTCGGAGTTCCCACGAGGCTCCAGTTCACCCAAGTACTTCAGATCAAGGTTGGTAATCAAGGAGGTGGGCCGAAGGTAGTCATCTCCGAGGGCTCCCTGACTGAAACTCACAGTCTTAGTACCCGACCAAGCCTGAAACTCCGAACCTGCATCACCAAAGGTGGCCGGGTGCTCGGCAACGTAGACTATGCCCCTTTCTCGAGACACTGAGGCGAGGGACCATAACATCATACCTTGTGCCACAATCCTCTTTACCTCATCGCTACTCCCAGAAGGCGGGGAAGAGAGCACGGCAGCTATACGGCCCTGTGCCGCAGCCCATAACAGAACCTTCCATACCCCATTAGGCTTAGTAAGGTCCCATCCCTTGCCTCCTCCTTGGCGCAGGTCTACCCTCAGCATACACATACCCTTTTTATCAGCCCAGGCAGTTAAGGGATCATCGGACCGTGCAGGGCCACTACACAAGTGGACCACCCACTGCGTAGAGTCCAACAAAGCCCTGCGGGCAGCTCGCCTTAGCGGAAGAAGTTTCATGAGAGCCTTATCTGATCCAGCCGTCCCAACTGGGAAATGCTCCGCCAGACCAATCCTCACTTCCTCTGGAAGAGCAGCCAAGTAAGGCTGGGCGAGGAGAGCCCTCAGCCCCTCAACCCTTTCTCCGGTACTAGAGAATCGGCGCAGAGTCTCTGTAGGATCTAAGGGCCGCTCAACAGTATCAAGATGACACTCAAGATTCTGAACCCGTTGCTTAAACCGGTCTAGCCTTTGGTCTTCGAGTTCCGCGATGAGTCTCAAGGCTTGGGTCTCTTCCACATATGGGCACGTATTATCAGAAATCTTAGTTCTCAAGACTCCTAAAGGGGGATGGGTGACCCTCAACCCCTTTCTCCTCGACCAACTCACCTGGCATCCAAGCGTCTCTACCAATGCTCCCAATGGCAGGATTGTCTGGGAGGGCTTAAAGGTTGTAGGATCGGCGTTGGGTGGGACAACCAATGTGCCGCCCTGCGTTCTCAGCCATTCCTGTTTCTCATCACCAGCAAGGGTTACTGGAACCCTCTCCAAGTCTCGCAACCGATCGTGGAAAGCGATAACCGCATGTGTAGCCCCACTTTCCAATAAGGCCGTACCACTCCCCAAGCTGCGATCCCCTTCATCACAAACCTTTGCCCCAAAGATCTCAACCGCCCTTCTCAAGGAATCCAACTGAGCCCTCAAGGTAACTGCTGTCACACTGCTGGCCCTTTCACCTGCTAAGCTCTCCGAGCTCATAGAAGTTGCAATCACCTTGATCTGCGGGTCCTGTGACATTGCTCTCAAGGTGTCCAGCTGGGCACTCAAGGATGCTAGGGTCACCGGAGTGCCTTGAACAGGCACTGAAGGAGCCGCCTTAGGCGGGTTGGCATTGGGCTGCGCAGGAATCGGCATTGAGGCAGTGGTATGCACTGTGTCAGGCGCGGGGCCTTGTGCAGGAGGCATGGCTTCTTGCAGGATTCGCGCGGCATCTGCTAGGAGGCTTTTGATCTGTTGCTGGTTGTTAGCCGCAGACGATGGAGGCGGGGGAGGAGATGGAACTGCAGTGGATGGCCCCTTTGAATTGTTCGGTGCCTTACCTCCCTTCCCCTTTCCCTTACCGTCATCTGACTTGGCCCCAGCCTTGCAATCAGCAGCCTTGTGAGACTTAGCCCCACAAACCTTGCATCTAGATGCCTTCTCGGAAGCCGTAAACCCGTTCCAATCATGTTCATACGTACAGTCAGACCCTTTCTTACACCTGTTGTAGCCAACATAGAACGAGCATGGGGTCTTCTGTCCTCCCGTAGCGTCCTGAGAGCTAGACTTGGCAGTGCTCGGGGCCTTAGGTGGGCTCTTAGGTGGCTTCTTAGGGGGTGGTGGATTAGGGTTCGGTCCTTCTACCCCCTTTACCTTTGCGGGTGCCGGAGGCGGAGGGTCCACTTGTCCCCTATATTCTTATCTCCCCTATGAGCAATGGCCTCTAATTCCCCTAAAAGTTGCGCATGCAACTTTCGCACCTTCTCATTGTCAGGCGTAAGATCGATCTGAAGCTCAGCCCTGGCCAAATTCACTCGGAACGCTACCTCCGGATTCTGCTGGAGCACTGCTCTAGAGATTCGGGTGAGTGCTCGTACTTGCAGGGAGCTGTCGGGCAAAGTCCCGCCGAGCTCTGACATGCGGCTACACCACCGCTGCCAGCGGCGCAACCCGTCGATTGTGTCTTGGATTGTCACACCCGCTGCAGGTTCAGTGATATTTTTCAGTCCTAGTTCGCGCTCAGTGATGCTGCCCGGACCGTAAATTATGAATAAACGGCAAAGCAATGGCAGGAGCCCCGAAACCCTAGACGCACTCAGTTCGTCCTTGACTGCCTGAGGAGAGACCGCAATGATCATCGTTTCTCGATTCTCCGGGCGACCCTGGTCCACTTAGGTTGCAGGAGTTCTTCGGAAGGTGCAGGCTTAGCCGTAAGGCGGGCTAAAGGGTCCAACTTCAGATATCGGGCATACCACTCCTGAGCTTCCTCAACAGTCTTAGCCCACAAGGTTTCCGAGGTATCTGAAATATCAGCCAACGCCGGCTTCGAAGCATGCAACCAATCTGCGAAACTCAAGCAAGCTTCCGGACCGTGCGCCGGGAGTTCCGGCAAACTGACTACTCCTGTGGCTTTATGATTTCGGGTTTCAGAGTATTCTTCGGGCTTGCCATCTCTTGTACTACACTTTGTAGCTGGGCCATACCACTAAGTACCACAGACATTGGATCTAAACCTGAAGCCCCAGGTCCTCCAGATGGAGGGGTCACCTCGGAACCTTGGTTAGGCCCCGCAGCGTCTGGCCCTTGCACAGTTGCATTCGGAGGTCCTGTTACGCGGGTCGGGTCTAGAGGGTATGCTACGTTAGGGTCATCAGGTGGTTCAGGGCTAATCGGCGGGCGAGGTTCCACAGGCAGGGGGTTCCTAGACTGTTGGGCACTAGCTTCCCCTAGATACTCAGCCCTAGGGCCGTCGCTCCGGTTCGGTCCAGGCGGGGTAGGGCCTAAACCGAAACTAGGGTAACCCAAGGTCGGGGACACTAGTACTGGAACCTGAGAAGGCCTGTCAGCTAGCTCCTGATTGAGGATCGCTCGGGGTGAGGGCGTAGGTGGATAGGCTGATGGAGGAGGAGGCAAAGGAGGTGGTGACGGTTGACGGCCTCGTTGCTCACCCAAGTCCAGGGGTCGCTCAGGCCTAGATTGACCCATCAAAGATCCCAATCCTCTCCCTAACCAGCTAAAACTAGGAAATGCCATACTTCCCGCGGGTTGTTGCCTCGAAGGATGCATCGCCGATTGGGCTTCAAACTCGGCCCTCATCCTAAGGCTATGGTTTTCCATAGTCAGCGCCTCGACTTGGGCGCGCAACCTCCTACTTTCCTCATCCCTAACAGCCATCATCTCAGATAACTGACGTCTCACCTCTGCTTGAAGCTCACTAGACGACGTCGAGGGTGGTCGAGGTCCTTCACGATCATGATAGAACTCCTGTCCCGGTCCTTCCGCTGAGAATCTCGCGCCAGCCCACTCAAGCGAAGTTGCAGGATAAAGCAGTGGTGCATTCTCCCGCATCTGTTGCATCCTCAGCAGAGTTGGCGCATCAAATACAGGCGCCGGAGGCACTGGATCCTGTGGTGGAGCAGGAGGAGTCCGCTCCGTTGAAGACCTCACCGAAGCATACTCCACGCTATCATAGTGTCCTGGGGTCCCAGGATTCGAACGTCCTGCGGTAGAGCGGGCCACAAAGGTTTCCACCGCAGCAGGTAGGGTCTGCACTGCCCTCAACACTCCAGTCAATACCCCAGATTGAGGTTCAGCCTGAGACCCAGCTGCGGTTGTCATCTGTGGCTCTGCTCGAGCCGGTTGAAGGCCTTCCTCCAAGGAGGTCCGTCTCGCTGCAGAGGTGTAAGGCCCTGTTCTCTGAACATGCTCACCAGGATCTGAGGCTGGACGGCCAGAAGCCACTGCTTGACTCCCTTCCCGAGCGGCCGTAGAAGAATCGTAGGTCGCCAAAGCAGCCGGTCTAGCTGCACTGGTCACCACTTCATCGTCTATGTCCTGGGACCCCTCAGGGGGTTCTGAATACCATTCATCACAGGTCTCTGACCCGCTTCCACTTGCTGCGCAGTGGTAGCCCTCGGGCTTCTCATAACCTGAAGATTCTCTGGTTCATCATGAAGGTTCGGATTGTGCTGAGCGTCAGCGGCCATGCTAATCTTCTGCAGTATCGTTCCAGTCAAAGCAGAGAACGGGCTCGCAACACCATGGGCTCAGCGCCGAAGCTCTTTTCGCACAACAACTCACATGTCAAGTGACTGTCCTCTGGACTAGTGCTTAAGCCTTCTAGATCTAGGCTTAAGAGAGACACGTTCATGCTGGCTTCTGCCGATCATGGCGGAGCTCAGCTCCGCCTTCGAGCCGTCAGGGCTCGCCGGAGAAGTGCTGGCCTGGGCGGGCTTCAACAAACCCTTATAGATCCCTTTAAAGGTACCCCTAATTTTCGGAAACTCCCATATATGGCAGTAGCCGCCCCTTCGCTCCCGAAAAAGCCAAGGTGGCCGACCTCCAGGTCCTCTTCGAGGAGAACTTAGGGGTACTTAGAAATAATTTGTAATTTTTGGTTATTATAATCCTTAAGAAACAGCAAAAATTAGAATTTTTGCTAGGGGTCTAATGTCAGAATAGAGAAGGGCTTCGGGTTTGAGAGTTTGGGGGTTTAGGGATTGAGGGGTTTGAGAATTTGGGGCTTTGAGAATTTGAGAATTTGGGGGCTTAGGGGGTTTAGGGTTTAGGGGTTTAGGGGTTTAGGGGTTTAGGGTTTGGGGGTTTAGAGGGGCTTAGGGGTTTGGGGTTTAGGGCTTGAGTATTGGTGCGTTTCACGGAGGAGGTCCTCGAATTGGGATCTTAATCCTGAAACCTTAACCTCTACAGCTGTTTGCGTTGTTTGGCCTCTCGCCGGTGAGCTTAGACACCCCCCCCCCCCAGCCCACTCCAGTTTCGGTCTGGAGTTTCTGGGCTTACAAGGAACTCCAGAAAGTTGGAATATGGTTTCATGGTAGGACACCCTATAATTTACCATAGAAGGGTTAGGACAATCATATTCCAACTTTCTGGCTTTTACCTTAGAGTCAGAGTGAATGTTCTTGAGTTTAGATTTTATCTGCTGCGGGTTTACGATGGTATTCAGGGTTTAGGTCCAGGGTTTAGGTATTCTAGGGTTCTCCTGTCAGCTACTTGTTTTCCAGTGAGTAGGTTAGAGCTCCCCTGGTAGGGTTGGTGGTTTGAGATCACTGCTGTGATGCTTCCGGGACTCTGTGGCATAAGCATTGCGAAATGCCGAGGATCTCTCTACAGTATCCCTTTGATCCTGCAAGACTGTCGAGCATAGCCGAAGGGTGGAGCTTTCGGGACCCTTCTTTAGGGCTTAGGGTTTAGGAAATTTAACCCATCAAGTTATCACGGCCTGCTCCGAGATGCTTTGCAATGGAAGGTGGCCCTCAGCTTCAAAACTACATGGAGCCAGTGCTTCACCTATGGTGATTGTCGTGTTGGTTTATGCGCCTTCATTCAGGCTTATATTGGCTGTTGCTAGATGAGGGACTGAGACATAGGCGCAAACAACATTTGACCCCAACCCAGCGTCCTGCCGTCGGAAAGTGAAGCTTCAGTTGCGCAGTCATTAATTTTTTGGTTATTATAATCTCTAAGAAACAGCTGAAAATATCATTGTTGCCCGGGTTCTAAGTTCAGTATAGTTTCGCATTGCAGGACAAATACCTCGAGGACGAAACCGGCACAGTCAGATCGCGGAACATGCCCGAGCCGATGCTCTCGAAGCGCGTCAGCTTTCAGATTGACTAACCGCAACCCTAAACCCAATGCTAAAAGAGCTTAGGGAACCCTGATAGGGCTTTCGGAACCCCAAACCCTTTACCCTTGTAGAGTTCTTTTGGGACTTTTAAAGTGTAAAGGAACCCTTACCAGGAACCCTCACAAGTACTTTTCTCGAAAGGAACCCGATAGATCAAAGTCGTACACGCTCTTCTCAAGTCAAAACCAAGACCCTCAGCACCACGGCCCGGGATGACTTTGTGGTGTACAGTGTAGTGGTCTAAGGGCTTGGGCTGCGGGTTTCGGGTCCAGGAGTTTTGGGTTTAGTGTCCAAGTGTTTTGCGTGTTCGGTTTGGGGTTTTGGGTTTTAGGAAAGTTTCCCCTCCAGGGCCCTGCCTTCTCAATCCCGAGCCTACTGCCTTCGTTTTTGAGGCCTCGTCTCTGAGGGCCCCGATTCCCAAGCCCAGGACAGTGTCCTTTCACTTGCCGCCGCCCGATACCTTCGAAGGAGACGAGGACGAGGAGGGTGGCTGCTGTAGAGGCCGATTTGGGACCTTTCGAGGAGCGCTGGGGCGAAGCGCCGGTTCTCTCTAATTGGGTTTCCGGTTAAACTCTAAACCCTAAACCCCTTGGAGTTAAAGGTTCAGAAGCTTCCGGTTCGGGCTTTTTGCCTATTGCGCTTTGGGGCCTCGGCGAAGAAACGACCTGGTGTTTGGAGCCACAATGTGTCGAGGCCAAGCTGATGGCTTCCCTTAGTACTAGCACCGGCACCCGCCCGTTATATGAATTCTTGTTAGGTGAGGCGAGTTGCAGGTTCGGGGGCCCCTAAGGAGGTCTCTTAGGGAACGGCCAGCACATTTCATTCTGACCAGTGCTATCACTGAAACTTAAATGCTGCGCGATGCCATGCTGTGCTGTGCTCTGCTGACACTATGTTGTGCTGATCTGATCTGCTCTGGTATGTACGTGTGCATGCGTCGGTTTGTTTGTTTGTTTGTTTGAATTTGTGTGTTTATCTGTATATATTTGTATGTACGTATGTATGTATGAGTGGATGAAAATATGGGTGGATGATTAGACGGGTTCGCGTTTGTGCACGCATGTATGCATTCAGGGGCAGGTGACAAGTACATACCTGCATAACTGTATAACGCACAAAAGTAGATAAGCCCGTATGTCATACATGTAGCATGGGTATATCTATCTGTATATATATATGTATATATGTTGACTGAATCCAAGAGCTTGCCAAACAGGCATTGTGGAAACTGTACAATTGCCACCCCGGAAATTCAGATGTCAGATATTCCGATAATCATTAAGAGCTATATAGTACAAACAAATCGAAAACGTCAGAAATACAGAAATTCGAATTTCCGGAATTTCCGGCAAATCCTAAAATTCATGAAGTCCGAATTTCCGGAATTTCCGGAATTTCAGGAAAATCATGAAATTCATGAAAGCCGAATTTCCGGAATTTCCGGAAAATCATGAAATTCATGAAAGCCGATTTTCCGGAATTTCCGGAAAATCATGAAATTCATGAAAGCCGATTTTCCGGAATTTCCTGAAAATCATGAAATTCATGAAATCCGAATTTCCGGAATTTCCGGAAAATCATGAAATTCATGAAAGCCTATTTTCCGGAATTTCCGGAAAATCATGAAATTCATGAAATCAGAATTTCCGGAATTTCCGGAAAATTATGGAATTCATGAAAGCCGATTTTCCGGAATTTCCGGAAAATCATGAAATTCATGGAATCAGAATTTCCGGAATTTCCGGCGAATCATGAGATTCATTTAATTAATTGATTAATATCAACAATACAATAATACAAATACACATTATATTTTAAATATATATAATTTCGAATATCGTCATTATCATGACTACTCTGTATATGACTGCTGGCACTGGATGTGAGTACAGGGTGGGCCGTGCTTCTGAAAAGGCGACAGCATGGCAGCATAGACTCATAGAAGTGACTCGCCGTTGTTTGTGATCCAAAAGGTGGCTCGAACAGGGGTTCGTTCTGAGCCATGCGCTTTCGCCCTTGCGACCTTTGAAACTTCGGCTGACAGCCAGAAGACATGTCGGATGAGGAGTTGGAGCAGCTCGATGCGCTGGTCAGGGAGGTTAGGAAGAGCACAGACACCCCAGCTCACCGAGGGCCGCTGTCGACCAAGTTTGCGAGACTAGCACGCAGTCTGAAGCTTTCCAAACAACACAAGCATCAGGTGGCTGTGAGAGTACGCAGCTTGATTGAGAGATACATGGGCGGCACGCCAAAACGTCAGAAGATGTCATCAATCTTGATGAACGCAAGCGGCCAATCCAGAAGGGCAAAGGTAAGTACAAACAGTGGTTGCCCGCAGCTCTTCTCAGAGTTTGCTGGGGCGTGAGACCAGAGCGCAGACCCAGGAGGAAGCGCGTGCCAACCGCGAGGCTGCGCAAAAAGAGCAGTGTTTCGGCTGCCAGCCAGAAGCGAGCTCCTCCTGCTGTGGCGGTTGCTTCCCTTCGCGAGACAGCCCGGCAGAACCAGTCTAGCACAACACACGTGGCCCGGATCCGACATGCGATGTCAGAACTTTTCATGCGTGTTCAGGAGCAGGAACTCAACATGTTGCCGCGTGTTCAGGAGCAGTGGATAGAGATTGCATTTGACGAGACCCAGGAGCCAGTATCCATGCAGACAACTGCAGAAACGGCTCAAGTCATGGTGCTTCACATGAAGTTTTTTCGGCTGCCAGCCCGGGGCGCAAAACTTCACGTGTTCAGAGTGGTGTTGCCCACCGTGGTGCTGCCAGGCACGACCACTGCCGACCTCCTCGGTGGCTTGTTGGCACGCGTCCCCGTAGCTTTGGAGCAGCTCAAAGCCGTCGCTGATAGAACCACCTTCTTGTTGAACACTGACAGTTTCGGCAGCTGCCTAAAGTTGGTGAAGTGTTTGCAAACAAGTCATGCCTGCCTGAGCTGTCCGTGCCGTATGCACCAGTTGTGCTTGTCAATGACGGCAAGCATTGCTCAATCCGGCTTGATGGCATCCTTGTTTTGCAGTGCGCTGCTGCTGCGGAGGTCACGCTTGCAGAAAACGCTCCGTGCCAGACTGAAGCGCTTGGTGTTTGAGAAACTCCGCATCGAGTACGAGCCGCCCAGCTCTTCGGCTGTCAGCCATGCCAGAGCAGTGTGGGACTTGATTTGGCCTTTGATTCAAGCGCGGCACGACAAGGACAAGCGCGTCACCACTCCAAGAGCCCAGGCATGGCGCAGGCTGCGCAAAAACCTTTGTGGCCCCTTGGATGACACGACCAGTGTGGTGCATTACTGTCCATACGGATGTCACCACTCCAGGGATGAGGCGGCTTCAGAGATCTTTGAGGACTTGTGCGTTGTCTTCCTGGACTCCCCGCCTGTGGTGCCGGCTCTGAACAAGTGGACAAAGCTCGCCCCGCCGGTGATGTGGTTTTCTTGCTTCCTGCAGGTTCATGGTTTGCTCGCCCAGTGCTTGCAGCCGATGATAGATGCAAATGCTGCAAACGTGTCGCTACCGGTGCTGTGTGGGGATGAGGAGATCGAGCAAGACACAGAGGAGCAAGGGTGCGGTTTCGGAAACTTCGAAAAGGAAGAGGCCGCAAGGTTTCGGAAGTTTGCTCGGTTCGCCACCTGCCCAGAAGTAGGGCCCAAACTGGCGGCGACGCTGCTCTCATTGCTCCCAGGTCTATCTATCATGGGAAAATTCTTCGACTCTGCGGAGGAGTGTGCTGACCCAAGCACAAGTCATGCAGCAACCACCCTGAGTTTCACTCAGGCTTCGCAGTCGCCTGCTGTCAGCACGATTGAAGTTTTGCTGTCTGCCTTGTCCTCTGAACAGAGCTCGCACTGGCTGTCACTGTGCCTTCCGGGTTCTGCAGGCTGGGATGCCAGAAGGTTCCAATGTGCAGCAACACCAGCATGGGTGCAGGTTGGCCAGTTGTACTCCAGGTTGGTGATGCCTTTCAGTGCATGGCCTTTCAAGGCAGGCCGCATGCTGGAGCCAGGCGTCTCCCGCCAAACGCAAGAGGCCTTGGCGAAGGAGTTGTTGCTTGGTTGATATCAAACTAGAAATCAAATCTTCAAGTCTTCAAGTCTTCAAGTATCAATGGTCAATGGGACCGGAATTCGGAATCAAAGCCCAGTAACTTTTGCTTTCGTAGTCTTGAGTCTTTAGTTTAAGTTTAAGTCTCTTTAGTCTTTAAGTCTTAAGTCTTTAGTCTTTAGTAATTCAGCTAGAACTGATGTCACAGAGTCACAGATGTCCAAAGTCCAAGGTTGGGGTTGTGCGAGCACCGCGACCCGTACATTTCCTTCATGAAGCAAGGCTTGGAGGAGGTCGACGACGTGCTGTCCCCTGACAACTTACTGCGAATGAAGCACCTTCTGGAGGTTGCTCCTGTGACAAACATTGTGAGCGAAAAGTCATTCGCAGGTTCCCACACCCGCCGAATGGCGGATCACGGTCAAAGTCCGAAGTTGCCAACGCTGGCTGCGCAACATGTGTTGGCCCAGAGCAAAAGTATTTTGGACAGCGAGGTTTGTAGGCAGACTTCCGGCTGTCAGCCAGCAGTTTCGGCTGTCAGCCATGAAACGGCAGAAGCAGGGACCAAGACCAACAGCAACGGCTGGTCTGAGTTCCTGCGCGCCAACCATGCAACTGGTCAGAGCATGCGGTCGTTAGCCGACAAGTGGGGGGCGCTCAGCCGTGACGAGAAGGCTACGTTCACTGCTGCAGCCAAGACGCGGCGACCGCCAGCCTCACCGCAGCTGGCGCCGCCGCCACAGCTGGCGCCGCCAGCGCAGCAGGCGTTGCCCAGAAGACCTCCTGCTTCTACTAGTACTGCCTGGCCTCACTGTGGAGACGACTTCTACCCATTGCGCCAAGAGGGCTTGGATGGCATGGCTGGAGCAGTCCGCTCCCTAGCTGCCAACTGGGTGCAGCGTGTAGGGGATGGCCCATGCAAGCCTGCCCAGGCAGTTGTTGAGGACTGCGGAGCTTGGTGTCGCGGCCAAGTTTGCTTCAAAAAGCTGAGTGACTCTCGCCAGCAGGCTTTGGAGTACATGCGTGTGAAGCTGAACCGATTCGCTGCCTTCTGCAAGGAGAAAGCACCTGTCTTCGACGACATGTGGCAGATCCTCCCGGTTTTGCATGTGAACGTGCGAAATCCGGCTGGCGCCGGCTCCAGTGCAGACCGACCCTGCGGTGTCACCTTGCTGCAGCTCTGCCCGCTGCACGACTCGCAAGTGTTCTGCTTGTCTGAGAAATCCGACATACCAGCTGTGGGCACTGTGCTGGAGTTTCAGCCCGACTTGTGCAACTTGCGAGGAGCAGTCGAGGTTATGCAATTCTGCGCATCATTGCAGCTGCAGCAGTCGATGGACGGTTTTGCAGACTCTGTGCAATGTTTGCGCCTGCGCTGCGAGCACCAGGGTTTGACGACTTTGAGAGTCACCGCCATTGAGGACATGGCAGGCATGGAAGCAGAAGCAGCACACAGAAGAAGACGCGACAAGGATGCCGCCAAAGTCGCAGCAGCTCTTTCGCGGCTGCATGATGCTGCGCTGCTGCAGCCGAAGCGCCGACGCATTACTTCCAAGCGAGCAGATACAACGCATCAACCAAAGCGGCACGTTATCCCTGCGCAATCTTCCGGCTGTCAGCCAGAGGCAGGGGCTAGCGAAGATGCTGAGCAACAACAAGAATTGTGTGAGTGGGATGAGGAACTAGATGCAAGCGCAGTGGCTGCAAATGGTGCGGATGCGTACGCGGCCCTGGAGCAAGAAATTTTGGAAGTGGGTGCGTCCGCCGAGGACTTAGTGGAGATGAGAGAAGCGTCAGCGGCAGATGGACGCGAGGCATTGCAAGAACGCGGGGAGAATGGGCCTGCTCAAGTCGGGCAGACGGTGCAACAAGCAGCGAGACTTGTGCGCATGGACCCTGCGACTGGTCGTGTTTTCCGCACCGACACTGAGCCCAACCAGTATATAGGAAGGATGACGCAGATCAAAGTCAACACACCGCAGGAGGCCTTTTCCGTTTACTGTTCGCTTCACGGCTGTCAGATCATGCGCGGCATCCGCCGTTGCCCATCAACAGACGAACTCCTGCGATGGTTCGAAGAGGGCCTGCAGTTGCCCAAAGGCAAAGACGCTGCGGTGCAAAGAAAACACAAAAGTTCGTTCCCTGAAGCCGAGCCATCGGCGTGATGGGTTGGACACCGCTCCACGCAAGCTTCTTATTCGGCTGACAGCCAGACAGATGTTGATGCCAGCTCGTTGTTGTCTGAGTCTGAGTGTTTCATTCGGCTGCCAGCCAGTGCCAGCTCGTTCTGTTGTTTGACTGCTTCGGCTGCCAGCCAGTGTAATCGCAATGGGCAATGGGGTAAGAATCCCTTAAAGAGGGATTGCTTGTTTCACCTGCAACAAGAGAGTTGCCACAGAAGAGGAAACAGTGCCCTGCCAGCACAGTTGATTCATGATTCATGGTTCATTTCATTTAATAATATCAATTGTCAATATCATTCGTATCATGAATCAAATCATATCAATCATATCATATCATATCATATCAATATCATCATGAATCATATTAATATCATCATTTTAATCATTTTCATTCATTTATCATGATTCATTTCATATCATTGCAAATCATAAATCATATATCATATATCATATCATTTTGTGATTCATGATTCAGAGGTTCATAGATTCATAGATTCATAGACTATCTGTCTATCTCAGCTCATATGAATATGAATATGATTCAGATTCACATCATTTGTCATTGCTATAATCATTGTCGAATCCTATCTTGTCAAATCATTGTATCTCATGTCACATGTCATCTCATATCACTCATAGCTCGATTCATATTCGACTCACATCAATCATTGTGAGTCGTTATCATTGGTCAGAGTCATGAGTGTCAGTCAGTATCAGTGTCAGTGTCAGGTGTAGTAGTACAGTATAGTAGACTATAGACTATAGTCTAGTCAGTCTGTCTGTCTATAGTCTATAGTCAGTCTGGGTAGAGTCGAGGTCTGAGTCTCACAGCCTCATGCAGTATGCAGCATGCAGCACTTGCTTTTTGTTCGTTGGGGGGGGGCAGGACGGTCGCAAGAAAGCCCACATGGCATGTCACGTTTGCGGTTTGGCTTTCAAGGCATGTGACATGACATGTGGGGATGCTACTGCCGCACCAGAGGCTACAGGAGTACACCCACTGCTACTACTACTACTACTACTACTACTACAACCACTACTACTACTACTACTACTACTACTACTGCTACTGCTACTACTACGACTACGACTACTCCTACTCCTACTCCTACTGCTACTGCTACTGCTACTACTACTACTACTACGACTGCTACTGCTGCTGCTACTACTACTACTACCACTACTACACTACTACTCACGACTGCGACTCTACGACTACGACTCCTACTACAACTGCTAGGACGACGAGGGCCACGGTAGTCTGTAGGCGCCATAGTTTCCAGCCGCTTCGAGCTTCTTCGCCTTGGTGCCGCCACACCGCGCGCTTCGGCTGACAGCCAGTGGCTTGCTGAATCCGGCTGTCAGCCAGGCCTGCTTCGGGTTTCGGCTGTCAGCCAGCAATGCCGAAGCCTCCGCATCAGCCGCCGACCATTATCAACGTATCGGCCGGAAGGCTCAGCCGGGAACGATGTGGCGCCTTGACTGCAGCTAGCAGCTACCCCCCAAACCCTAGACCCCAAAACCCTAAACCCCGAAGCCCTGTTGCCCCTTGCCCAAAGCCTTTTGCCTGTAGCCTACAGCCTATAGCCTATAGCCTTACACCGAAGCTAAACCCTCAACAGCTTAAACTGTTTAAACCTAAGCCCTTAAGGTCCCGAGGGCTACTGCTACTGCTGAATGCTGCTACTTGCTGATGCCAACTGCTATGATTTTGCTACAACAACAACAACAACGACAACAACAACAACTACGACTACTACTACCACTACTACTACTACTACTACTACTACTACTACTACTACTACAACTACTACTTCTTCTACTACTACTACTACTACTGCTACTACTACTACTACTACTACTACTACTACTACTACTACTACTACTAGTACTACTACTGAGTGTCAGTGCCAACTGAGGTCATCCACTGCAACGCTGGATTCCACCGGTCACCTTTGGTTGCCGCCATGGTCTTGGTTGAAACCGGCGGTTGCAGCGACTTGGATGACGCCATGAAACAAATAGCGGGCATGCGCAACATCTGGCACCTCTGGTCAAACCGCGATCTCCTAGGCGACGACAAGACTTTGGGAAAAGCTTGGTTGTGGGCCCAGAAGACGGTTAACCGGACTCCGGCTGCCAGCCAGCGAGGGGAGGCCAGAAGTTCGGCTGACAGCCAGAACGTGCGCGAGCCAAGCACAGGCAAAGGCAGCGCAGGCAAAGGCAAGGGCAAAGGTGACCAAGGCGGCAAAAGCCCGGCTTCGGCTGTCAGCCAGAGCAAGGGCAAAGGCAAAGGTGACCAAGGCGGCCAAAGCCAGACTTCGGCTGTCAGCCAGAACCAGGACGTTCCTGTCAAAAGGATGCCGACGGCCATGGCAGAGGCCGTGGAGCCAGAGCCGCGGTATCTCTTCGAGGTCACCAGCGGCACCTCGTGCTTGATCTGCGACGTAACGTGTCCGTCGGACCTGCACCTGCAAGCGCACCTCATGACAGAGTGGCACATGAACAAGATTCGGGCGAAGCAGCGCGAGGTGCAGGCCCGCAAAGCGGCAGGTTCGGCTGTCAGCCAGGAAACCAAGCCGCCACAGCTGCCGCTTACCTCCAAGGCTCCTCCTGGTGAGCCTGAGCCCTCGGCCAAGACAGCGCAGCCGGCGCAGCCTTTGGCGGCACCTGAGCTGAAAGCACCTCCGAAGAAGCCAGAAGCCGTCAAAGAAGAAAACGAAGGAGTCCCCACCACTGCAAAGGCACCGCCACCTTGTGTTGCAGAAAGCAGCGCCCCAGCTGCAGCAGCGCCTCCTGCAGCACCGACTCCGGCTGTCAGCCAGGCCCCAGCAAGTGGTCCGCCTGCAGCACCGACTCCGGCTGTCAGCCAGACCCCAACAAGTGGTCCACCTGCTCCTGCAGCACCGACTCCGGCTGTCAGCCAGGCAGAGACAAGAGAAGCACCAGAGGAAGCGCCAGCAGCGTCGAGCGCCACCGCAGTGCCTGCAGCGTCGAGCCAGGCAGCGCCGTCCCAGCCCACTCTGCCTCCGGCTGGCCGCCAGAACCCTCTCCCTCCTCGACCACCGCCACCGCGCCGCTCTTCGGCTGTCAGCCAGCAGGGCCAGCAGGGCCAGCAGGTCAAAAGAGAGGCGGACACTGCGCCCCAGCCTGAGGTAAGTCCGCGCATCGTGAAGGCGCGCTCGGACAGACAACGCCTTCTGGCAGAGCTGGCGCAGGTCGACGAGGTGCTGGGCGTGGACAGCTACTACGCCCACCACGGGCTCCGCAACGGCGCCGACACCAACCAGGACGGCCACAACGTCCTTCACCTCTTGGCCGAGGACGTCCGCCTTGGTGAGGTCAGCGAGCTCTTGGCGCTGCGTGTGGCGCAGGAGGCACCGCTCAGTACTCTCAATGAGTACACCAGAGGGGGCCGCCCGGCCGGCGCGACAGCCCTGCACATGCTGGCTGGCGCAGGCCGCGACTCTGAGCGGTTGCGGTGCAGGTTGGCTTCCATTTTGATGGAACGCAACGCCAACCCGGAGGCTCGCGACGCTCGGGGGGCAACTGCCTTGCTGCGGGCTGCCGGCGTCGGCTCGGTGACCATGGTTCAGCGCCTCATAGAGGCTAGGGCAGATGTGCACTCTTGCCACGCCACTACCAGGCGTAACGCCTTCGACGTTGGCAATGCCGAGATGCGCGAGTACCTGCGGCGTCAGCACAACCTCAGGGGCACAGGCGCGCAGGGGCCCTCCTCAAGAGCCATGTTCCCCGATCGCTCCCGCCAGACCAGAGACGAAAGGGGCGACACGCATGCGAGCCAGGCACGCAGGGATCGCGGTGAAAGGTACAGGCAGTGGCGCTGAGTTTCTGCTGTCAGCAAGGCCAGTGCTTCTGCTTTCGGCTGTCAGCCAGAAGTACCAAGTAGCAGCGGTGCCTTCGGCTGTCAGCCAGGCAAAAGCGTGCCAGCGTGCCTTCGGCTGTTAGCCAGGCCTCCTTCGGTCCTTCGGCTGTCAGCCAGGCCTCCAACCACGGTTGCCACGGCGGCCAGCAGCGCAGCTCGGCGGCTCCCTCACAACGTGCCTTCGGCTGTCAGCCAGGCCTCCACGCTGCCGGCGCGCGGCGCTTGACTCAAAGCCGAGTGCACGGGTGGCGCCAAAAAATTCCGTCGGTTTGGGCAGAGGGACTGGGGAAGGGCGGGAAGGGTAGGAGTCGTCTGAGTTGTCGGGTCACATGTCACATGTCACGACACTTCCACGTCTATGTGTCTATGTCAATGTCCCAAGTCACAATGTCTATGTCACATGTCTATAGTCTATAGTCTATAGTCTCTATAGTCTATAGTCTATAGTCTATAGTCCGTCTATAGTCTATAGTCTATAGTCTATAGTCTACAGTCTATAGTCTATAGTCTATAGTCTATAGTCTATGTCACTGTCTATAGTCTATAGTCTATGTCTATGTCTATGTCAATGTAACAATGTCTATGTCAAGTCATGTCTATGTCACTGTCTATGTCACTCTATGTAAGTCTATGATCCATGGTCCATGTATGTCTGTATGTCTGTATGATGTATGTATGTCTGTCTAGTCTCTAGTCCCCTGTGCTTCCTCGACCATAGTTTTTGGCTTTTGGGGTGGTTGCGAACCACCTGGTTCCCAGAGACTCCAATATCCCTTAAGGAGTATACTTTAAATTATAGTAGGATCCTTAATATGATTTAAGGAATATTCCCTAATTAAGGGATATTGGAGTATCTGCCGCTTGCCCCTTTTGCGGAGAAAAAAGGGGGATACCAGATCCGTGCCAGTTTAGCAGTGCATGTGTGTTGATCACCAGTACTTCCCGACTCCATCGCCCCACTGCTTCCCGACTGCTACTTGCCACACCAACTGTAGCCCTCTATAGCCTGTAGACTGTAGACTGTAGACCTAGCCGCCTAGCCCGCCTAGCTTCTGCCGCAACGGTCGCGCTGCGCTGCTTCGTGCCTTCGGCTGAC